ACACAGATGAACAGGTACACAGATGAACAGGTACACAGATGAACAGGTACACAGATGAACAGGTACACAGATGAACAGGTACACAGATGAACACCGGCAGATGACAAATGACGCGAGGCTTGCCTACTCCGTTCTCAGGCGTGGGATATTTATTAGTCGGTCCTTTTCTGCCTGGATACATGCATGCACGCATGATTTGCCTTCTTTAAGTTAGTAGGTTACTATACTAGTACCTGGGCTATAATATGGCAAATGGAAAGAGTAACCCGGTGATTAGTATGTAGTAGCAGGTCATACTGAGTACCCGAGTCAACACTGTAGCAGGTCGAAGTCACTGTAGTAGGGTCCTATGTCTGACCTTCTTAGAGCCACGGGGTCGCCTTAGTGTGAGATACATGATGCTACTATGTCCGCAGATATGCATCTACGTGGCCGTCTGGTCTTCTGTCTGAATTCGTGATACGATATATGATACTGGGTTTACGGTAAGGTTCTGCTGATTAGAGGACTTGTAGCTCCTTTTCTTGCATCAATACGGGATCTCATTTAGCTAGAGGACTCGGACGCGCTCTCGTTCTTGCATCAATACTGGATTTCTGCTCGTGCTACACGACACGCATGATACGACATATCGTCACCCACCTTCGCTGTAAAGCTCAAACGGAATGCTGCTCAACCAGGACATGTCTCCTCCGAGATCGAAATCGAAGCGCAGATCCGAGGGCTCGAAAAAGGCTTCATCCATCATCAAAGGCGGCGCTGTTGCTGACGCCGTTGCTATTGCTGTTGTTGCGCCGGTATTGGTGGCAAAATCAACGGAAGCATCGTTGGGGAGGATGGTGCTTTGGCCGAAACCGACATTGTCACTATTAATGCCTGCGTCTGCGCCCGCGCCCGCGCCATTATCCGCAAAGGTCCACGTCTGGCCGCCGCTTGCTGTTCTATCTGGCTGCAAGTCTGTGCTGATACCCTTCGCGAGACTGGGAGCACTTGTGTTGTCGAGTTCGCTCGATTTTTGAGATCCTTGCTGCGTGACCTGACCGGGTATTTGGTCAAACAGGAGCTCAATGGCCGCGGCGCATCTCTTCGTGTGTTTCCCGAAACTGCCGTACCGGTGCAACGCTGCCGTGACCGTCCGGGAGGCGTTCAAGATGACGTCCTCGCCACCGATTTCCCGTTCGATCGTCGAGTTGAGCCGCGCTGCCACGAGGACCGTTGCCGCGGTGTACAGGTAGAGAATGCAATACCACCACGCTGGCAGTATGTCGTCGAGGAGCTCTACGCGGACCTCGGAGTGAACTTTGCCGAAAAGGTTGACTGTGTCCAGAGCGCTCTGTACGCACATGACCGAGCATTGTAGAGCCAGTTTATAGGCCAGCGAGTCTCTTTCGATGTTGTCGTCGTGGTGGCAAATGCTGCAAAACCGGGATAGAACGGGCCTGAAGAGCAGGGTCCGAATGTGGGAGTAACGGAGGTAGAGCACCCTTGCTTGACGGGCGTGAGTCAGATTCTGTGGCATACCCGACCCGCGGGCAAACCGGAGATGGAAAGGCAGAGCTCGTTGCCAGGTGGAGTATCTGGCATCCATTTCCAGCACCGTGCCTGCTGCTCTTGAACCAAGGGCGCCGAAATAGGGGGTATAGCTATCATCTGCCGTGGAGCCATGTCCTCCAGCGGTGGGACTGTATAGCGCCAGAAGAGTCTCGCTCATGATTTCGTACAGTTGTAGAGTCTCGAGGAAGAAATGGAGATCTGAAGGAGACGCGTCGAACTGGACAAGGTCCCTATGGCATTCACAATCACCGAGGCCTGGATGAGCAAGTGGCCGAGGCACCGAAGCTGCGGCTTGCGGAGTGATGATGGTCGGGCGGCCAAATGTCATCGATAGGATGCGATCCATAAGCACGCAACCATGCCAGACTTTGCGGAGGAAATCATCCGGCCTGCCATTATGTGCTCGGGCGCTGGTGGAAGGCAAGTCAAGACCAAGACTCTGCGCAATGCGGATCGCCAGGCCCACAAAGAGCCAACACTGTTGCGGCTCTCTGGTGCTCTGCAAGTACTGGGCCAGAAGCAGGAGGCATTGGACCGTATGCACAGATTGAAATTGGAGAAACTCGAGATCCACGTATCCCTGAGCGCGCTTGAAGTAGACTTCGCCCGAGCTCACTCGATCTTGAGGACGGATCGACGAGTCGAGAATGCAAGCCACGGCGAAAGTGGCGTTCAAGAGGCATATGAAACATACCTCATCGTCCATCGTCGGAGTCCCCGCCCAGAGGCTCTGATACTTGCCCATGAAATCATCCTTGTCAATGAATGGGTATAACGGATCCACCAGTCGCCAGTAGACCTCGAGGAGTTTGTCTGCCTGTTGCCTTGGCGGAAGGACGTAGTCGGGGTTTCGGAACCGTCTTTGGCGGTGCAAGCCCGTTGGTACTGCGGAAGAACTGGTAGAACGGGGCTGCTGCGCCGAACCGGGGGACAACTGTTGGTCGAGGACGGCTTTGATCCGATTCATAAAGCTCGCAGCACTTGAGTCGCCGACTACGCTCTCTTCGCCGTGGCCGCCTTCTTCTATCAGGCCCAATATTGCGTTTGCGCTGGAGTGATGGTTCGCATCCGAGGCTGATCGAGGGGTAGATGGACTCGGCTGATCTGTGCTCTCGGGCTCCGACTTCCTTCGATGGACTCTCTCCAGCTCATCGATCCGAGACTGCAGGCGTACAATCTCCAGCTTGGAGGCTCCAGTGCTGCGCTTCTTCCTCACGCCCCACTCGCAATGCGCGTTTGCGCCAGCTCGTTTCTGACAAGGACTGCACCGCGGCTTCAAGCCATCGCATTTGATCTTCTTTTCCCTGCACTGATCGCAGGCGGCGGCCACTTTCTGCCTCTTGGTGGGTCTCTCATCACTGACCGCATCTTCGTGCTGATCTTGCAGAAGCGGAGATGTCGACGGCAGGTCTCCGACTCCGGGTCCGGCGACCATGGTTTGGCTGCTAGAGAGCGGTCAGAGACTACATATCATCTACACTTAGCAGGCAGCTCGCGGAGTGGCAAGGGCCAGACGCCGCTGCTACCATATCGGTAGTGAGGAGGATGTTTGAGGAAGTCTAGCTGTGCGCAATGGGTGTGTAAGTTGAAGGGCTGTGAGGGAACAAGTTGAGGTCGACGAATCTACACTTCGGCTTACTTGCGTTTCGCCGTATTTATGCGTGTCAGCGGCAGATGCTTCAACGCACCTTGGCTGCTGGAAAAATTCAGCCTCGTGAGCCTCGGCCCCTAGAAACCAGAGCCTTTCGCGGGTTTCACCATGTGAACATTGTTGGATCCCAAGTCGAGCAGATAGTTTGGTGGAAAAACCCCCGAGGCTCCTGAAGGTAGAAATCTCATGCTGGATCAAACAGATAGGTCGGGAACGACCGCATTGGGCAGCGATTCTAGCTCATGGCAACCCGCCCTTAAAGTTACCCACAGCATATCACAGCCTCGCTTTCTAGCAAACAGGATATTGTTGCCTATAGTTCGGCGTGGCCACTTCCGCCACCAACATCTGAACATGAAAAGCTGCTTGCCTTGTTGACGTCTCCTTGTTGGTATACCAACGTCTTTGGGTAACGGCACAGATTCCTGGTGATCTCGACGCCTTCTTCGGTCTTCGTGGACGCTGGCAAAACATCAGGAGCTTTACCGTCTTCCACCCATGACACCAACGCTCCAATGGCATCCACCGGGTTAGGCCCTGGTCCACCAACGCAATGGCCAGCACCGGGAGCCAAGAAAAGCAACTGGAACTCGTCGACGGCATCCGCTCCGCCGAAGGTCTTCTCCAAACCCTCCCGATACCGCAGCATACCACGTGGATTGATGTATTCGTCTGCCATGCCGAACCATGTCAGCAGTTTGCCACCTGCTTGTTTGAATCCAGATAAGTCAAGCTGCTGGTTTCCCCAGAGTGGCCCAAGCAGGGTCACAGACTGCTCAAAACCATGTTCGTACTCCGGATGAGTCATCTTGGTCATGTCGAGACTCGCATCCTGAAGGGCAAAGTATTTGAGCCAACCCTCGGCGACAACGAAAGGGACAACTTCCCTGGTGCCATTTTCGTTGAGGACAACGTTTGCATGCACGGCGAAATCGGCGCCAGGAGTCAACCCGTACCAGAGTTGTCTCCCCTTGGCAGTGCGGGGACCCTGGAGGATCTTGCGCACAATATCGGCATGATTTGCGGTTATCGTCAGGTCATGTGTCGATTTGCAAGGCACCTTCTTTCTGAGGGTGAAAGGATCTGGAACCACGCAACCTTCGCCGCAGGAAAAGGTCATGCCGACCAAGCTGTCTGGATCGAAGTCGCAAGTTTCCAGAACCTCGTGGCTGGAAATCAGGCCGTCAGTGGCGCCGTCGAGAGGATCACATTTGGCGATGATGGCCTTTTGATACTCTTCAAACACGCAGGACGGTGGGATCTCCGAATTCCGCATAACCACCGTTCCCCAGTAGTCTGAAGGGACCAGTTCGTGCAGATCGAGAGCCGGGGCAATGGCCAGAATACCGTCAAAATCATGGGGGTATTTGGCTGCTGCTGCATATCCCTGACGACCTCCCTGTGAGCAGCCATGCCAGTACGAGTACTCCGGGTCAGAACCATAGAACTGCTTGATTGCGTCCTTGGACGACACGGCCATGTCATGTATCGACCGCCAGGCCAGATTGAGTTGCAAGGCTTCGTTGGGAGTACCATCCTCCTTCAACGCCCATGCACCGGTTTGCGGATCAACGGTATTGTCCAAGGTCAAGCCACCGTCGGTTGTCGAGGCAGCATATCCATTGCCGACCTGCCCGGCGAGCATGGGCTCGCCAAACCCTGCAGCGAGACCACCTCCGCCAGTGGCTTGATATCTGCCATTCCAGTTCTCCAGAGGCAGCCAGACGTTGACGTAGACAGTATCGTCAGCGTCGGTATGTCGTAGACTCAACGTGACATTGCAGAAACTGAGGTCACTGACTGCGGGTGCATTAAAGAGTGGCAGTGCTGGGAAGCTGTAGTTGTGCCGTTCCTCGGCAGCAAAGCTCAACACTTCAGCGCCAGGGATCACTGGTGGCACAAGATTCGCACACGGCGTAGCGATATGGTACTGACCAAAGGTGACTTGTGACGAAGCCATGGTTGAGATTGATAATGAGGAGCGGAGAAGGAGAAGCTGAGGCAGCGATATTATTGTATTTCTGACCGATGTTGTGACCGCTTCCTACACCGGAGCCTGAGAGGGGCTCGGGCTTGGCGGAACTCTCATGGTTTCCCAGACTCATCTACAAGATCGTTGGAGGCATGTTCATACACGGGAGTTTCAGAGCTTGAGAGAACAAAATATGCCGCATCTGTCTGCCGACCACCGCTCGGAAACATTTGCTTCAGGTAACGAGGTGATTAGCGGTCCCGCTGCGAAAGAATTGATGCTACAATCTCCTAGCTGGGGGCCTTGACAACCGAGGTGCGACGCTGTGGGGGTTCGCGATTTCCGGATTCGTCGTCCTGCTCAGTGTCTACAAGCAAGTTGTCTTGGCCCCGGCCAGGGACAAGAATTCCAGACGGGCTCATCTCATCGCTGAATCCGATGGGGTCGGGGAACGGATACGGATGTCCACTACTCCGTATATCCCCGCGGAGTTCTATATCCGAAGCATGTCTCGATTCGTATTGCGGATTATTGACGTGGTGTTATTACTTGATTCAGAAAACTAAGTAATTTAGATTACATCGAGGTCTATGGATACTCACACCTCGGATACAGTTCATTCCTGCTCGGCCTCGAGTTGTCTGCCAGCATGGCTTGACATCCATGGAAAGCAATATTAAGATGGTATCCCTCCGCGCAAGTATATCTTCGTCACCCTGCGCCAACAATTTGATCTGTTGATGATTCAGTAACTTCATATCTGTGGGGAACTCGACACAAGGCCAACCAAACCAACCTTACACCCACGCGACAATGGCTTTCGGAAATCTCAAGACCAAGCAGGCCAATGCCGTTCCTGCCTTCTCCCCGTCATACTCGAAGGCTAGAGTCGAATGGGCCGACATCGACATGATCGTCATCAGCTTCTACACCAAGGCTGAAACCATCGCAAACTACATACCGGAAGAGCTCGAGATCGAAGAAGAACCGCTGGTCACCTACTTCATCGCCAATTGGGGCTATAGCAGCATGGGCGCCTACACCGAATTCGTTGGCTACGTCGAAGTCAAGTACAAGGGTGAAAAGTACGACTTTGCCCTGGAGTTGGTGCTGGAAAACGAAGCCGCGCTCTTCCTGGGCCGCGAGCAATTCGGTATGCCGAAAGTCATCGGCCACGTCGAGTTTGACCGCAAGAACTGCAGCAGCAGTGATGGTGGTGCTCTCACCGCGTACGTGGAGCGACCGGTGGGACACAGGAGCATCCAGTTTGCCTTCAAGGCTGACGCGAGAGTCCATGGTGTCAAACCTCTCCCTCCACCAGAGAAACGAATCCTGGTTCTGCGGATCATGCCTGGCGCTGGCGTTGGTGACGATCCCGTCGTACGCGAGTTTGTTTCCTTGCACATGCAGGTCACCGAGGGCGAGGTTTGGTCTGGAACGGGGTCCATCAAGCTTAACCCTGGCTCAGAGTTCGACATCGCGCCCAACATCCCGATCATACGTTACAACAGCTCGATCTTTATCTCACATGGAAGTGGATATGTTGATGGCTTGGCCAGAACGCACAAGTTGTAGGACACAGTTGAGGTGCGTGAACAACCAAGAGCAGAACGTCAGATCCTGCTATGTCCTCAGGGTCGTTTTAAACAGAAGGCCCCGGGTTTGAAAAATGGTACTCCAGACAGCCCAACGACAGTTAACAAGTACCCTTTCTTTATCAGTAATGTCCAAACCCACACTAGGCCCCTCACTCAGAAGGCAAGAAGTGCCTCTACGCACTCGTAGCTCCAAGTTCGATGTAGTCATCTCACTGGTAACCAAGCCACTCTTTAATGGTCTGCAGCTGGACTTGCCGCGCGTGTATCACGCTAGGCTTGTCGCCAGGATAGCTCGCTAACATCTCCTCGCCATGGGCCGCCAACGATGTGAACATGTACCTTGATGCGTTACGATCCTGAGTGAGCGGCAATGGATCAATCCCAACGGCTGTAGTAGGGTCCATCTCGTTGTATGCGAAGAGAATTCTCCTAGCGTTGACCAGCTCATCGCGAGTGATATGGTACTTCTTCTCGACATACTCCTGCGTTGGTGGCACCAGATCGTACAGGTTTTTGCAAGTTGTCGGGTCAGATTCCGTTTGGATGGACGTGGGCACGAAGATTGTCCCGTTGGGGATCTCGTTGGAACTCAGCGGGAAATATTTGCAGAGAAGATAGTTGAAAGAGTCCTTTTGAAGAGTGGGGTTGGCCGATTCAGTGCTATTCCACTCGATGCAGGGATACAGCGAAGGAGGGTAGTAGTTTGTCAGAATTGCGTTGACTATATCGGTGGAGTCGTTGAGAAGGAGGGTTTCGTTGACAAGCTTTTGCGGGCTGGCTCCAACAGGGTTTGCCACGGGGCTCTTGTAACTTGTCAAGGGGATCGAATACGCAACGACATTGATCAATGCCATAATGGTGGCAAGATCGTCGTCTGTCTGTGGTATGGAGCAGAGGTTCAGGTCATGGGCAATGGCTGTCGTATTGGTTGCTGGCATGGATACAGTCAACACTTCATTCGGCCCTCCATATAGTGATTCGCAATTCTGATGGGACTCACCTGTTTGAAAACGTTGATTGAGCGTGTCCAAAGCGAATTTCATTTTGTGTGCCGCGCTTGCGGACAAGTCTTGATAGATTTGATTCGCCTGAATGAGCCATTAATACGTATCCTCACATGAACGGCGTGGCTTACCCATTTAAACCAATTGTATCTCTGGGGGTTTTGAAAGTTGGCTCCAATAGATCGAAGTGGCGCCGCGAAGGGAATCGATCCGTAGAAGACGTTGGGATGGTTTGTCTTGAAAACGGTGGCGAGGAAACCACCGTACGAACCACCAGTAACGATCACTTTACTGTCCTTTGCACCGCTGGTTGTATTCTTGACGTGATTGACGAAAGTGACGGCATCGAGCATGACGTTCTCCAGTGTCAAAGTCTTGTACTTCTCAACGGGGTCGGAGGCATTTGACGGGTTGCTGAGACCGAAGAAGCGGTGCTCGAGAGTAATGACAAGGGCTCCTAACTCTGCGGCCCATTCAGGGAATATGGACAGCTCCTATGACAGAGTAAGGATGGCTCCATCATTGAAGAGTTTGACAAACTCACCATACATGCGAATACCTTTGTCTCAGGCTGTTGATAAAAGAGGATCGGACCTCCAGGTTTGAAGGAATGGGAGACGACCTGGTACTGCTGTTGAAACGTCCCGGCGCTGGCGTTACCATGATCGACTGCCTGGGTGAAGAACTGCGTCGAACAGTTGGAGATGGACGCCGCTGCGGCACCAGGTGTTGTCACCACGATCGACGCCGCTGCGGCTGCAACGAGGGGTCGGAAGAGGCTTTTCATTGCACTATACGAACCGTGTGGATGAGAAAAGCAACAGATAGGAGGAAATTCACCTTGACCTGGCGACTTGATAGTGAATAGTGGAGGGAGGCTCCGAATGCCGCAGAGGGAACCCGGGTGTCCCTTTATATGCTACCATCTTTCGCGTACTGGTCTGCTCAAGTCGATGCCCATCGGCGAGATGACCCAAAATGGGTCAAGTTGTTCACTTGAGCATCATAGCGACGGGATAATGCCCTTTTGCGAGATGAAGATCTTCATCGCGACTACCACCGGTCGTACGATCTCAGCTGTAGAAAACAGCCGGCCGTAACGAAGGTTGTGGTCGGTATGATAGAAAGGTGAAAGAGAAGTGAAGCTGAGATGAGCACGACGCACTACGCAAAACTAAACTATTTCTGGTCAAAGAGATTGGCGCGTCGCTGAACTCCTGCCAAGGCCAGGCAAGCAATGACGCCACTGGATTTCACTTTGTACCTGCATCTTGTCGCTACGCCATGTTGGCCTGATGGAGATCCTGATATAGATTCAGGACAAGCGAAGACACGAAGACGATTCGCCTACCACTCAGAGGCCTTCGGCTCCTGCAATCTTTGGTTCAGTACCCTACAGTTGCCAAAACTGGCCATCATGCCGAAGCGCGTTCCTGTCTCGGTACTAGATCTTCTAATTGTGTCTTCTTCTGGATCTTGTGATATCGCCGCCATTGGAGGCCCTCACGCAGAGGCCCTTTTCCACCATCCAGCAAAATATCCTAGCTGATGTTGCGGCGCTAAAGGCCTATTCCCCTTGCGGCCCATATGCCGTGGGGCCACTCACCCTGAATCAGAAGGCACGCTTGTACCGCGCACGGATTGTTTCCATGTTGTGGCGAGGAAGATCATGAGAAGTAGATACTCGCAGCCTTTTACTTCTCTTAGTCAACTCGTGTCCGCGTGGAATCTCAGAATTTTCGATGGAGCCACAATACTCAACCGGGTCTACCAGGAGAAGGAGTGGTGGATGTGCATGGTGCAGACGTCAGAAAGTCAAGGTAAGAAGAAGGCTTGCCTCACCTTTCCGTTGACCAGGAACGAAGAATAACCGCATTCCGAGTAGTGCGACGAAGGCCATCCTATCTGTGCTCGGTGTCTCAAGGCCGGCCGAGAGTGCCTATACCCCCCTCACTACCAATTCCGCGATGAGAATGCGAAATTCGGCTTGTCCGGGGACCAACAGCCATGCCTGCGAGCGGTGTCAGAAGCTGCCTCCTTGTTACGCACGGAAATGAATGTCCTCTCCTCGAAGATGGAGCACGGCAGCCTAACGCAGAAATTTCAACTCGTCCGCACCAGATCCGCGACTCCGATTTCGCGAACGCAATCCCCATTATCGCTCGTTGTCACACCGAGCACGACTGACCAGAACAAGCTTGCTTCCGCCTTCGCAGCCGCGCTCAAAACCGGCCCAAGGGGCTATCAACTACAGTGCCTGGGAAACTTCATCTGCAGTGTTCCGTCTCGCATTGGCCACAATCCCGCCCTGGACGCTGCGGTGGCATGCGTCTTAGAGGCTCATTCTAATCTAGTACGCAATGCTACCGGTCTACCTCATTCGGCCGTTGCAACCCTGAGTGGAGAGCGCCCTTTGCCCAGCTCGGAGTACATGAGGGCACTGCGAATACTGCAAGAAGTCATTGAGCACCCTGTGCTGGGGTTTTCATCCGAGACGGTGTGCGCCACAATTCTGATGACACACTACGAGGTGAGTGATTCTGGCCCAGGGGCATGCACTCCCGGCTGATAAGGCGATGCTGTCGGCGTAAGATGATGATCCATGAGAAACGTGGCTCTCAGTATCTCGCCCATGCTGGCGCTGCTACCAAACTGATCGTCCTCCGTGGACCACAGAATTTGTCCTCGAATTTCGAGAAGGAATTATGGCGCACACAGCGTGGGCACATGGTACGTGAGGTGCGCATCTGGATTGGAAGTCAGTCAAAGCTTATTAGAGCAAGATCATACAGGCTTTCCTTCGACAAGAAGACTGCATCTTGTTCAGCGACGGTTGGCGGAGCTTTCATTTGGACCCGACTCGAAACGTGACTTCAACATTGGTAGACCGGCTAGTTCAAGTTTTCAGCGCTTTGCCGTCTCTTGTCAAACAAGTGCGAGGCATCCGCGCCGCAACGACTCCCGTCAACCAAGTTATCCAATTTGGAGAAGATCTTCAACAAAAACTTGCACTCCTTTCCGCTGAGGCTGAGCATTCCTCCTCGAATACTGCCCTGGTATTCAAGCCCGTCACATCTCAGAGCGATGACGGAAGATTTCCATCAGTGCTCCGTTTCCAGTCCACCGATGGTGCAATGTTCCACACATGGTATTGGGCGGTAACAATCATTATCGAAGTCTGCATCATGACTATCTACCAGAGGCATGATGAACTTCCGCGGCGGACGAATCTAGGTGTAAATGCAGCAGCACGCAAGATCTGCATGTCCTACGAGTATGCCGCGGCACTGAGACCTCTTGGGGCACAGTTCCTACAACTGCCTCTGATCTGCGCTCACTTTGTCGGCGACGACTGCATGAAAGAATGGATCGTGACAAAGCTCAATTCGCTAGTAGCTGAGTTGCACATTCAGTATACAAGCGAATATGTCCAAACATTGGGCAATGCGATTCTGGGAATCTGAGTTGACGCGCGTATTATGCCGGAAGAGGCGCCTTCGGCTCTTCGAACGCAGACGCAGGAGATAGCTCCTCAATCCTAGACCAACCAGTTGTGCCGGAGCAGAAGCAGCGGCGAGACAGTCTTCTGGCGCTTTAACTACTTCGAAACGCACCTGGCGGAGCTTGATCGATTTCTTGGCCAGGAGTAATGAGTCTGGACTCTCCATACAGCACGTTTATGTAACGTAATGGCATATATGGAGTCTCAATACTGTAGTTACCGGGTGTCATTTGTACTGAACAGAGACCCTGATCCCGTCCACTTCAGTCGGTGAGCTTGGTTCTCGGCGACAGATCGTGCAAGATGAAGGGGGCGGGGCGAAGTGGGTGTATTTCGACCTCGACTTCGATGTGCTCTGGCGACGGATACAAGAGAGAACGTCAAGCGCGTCAGGGGCTGACTGCGCATTCGAGGTAGCAGAAGACGGTGCTGCATAGCCTTGGGGCCTCGAGTTGCAAATAGACGAGGAGTAATTAAGTCGTGATCAAAACGGAGTGATGGTCAAGCTGTCAAGAAGAGGAAACGGGGCCGGTTGCCGGTTATGCTCCTCCGGAGTAAGCCTAGTCACGTGACAGGGGTAATCTGATGGAATTTTTTCCCTCTTTTGGAAGCACCAAGCGTAAGGCATTTGCAGAAGGAGCGACACAGGGCGGACGAGGAATTTTCAATGAGACAAAATCCCATGGAATTGCTTGTTATTACCACATCAAAACTCCATCGATGCTACTGACTCTGAAACATGCTTCCCTGAGCACGTTAACCTCGAGCTTCTTTCAGTAATGCGCCAAACTGAGTTCGATCTGAAGACTCCGTGGCGTCGGCCACAGAAGGTAGGTTCCCCAGACAGATCTTCGAGACACTATTTTAATCCAGGGCAACGGCCACCGTCCCATTGCTTGGACGAGTCAGTTCGCACAAGTTCAAGTACCTGCCGCCACACCGGGTACTTCCTAGCGAACCCTAGTCCTGTGGCAAAAGACTTGACTGCTGTATAATCACACCAACACCACCTCGATTCTTTGTCTGCAATCTGAACCATCTTGTGCTTGAACTTGTACCATCCGGCCTATGGCAATCGGGGATAGCAACTCGGATCAAGACCAATACGTCAATATCGACCCAAGTCGGCTGGAAGCAGGACTAAACGATAGCCACAATACTTCTAACCGACGGGCGAATGATAGTCACATTTCCAGTGGTACTGATGTTCGGCAAACGATCGGTGTGGGAGACCATGGAGGTGAAGGTGGCAGGTATCCAACCTCAGGGCCCTCATCAGAGAACAATGTCGCGGACGAAGCATCCCCACAGCAGCGACCAAGGCCTGCTTGGTCGAAGGTCATCAATTGGGTAAAGCAGAAAGAACACGATCGACCTTTCAGATTGGCCAACCTTAGACCATCAACGTCTTTCTACACCAAATTCGACGAGGGTTCTTCGGCCGGTCAGGAGAAACCGTCGGGTGACGACCATGTGCACGAATACCCACAAGAGGGAAGTGAGGATGGAGAAGCGAAATCACAAGTCTATACCCAAGCTGCGGCGGAAACAGTACATACCTTTTTACGTCAGAACTCGACGTACCAGAGGGGAGCAAAGTAAGTTAACTCTTGTTCTCGAACCTGTTCGAGACTGACCATCGCAGCCTCGATTACGAAGAACGTTCAGTTGACCAACACGTATATGATGTTGATTACGTCCCAGCCCCGGAGCAGTACAAACCTGGTCTCTTCGGGGCACTGCTTGCTTACAAGCTCAACCACCTACAGCAAGACTGGTCTAACAACCAAAAACAACCACAAAGCCGCCCAGGTGGACAGACGAAGCATGATCCGAAAGGTCACCAGTACTCTCAGTCACTCACGACGTCACTCCCCACTTCAGGCACAGCGACCCCCTCCAAGAAGGTCAAATGGTACGAGAAGCCGGAACAGAGCAACCCGACCGCTGCGGCCTTGATGCAAGCAGCTCTTTCATCGACCGGCCCCAGCGTGGCAGGAATGGGCGCCATCCCGCGCCCTCGGCCCGTGCGTCCCAAATCCGCCGACATGATCTCGACGGCCGTCGACATCATCACCCACGGCAAACACCATCATAACCGACATAGTGGCGCATACAGCACAAGCACGCTTGAAAACCACGTCGGCCTCATCACCGAGGTCGCCGATATCATCGCACGGAGGGACTATCTGATCAAGTTGTGTGGCGCCTTCATGGAATACGGTGCCCCTACCCATCGCATGGAAGAATATCTCGGCGCCTCTGCTCGCGCGCTACTCATCGACGCCGACTTTCTCCACATTCCAGGTGCCATGATCTGCACTTTTGCCGACCGAACCATCCACGCCAACAACGTCGACATCGTGCGAAAGCGCTCCGGGCTCGATTTCGCCCGCCTCAAGGACGTGTTCAACGTGTACAAATGCGTCATCCACGACAAACTCACTGCCGAGGACGGCATTCGCGAGATCGACAATATCCGCAGACGACCCGATAACTACTCGGAACTATTTCGCATCTTGATGTTCGGCGTGGCTTCGGTTGTGGTCGGGCCCTTTTCTTTCCAGACCCGTCCTGTCGACTTTGGGCCTATTTTCCTTCTCGGATGCGCAATCGGATTCATGCAGGTCAAGATCGTGCCGCGCTCAGAACATTTCAGCAATGTGTTCGAGGTCTTCGCGTGCGTGTTCGCGGCCTTTATTTCCCGCGCTCTCGGTTCTATCCAATATTCGGACGGACAGTACATTTTCTGCTTCTCGGGCATGGCGCAGAGTAGCATCGCCATGATCCTCCCGGGATTCATGATGCTGAATTCCGCGCTCGAACTACAAAGCCGGAATCTGATTTCGGGCTCGGTACGTATGGTTTATGTGATTGTCTATGTTCTGTTTCTCGCATTTGGCCTGCTCATTGGTACCACTGTCTTCGGCCTGATCAAGCGTGGCGCTGTCTCCTCCACCACCTGCGACATCCCGCCCTGGTTCGCGGCGGAGATGAACTGGAAGCTGATACATACGCGCTTTATCTGGGCCCCGCTGTTTGCTTGTTGCGTGGGTCTCATCTACCAAGCCCGATGGCGGCAGTTGCCCGTGATGGCCCTCATTGCCGTCTGTGGCCATCAAGCCAACTTCTGGATCTCCACCCAGCTTTCCAGCAATCCGCAAGTTGCAAACGCCATCGGCGCTTTCGTCATCGGCTGTATTTCCAATTTATACTCGCGGCTGTTCCACGGGCTGGCCGCGACTGCCATGCTACCCGCCATCTACTGTCAAGTGCCCGGTGGTCTGGCGTCTTCTGGATCGCTGGTTGCAGGCGTCGTCTCTGCCAACCAGATTTCTGGGAACAGCACTGCGACTGCTCAAAATGATTCCGGTGACGGTTTGTCTGATGGGACAATCTTCACCGTCGGCTACAGTATGGTCCAGGTTGCCATTGGTATCAGCGTTGGCTTGTACCTGAGCGCATTGGTCGTGTATCCCTATGGAAAGAGAAAGAGTGCTCTAGGTAGTTTTTGATCAGCTTAAGACAGATGTCTATAAAGCGATGTTATTTGCAGCCTGACGACAATGATAAAACGTAGTCCTGAAGTCTCAGTCCCTTGCAACCCAGTCTCGAGCACCGCGGTGCAATTACTCCTAAGGTTGATACAGTGGTATTAGTGGCTTTGCTTATGTGAATTCATCCATGATCCACACACGCAGACTCTGACCTGGTGCATCGACCCGCTGTTACCTACGCGATCATCAGCAGAGCCGGCAGCAAAATCTTCATCGGATTAACGACCCTCGTCGGGCTTCGCGTCCCAAGATCTTAGCTTTGGACTTTACTGTACCTGTTTGCGTCCGCAGCTCGGCGACACGGACCGGATCGTTCTTGTAAGATTAAGATCAGCCAGGTTCGCGGATCCTTGTGACCACCAGTGGTTGGACGAGGCATCGGCTCTCTTCTTCGTCTGTTATCTTTGGTGCTGTGATAGAATGATACTCGCATTCTGGCCATATTGATGGCTGCACCGGCTTCGGTTCACGTTCGTTCTTCCACTCCCACTCCCACTCCCACTCCTTCAGCGGCTTACATGACTGACTCTAGCATCGCCGCCATCGCGTTGGGCTTGTTCGGTGTCGTTATCGCGCCCGCACACTCATTCTCCTTGATCAGCTGCACGGGAACGGCATAGATCTGCTTCTCACCCTTGGGGAATCAAGATCTCTTGATCTGGTCTCGAGGTGTCGTGTGAGCTATGTTATCCCCTGACAGCGTTGCCACTGATAGGGAGTTCGAATGCGATTGAAAGGAAACCCACCAGATTTGATCCGCCAAACTTCTTGCACCTCGATAGCATTAGCATCGTCTTGCTTCCCAGACGCCGTCTTCTTATTCTGAGCATCAAACCTTCATTGCCATTTGAACAGAATCGGCTTCGAAGTCTTTGCCAGCATTTAGCCGGCCGACAGCACCGTGAGAGAGAGCCCGTAATTGGTCCTGCGAGGAGACTACCATCACCTGAATCATCCATGCTGTGGATCCGACAACGAGTTCCGCCAGCAGGGCAGACAAGGTTGTTCGTCGTCCGTGGTCAGAATCCGGCAGGCGCGGCAAGTGGTGGTTGATCGAAAGGAACCCCGATATCTGGTTTATCTGGGTCCTGATGCTTCTTTTTGACAGTTTCGAGTGGAGAAGTGACGCCAAACCCCAGCAGTACCAGTCCGGGTTGAGCCGAGGAGGAAAGTGGCTTGCTTCCAAGAGGATACACAGTCGTCCGAGGGTTTACTCCATACCGATATTTCGAACCGAGAGCGGACCTAATTAAATGATTCCATGAGGGGACAGTGGATCTGTCTTGGATTTCCTCTCTTCCTCAACGTTTAGATCTCGAGCAAAGCAATATTGTATTCCCCGAGGCCTTCCATCACGGATCAGAGACCCGGGGTCCTTGGATTGAGCAAGGAGGGGGGACGAACGGCACTGAGTCGTCCTTCACTGTCCTTATTGACCACAACAACATGCGAGCCAGCCAGCTTCAATAACCAATGCAGGAGGTCCATACTTTTCTTTACAACCTCTTGAAGTAGAGATGGTCTTTTTTTCTCATCAAGCCGCCCAGACAGAGCCTTGAGTTCGTTCTGGTAATTCCAGGTTCCTTTACCCCTTTGGCCGGAGCCGTCTTGCACCCACGTGTAGTACAGCCGGGTAATACTGATACTCCCTCCGTACTATACTACGATGCGGCCTGCTGCCGGCTCCCGATGTAAGCATCGCCGTCGCATATTTCCCTCTTTTAATCCAGCCTGCTGTGATGAACGTGGACCCGGACGAATCGCGCTTGCTGTGAACGTGAAACTGATATACAGGCCCGAGCAGGTGGATACAGTGGTTGAACTGGCTGAATCAAGTTCGGGAAGTCAGAGGGAAAGATCCAGCGGGTATGACATGCGGTGTATGAGCGGACAAGGGAGAAACGGAAAGCCGAAGGACAAGAAGCTGAATAAAAAGCGAGTGGAGACGGCATGGCGGATGGGAAAGACCGGGGGATTGTTTCGCTTGATTGAGGCCCCGTCTACGGCCCGCACTGGCGCTTTGCTTGCCTTGCAATGCTGGTGGTGGAGGGTGTGAGATTACGATATCACCGTGGCAAGTATCCGGTCCGACGCCCGCGGGGTGGCCGAGAACAGCAACACCACAAATGAATGATAGTGGCGGAGGGGATGAAGACGCCAAATCGGGTATGTCTGCTCGGCCCCGCCGGGAGACATGTTTCTATAGAATGTCGCTATTGCTCCATCACACTGTCGATCGCGTTGTATCGTCCCCCCTTTGCCGCCCCCCACCAACCCCTAGCCTAATAGGAAGATTACCAAGTTCGGATGCCATACTATGCAAAGCGTTTCGAACCACATCGCTCCAGCCCTCTTCCCCGGGAGCCTCAGCACCCGCAGCTTATACAGTAAGAATGCCGTCGCGTATCGTCAAATACAGGGGAACTTGCCACTGTGGCACCTTCCAATTCGAACTGTCTGTTCCGGAGATCAAGACCGTCACGGTGTGCAACTGCGACATGTGCTTCAAGAGGGGCTACCACTGGATATTCCCCACGGCGGATCAGTTCAATATTACCAAATGTGAGACGGAGCCGTGCCGTTATGAGGCAGCGGGCTCAGGAACCCATGCGGTCAGTATACCCAGTACTGGTCTGCATATCCCATGCACGTATGCGACTGACCGAGCCCCATGGTAGTTTTGCGGGACTTGTGGCACGGGACTTCTCCTGACCGACACAGACGGGAGAGTTGTTGCCTTGAATGTACGCCTGGCCCCTTTTCCCGTCAAAGTGTGGCAAGATAGCTGACGTGCGGCGTGGAGGGAAGGGCGCTTTTGGATGTGAACCCATTTTCTGTGACGCCTGTTGACGACACATTGTGAGTGCCCATGTACAATTTCCTAGTCCTCCTCTAGCAAGGAAGAGGGCTGTGAGCGGTGTGTGCAGTGGCTGTATCTACTATCCAGGCTTACAGGGAAATCTGATAGAGGGATTCTCAAACAGCATGCTTTGCCTCTTGTCCCAAGGAAATCGCTCGATGAGTATCTGCACGAGAGGAGAAACGTCCAAGCAAGTTGTCACTGTCGAGCCGTCAGGATAACCATCACGGTACCTGCGACCGGAAAGCTGCAAATGAGGGAGGACAATTGCAGCATCTGTCAGCGTGTGAGAAATGCCCGTGAACTGTTAGACTATGACGTTGCCGACGCTGACAAGGCAGAATGCTAATATTTGCATATACCCACGAACGTCTCAAGTGACGGTCACAGGCTCCGAAAACATCACGGAATATCGCTTCGAGCGGAAGTTCACGGGCCATCGATTTTGCAAGATATGTGGCGTCCAGATGTACATGAAACTCCACGGTCCGCCGAAGGAACTTCTGGATACGTGGTCGCCGGAGAGACAGCGAATGGTCCAGGACAAGGTCGACATTGTCCCCGTCCGGTGTCGAGGCTTTGACGGGATCGAGTGGTCTGAAGATCAGGTTGAGAGGAGTAATGTGGGTACGGACGGTTATGACCCTCGCTGAGCATGGCTGAGAATCGCCGTCTTAGAATGTAGTTTGTCCAAAGATTCTCCCAAGGTTCTCTGGTTGACTACCGTAAGTTCATGAGACACGACGTCTCTTCGGGGCGCTGTCTCGGTACGTTCCGATGCCGATCAGTCGTGCCGGTCCCGGTCACGCACCTAGTGGGTCAGACTCACAATATACTGGGTAGTTCAAACGACGCCGTCGGATGGCGGAGAGCCCCATAGATCTCGCCGCAAAGAGGCAATCATGAGAGAGAGTCGTCCAGCAGGAAAGCATTCGGTATCCCTACACCACCAGATTTCCGGCTGGCACTTCCGAGCCTCTACCGTGTCTCACTCCTGTGGTCAAAGCTTAAGTGAGCAAAGCTTTCCGCTAGCGTGGTTTGCTTTAGTTGTGAGACAGGCCCCTCTGTTACATTGCGGTCTGAACAGGCAGTGGTAGTAGGTGGCCCAATGACCGGAGTTTGGCCCAGGGAGAAGTTAATAGACATGTTTTGCGGGCACGCTGCCCAGGTGTCCACTTTGGGTTACTGCATTTACTAGCTCGTACTCCGTACTGTATTTCGTATTTCGCTGCTTCCCCAGGTCTGCTTGGTCTGACGTCAGGCACCCGTCAGGCTATACCCCTAAATTGGATGTCACGCAAGGCAGGCTATACGGATAAGTGATCAAGAGACACCATTCGCCCGTCCCCAACCTGTAGCTTACCACGGTACTTAGCTGTTCAGTAATCGGAATCAATGGTTGGACAAAGGATTGCAGCAGGCCCATTCCTTCAGGATTCAATCCACCTCGAAGTGGCGCTAATGGCTAGTGAGCGGCCGCATATCCCTGCCCTTTGAACGTCGCGTGCATCGGAAGAAGAAGAAGACGAGTATGAGTACGTGATGCGTTCGTGACGTTTGGAACCTCCAGAATCAGGGTTATGCAACTTTCTACATGCAGGATCATCTGTGAAACTGATTCCATTCGACAGTAAGCCCTGCATGGCTAGAGGCACCGAGTGGCCCAATTGTGACAGCGAGTCGGGAACGAGTGATGACAACCTATTTGGGACGTGGGAATGCGTTTGCGTAAAGTCGCTGTCGGTGTGATTCTTTCGGCCTGTACAACACGGCACGACAAGACCCGTCCAACACCCGTCGTGAAGCACATGACCCTCCGGGCCGAGTCTCGATTGCTGTAAGCTTCCACAATCAGGGTTCGTGTATAGCAAATGCCCTCAGCAGCTCTCTACAGAGACGGGCGATCTCTCACCTCGGTTCTTCGCCCCATCACCACCATGGCGCCCTTCTCCTTCTCAAGAGCAATGCGCATGTCCTACAGCCCAGCTCCTTCAGAGGAAGTGTCTTCAGAAAAGCTTCTGGGACCAGAGTCCAACGAGGACGGCGAGGCGCTGTCAAATCGAGACACCATAATTGCCATAGAACGCGTGAAGAGAAGATGGAAGCTTCTGGCGCTGTCGTCCAGCGGCCTCGTTGCTGTCCTCCTGCTGGCCTTGACGTGGATGTTTGCGTCGTTCAAGTCCCGGGAAGTGCCAAGTTTGTATTGTAAGTGACCACCACATCCAGCCCTGTATTCTGAGAGCTCAGACCTCACACGGTTACTCGTTCAGCCCCGGCAGAAGTCGCTGTCGAGTATGAGACGGTGGTATTCCACAACAACTTCTGGGAAGACCGCACGCCGTATCAAGGTCCACCCACGGACGAAGTGGACATGGCATGGGACGCTTTATACAAAGGTATGTAAATCCTGATTCCAAAGAGGGCAGTGAGATTTTCTCAGGCCATGCTGCTAACAGACATCTCTGATCAAGACGTCGGAGTCATCAAAGTGGACGGTCGGACAGCACGACAAGTGCCAAACATGACGCTTCCAATCCCTGGAGAAGAGGACAGTTACATTCTGGGCATCGAGGTCTTCCACCAACTCCATTGTCTAGTAAGTGCCCCTCTCGGAGAGCCGTAAAAGCGGTGCTGCGAGGACAGCTACTGACTCATCTCCCGTGTAGAATAGCATCAGAAAGGGGCTCTACCCGGATCGATACCAGGAGACCAAAGACATGTCGGACAACGAAAAACGGCTGTACTGGATCCATATCGGTGAGTTCTTGAGCAAGGGGACGAATTGGACCAGTCATTTGCGACCTTTTTTCTTTCCTTTGGTGTTGATACTGACTATACTCGCGACCTCTAGAACACTGCGTGGACTCGATCAGGCAGACGATCCAGTGCTACTCGGACATCAACACGATACCCTGGGTGATCAGTCCGAGGCACCATCGCCCCGCCCCTGACGCACACACGACACACATGTGCCGTCGGTTTGACAAGATTCAGGAATGGGCCAAGGAGCGGGCCTTTACGCAGAAGGAGTATGACCTCCGTCTAGCGGCACAGCAGCAGGGATGAACTATTTCCGGGCTGCACGGGAGTAATAAGTCTTTTAGATGTAGCTTCGTGCAAAGCAGTGTTTTGGCCCCCGTTGATTGAGTATGCTACTAGAAAGATTGACGTAGCTTCTCCCACTCGTCTCCAGTGCCTCGTGCAAAGTCACCTGCCCTCCCCCAGCTCCCTCCTTGCAGATAAGGTGCCATGAATGAGTGCAGGTCTTGGTATATATTCGGCTTTACGCAATATTGACAAGTTCTTAAGGCCATGTTTGTCAAGATGCAAGGGCGTGTCTTGATTGTTTTGATATTTGAAGAAATCTACATGGGATAGCTTGCGCCGCATCCATCATCACCACACCTGCTCGCAATTTCACCTCCATTCCGTCGTCTCTGCAACCGGTCCCTGCCTTTGCTGCGTCACAAATACGCTGGATCATGCTAAAAGTATCCGCAGCTCGTCCAGGTCGCCCTCACCAATGTCGGACATATCATGTCTGCCGTGCAGTTCGAGTCCTCGTGCAGGTAGTCGTCTAGCAGGACTTCCTCGCAGTGGTGAGTGTGATGCCAATTGGTCAAGTCGCTGTCCACGGGTCGGTGTTCAATCAGGGCTTTGTGCATCTTCTGCCACATGTAGGTGCAGTGGATGGCGTGGTACTTCTTGGCCGTGAAGAGTTGCGGGTGGTCGCCACGGAAGACGATGTCCATGGGTACTTGGCTTTCAGGGGTCAAATGCCAGTCCGTGTGCCACGACCAGTCGGTGCGTTGCATAAAGTCGTCGATGAGTTCGGCGTCATAGCACTCGGGCCGGACCCAGAGCCAGCTCATGGGGTCGAAGACACAGCCCTTGGCTCGTGCTTCCTCGACCGTGTGGCTCGAACCACAGTCACCCAGTTCCGTTCCGGTGGCCTTTATGTGCAGCGAATGTTGAATGTTGTGCACGCCGACAGAGGTATAGGCGACAGCGCACAGGCTCGCCAGGATGACGACACCGGCGAGGCCAACCAGGATGGACCTCAACCAGCCTGAGCGACGCTTGCTGGCCTTCCACTTTCCTCGCAGGAGGCCAAGGTTGCTGTCGTCCTCGTCTCTGTTGCTGTCGCTGTCGAGGTGGTCATCACCCCGAACGTCTAACTTCTCGTATCCTCGAGTCATGGCTGAGCCTGGCGGAGAATCTCGTCCTCCTAGCACTGACATTCTCTGCTGGTCACGGTGGCAGGAAGCGAGGAGAAAGGGATTCAATATAACCCGTGGACCAATTTAAGCCACTGGTAGGATCCTTGCTGAGTAGCTCAGGTGTATGACCAAAGCCAGAAGACGAGTGCTGTAGGTCAAGAGCACAGTGGGCGAAGATGAGGAAGGGACTATGGATACGAAAGTCCTGGAGCATCGAAAGACGTATAGTCGTTAACTAGGTTAGGTCATTCCGCTCTTCGAGCTGTCCAACACCCCTTGTGGACACCAAGTAAGCAGGCAGAAGATCAGCCGATGGCCAACTGCTTCTGATGTCGACGGGTATTCAAGCTCACTGCACCAAGAGCAGCAAGTTTCGTGTTAGAGAACTGTCCAGCAAAGTAAGCCATCGCGAGCGGTGGACCATTCACAAGAAGTATTGTTTGCGCCTTCCATTATAGGCAAAGCCAACATTTTGCGCCTTCCGCGATCGGGAAGGTCAACGGTATATAGTCGTGAACGTGTGTGCTGATGATGGGGTCAGCACAAAAGGCCTGGCTCCACTCCAGCGGTATAGACTCCTGCAGGAGCTCGCGTGTAACCGGTCGAACTGCGTTACGCATGTATGACCGTCATACCGAACCGGTCATTTCAAGGCGGACCGGAGGCCTGTTCCACGCCGCGTTCCTCCTATCCACACCTGCAACCGGTGACATACAGAAGGTCTTCAGCTTTGGATGGGGTGGAGCAGTCATACCGCAGCGTGATGGTGTTGAGGTCGCTTTCCGGGAGTTGGCGATCCCCCTGCCGGCTTCTTCCCATGTCACCCTCGACTATCAACATTGACACGAGTCCTGACTCCGTCCCACGTGCCGCAAGAAAGTGTCTGTTCGTCTGCGACAGCGACGTCTCCTCTCTTCAACGAGTACAACACAGAGAAGCGTCGACAAAGATCACCTAGCCACGCTGTAGCCATGTGGCCGTTTCCCAATGCTGCGGAAAAAGGCAAGTACACGCCGATCCAAGGCGGGGAGAGCTTCAGCAGCTTGGACTCGGAAGAGGTACAATCTCCTCTTCGATTTCCGAGTCAGCCGTCGTGGACGACAAAATGTCTTCGATGCCTCCCATGGGCGACGACTCTGCTTTTCGCTTCGACGACGGTCTTCCTGGCCATGACACAGAGGAGTGCACCGACACTGGGATCTTTCGATCGAGGATGGGCCACGGACTTCAGTAGGTATATCATCGTACGCGGGGTTGTTTCTAGGTCCCTGACTGTGCGCAGTCACCGTGCGGTCAGAGATCAAGGCCGAACAGATCACGTTCAACGGGAGTCCAGCGTTCGATGAGAACAAGACCATGTTTGTCCCGAACCCAGATCCAGTCCGCTATGTTGGTCCACCCAGTCCTGAGATTGACAAGAACTGGGAGAAATTGACCTGGGGTTGGTTCCCTTCTGAGTCCTCCTCGAAGACACCAGGTGCTAACTCGGGCCAACTCTAGGCCGCTATTTCTTGATAACGGAGGAGGAAGCGCGAGCCAGCTGGGGTGAGGAAATCGAAGAATACTGGGATGAGCAGCGCGGAGGCTACGTGACCGGGTAAGCAACGTCCCAGAGTCCTCTGCCGGGCCTCTTTCTAACACTGTGGCAGCCTCGACGTCTTCCACACGCTCCACTGCCTGGTAAGCTCAACGACCTTGCTGTTACTTCGCGCTCCAAGCTGACTGATTGCCAGGACAACATGCGAAAAGCCCTGCATCCTGAATATTACGGTGACGGGAAAGCCAACAAGAACCACGACATGCACCAGGACCATTGCATTGAACATATGCGCCAATTTATCATGTGCTCGGGCGACATGACGCCCATTCCCACCAAGTACTATCCGGCCCTGGGGAGGAACTACGTCGACTCGGACCGGCCTCATACGTGCCGGAATTTTGAGCAGCTTCGGCAGTGGATGGTCGACAGATACGAGGGACCGACAGCGGTGCAGCCTAGTACTCGATCAGCTTCCAAATAGGCAGTACATTTAACACTGTTTGAACATCATTATATCGATGGTAGTGATCAGAGTAATCGACGTGCAGCGCGCTTGTCATTGAGCCACCGCTTCTTGTTCCAACGTGTCTTCTCCCTTCACTTCCCGTGCACCTTCCTTTCACAGCAACATCCCTTCAGGATTATGCCAAGTTCCTCTCAACCGATCATTACTGCCCTACCAATCCTATGTCATTCTTACGGCATCCGCAGTGCGCACGAGATTATGGCAAGTAGCCTTAACTGGTAGGAGTCGAAGAACCTCTTAAGACCTAGCCTTTACGTATGTAGAAGTTGCTTGCCGAGACCGTGCTACAGATTGTCCCCTTCAGCCCCGTTCATCCCACGTTCACCCCAGGTCAACACCCGTCCAGACCAACTCATGGAAGATTTCAAGGACCTTGCCACGAGAGAAGAGAGCGCTTGATCTGTGAAAGAGTGTGATGCCGCTGAAAGAATGCACAAGTCAGCTTGAGATCTCCTCGCCGCAATGTGGGTAACTCACTGATGACGGTTGGTGTGTCCCTCGACTCTAGTCGCCATTGGGGGTGTTGGTGTCTAGATACGCTTGCCGACATCTGCCCAGGTGACCACACCCTCTTCTTGAGCTTCACCTCGCTTGCCAACGTCGGCCCAGGTTACAACGCCTTCCTCCTGAGCCTCGCCGCGCTTACCAACGTCAGCCCAGGTGACGACACCCTCTTCTTGAGCTTCACCTCGCTTGCCAACATCAGCCCAGGTGACAACACCTTCTTCCTGGGCCTCGCCACGTTTACCGACATCGGCCCAAGTAACAACACCTTCCTCCTGAGCCTCACCGCGTTTACCAACGTCGGCCCAGGTGACCACACCTTCCTCCTGAGCCTCACCGCGTTTACCGACGTCGGCCCAGGTGACCACACCTTCTTCTTGAGCTTCATCTCGCTTGCCGACATCAGCCCAGGTGACCACACCTTCTTCTTGAGCTTCGCCTCGCTTGCCAACATCAGCCCAGGTTACAACACCCTCCTCCTGAGCTTCACCGCGTTTCCCAACATCGGCCCAAGTCACAACGCCTTCCTCTTGCGCCTCCCCGCGGGCAAGGATGCCGATCACAGGGTTGGAGACCGGAGCGCCGGTAACAGAGCCGACAAGAATGCCAACAGAGGCCAAGATCAAAGAAGTCTTCATGGCTAGAAAAGGCTACTTATATTGTCTGGTTTGGCGAGTTGGTGTTGGCAGTGAATGTGGTGGAGTTGGCGAAGCAAAAGACAAAATGTGAGTGAGTTGAACGAGTGCTGATCAAGCTGCAGGACGGCTCCTTGGTTCCTTTTGTCCTCGTACAATATGACTTCTCGTTGAAACAAACCCACATCGTCATCTTACCCCGTAGACCGTGGGCTAGGTGTGGAATCAAGCTAGGGCTCGGTGGCCAACTGCTCGAACATTGTCACAATGTAACTGTGGATGCTTCGGGAGTTGAACAAGATCAGGTTGCGTTCGTGGCCGGACCAGGCAGATGCATGTCGTCCCTACACCGCCGGTAAGCCGCCACGGTCGATGATCCTGTAGGAAGCCGGGGCGTCCAACGTTAGGGCTCCAGTGGCGGTCGATCACATCAAACTGCGAGTAGAGCCCTATTCGGCTGCACTTTTGCCCATCGAAGATGGAAATTACCTAGGTAGTAGTGCTGAGGATACCGATATCCACTCTGTAACGCAGGTCAGAAATTGTATCCATGTCGTTTCAAATGACGGATAACGCATGTCGACAGGAGCACAACCTCTGATCCACCCACCATCAGCAGGACTCATGTTTCGCAGGATGTAAACCTGACTCTTTGAAGGCGATGATTGGACAGACTGGTCGATTAGAGACATTTGGCACGCCGAGGTCAATGGATCGAACGGCGTATCAAGGCCCGCAGCCTCGGAACAGTGACTACCTGTCTGATACCGTAGGATTCGCCATGACTGCCCAATAGAAGATCATGGCTCGAACTCCAGATCATGTGGAACTAACAGAGACGCATGCAAACAAACGGACCGAGTCGAATGTAGGTCTTTGCATAGCGTTGTCACATCCCCCTTCCCTCTCCTCAAAGAAGGATCCGACAAAGACGTGATGGGATGCTTTCCACCTTGAGCAACGTTAATTAGCATGTGCACACATCCTTGACGCAATGCTCGCTGCCGACAACACCGGCGGCATCACGCGGTTCCTTCTTCGCCACTCATCCCGGGAACAACAGAATTGTGGTTACCCCGCTAAGAGACGGTGTTTCTACCCCGTAGGTGATCTTATCTCCCACGGCAAAACACCAACGGAGTGGCACTTTGCACCAAGGTCACCATGTCTTACGAGCCGGTGCCAACCGAGGACGGAGATGCGAAATCACAAACGCAACAGGACAACAAGCCGGACAGCGTGGGCGCAGGTCTGGCTAGAGTGCAGCAATTCTTCAGCTTCACCAGATACTTCATCGCCGCCACGGCGCTGCTGGCCATCATCCTGACCGTGTTCTACTTACCACGGGACGCGCGCACTCGAGCCAACGACGACAGTCATCTCGAGCTCGCGCCGGAATCGTGTGGGAGCTCGGCGACCGAAGCGGTCTCGCGCGGGTGCGTGTTCGACGTCATGGAATTCGCGTGGGTGCCCTCACGCTGCTTCGATGGGGAGTTGCTGGAGGATTTCCTCGCCCTGCGCGACTGGGAATGGTATCTCGACGCGGCTGCGACCGAGGCGGCAGACAAGGACGCCGTCGCTCAGGGCCGCCACGACGAGGTCTTCGTCACACAGCAGTATCACATCTACCACTGCACCTACATGTGGCGGAAGATGCACCGGGCCTTTCTCGCCGGCGACGTGTTGGACGGTTACATCGCCGACACGCACCACACGGCGCACTGCGAGTTGCAGCTGGCAAACTATTGGCGGTCTGGCATCAACGACACCGGCACGTCCATTTACGTCAAGTACTCGGATTGTCCTGCATCGCGACAGGCGCAGGACTTGGGCCGGTTCGGATGGTACCGCATGATCGGCGGGCAGCGAGTTCATCGCAATCCCTGAAATTTCTATAGCGCCAAAAACCATGGAGCAGTTACGGAGTATGTTGTTGCCCCTCTCCTACTGTACGCTGCTTCAATGGTCCCCCCATCAATGAGATCCAAGACTTTGCACACGATGGGTGCTAAGGACTGTGAAAGCTGTAGAGTATGCGCTCCCTCATGGGCTACTAAAGTGTGCCCCTCGCCCGCATGATGTGCCCAATATGGACGGATGCACCAGGGCGTATGGAGGCGTATGGCGGAGAACAAATAAACCGATTAAGTTACCTACCTTAGACAAGCATTGCCGGTGCCGCAGACATCTCGGTATGGATTCTAATTCAGGCATATGGTGGTATCGGTGGTATTTTGTCTTGACTGCATTGGCTCTCGCTCAGTCTGTCACCTGGCACTAGCAATCCTTCGCCGCTGGGCAGCAGATTCCGAATCCTTTCGCTAATCGACGGCCGAGCCATTTGCGGCCGCCCATATTGAGGCATGCTCGAAAAGGGCGAGATCAAAGACCAATCAGCTACGACAGGTGAAACGACTAAATGACGATCCGTCTCGAAGCTCTGATACCAAGAAGATCTGCACAGTTACTATGTACTCCATGGACGAGTAGCTTGAGCGGGCTTGTCGCTGTGCGGCACAATCATCCGTATTAGAGTCATGCAAACTGTCAGGGATGCACGGTCAGTGAAATAGGAGAACGTAAGGCTTTGGAGCTTTGGAGCAAGCAAGCACTCGTTGGATCTACCATTTGTTGATTCATTGAAAAAGACGTGCTGAAAGGCCGCTACCAAGCAACCAGGAAGAGGGACAGACACTTCGATATTCTCCTGCTTTTGACTGGGAGTAGATTCCTTGGTGATTGGTGGAGATACTCGAGTTCTACAATACAAGAATGCGGTACACTCCATTGCTGAAGCCGAAATACAAGTCGATTCGCTGAGGCATGAAGTCATGCAAGACAAATAGGGCCATTGCGCGTGATTCTCTTGTCGTCAATCCTTGAAATCCTAAGAAAGATTTCAGCTTCACCGCGGTCGATAGCGTAAAGCTGGAAAGAAGTAAGGGCGCTCGTACCTCGATGGGACGCTTCATTGACAGGCTGCGACGATACGCTAGCCTAGAAGTGCTACAACAAACATGACTGGGAGAACAATCTTGACTACACTGGACATTCGCGCAAGTGCCTCGTTCGTGGATGGTAGCCCCGGGTTGGTCGTTGGAGATGCGGTTGTCGACGCGGTTGCCGATGCGGTTGTAGTTGAAGATCCGCTTTGACTACTGCCACCAATGCTCACTGTGCCGCCGAGATAAGGTTGAGACGCCGGTGAAAACGTACTCGCGTCCTGAGCGGTCTGATTCTGCAGAGGGTTCTGCCGAAGGGAACATAATGGGCGTGTTCCGATAGTCGCGAGTTGAGTCAGCTGCGGAATAGAATTGGTGACCTGGATCGGGAGGTTGAAGATAGTATAGTATCCAGTACCATTGATTCGGAACGACTGATGGATCGATATCTGCCAGAAGTCAGACTTTGCATGAGATGCCAGCATACGCGTTGTCGCACGTTGTACGAGCCCCTGTCTCTATCACTGTCGTCGATCCCAACTAAACAATCGGGCCATGCCCAGTTGACGTGCTTCACAGTGCTTCCGCTCTCTTGGGCCATGATTTCCTGACAGCCGGCATTCTGGAAGCCCTGGGTGGTCGTCCCACCGCACTTGAACTCTTCATCTTCGAACGTATCACTGCGCCAACCGGACCCAGTGCCGTTTGATATCGTCATATTGAGCAAGGTGTTGTAACTGAACAGGAACATGGTGATATTCAGAGTCCCTGTGTCTCCGTCTGGTGGATAGTACGGCTGTGGGAGTTTACCATTGCCTGAGATGTCGATCGCAACTTGAAGGAAGTCTGAGAATCACAGGTTAGTGACTTCAATCCTGAGCTTCCTCCTTCATTGAGACCTCCAGCTCCTCGGCAGCGGGGAATGGTGAATCCCTAGACTAGGGACTAGGGACTACTTACCTCCGCCCAGAGGCGTGAAAGGCTGTGGCGCATCGACGATAGCTAATCCTGGAGTATATATTTGACCATTTACGATCGTGAAATTGGAGCCTGATTGCGCATAACTCGCTGCGGTGAGGCATAACATGAGCACCAAAGCTCTAGAAACCCAGGTAAGCGCCATGAGAGAGGTAATCGGGGTAGCAGTCAACGTGGGCAAACTTCAACTCATTGTCGTCGAGTCCGACCATGGGCGCGATACATCGCAGAAGTCTTCAACTCTCTTCACTGTGAAAAATGGCAGCCTTGGAAAAGGGCAACCTGCTCGTGACGGCAATCAAAGTCGCGACACCAAAACGAATTTCTAACCCTTGTTGGGCGACCTGATACTTTCTACCTTTGTTTGTGCGAATGACGAAACACATTTTGTTCCAGAACAAGAAGTTGACAAATAAGTCGGCACCGACCACAGAGCATCATTTTCGTCGCGTCTATTGTATCGTGCATGTTCTCAGCTATCACCGAGGCTTGAAAGGAGACAGCAGGAGGAAGCCAGCCAGAAGTTCAACATCGGAGAATTGAGCAGCGCCGAGACCCACTTCCACGTGATTACCACGTGACCACCACTTTCAGTCCAAGCTTCAGCTTCCGCAATTTCGACGTTAAACCAGTTCAGTGTCCATCAACTCCGCGCCATCAATTCAATACCTCCCGGTCCAGCATGGAGCACGTCTGCGCACGTTGCGCAAGACTTGGCTTCGGATCCAAAATCACCTCTCCCTCACCTGCTCTAGCTGGTGTCGCTAGAGCATTTTCCACGTCAAGGACATGCTATGATGAAGGTATACACAACCCAGCGGACAGGGAGCTTTCAGAACAGATAGCTGACAAACGACATCAGGAGATAAAAGGCCATCATCCTCATCACCTCCACGAGGCAGACCCCTACCTGGCACTCCATTACGCAGAAATACCCCATCGAGTACAGGAGCCGGTGCGGCAACCCCTCGCCCAGGAGGCATACAACTGCAACGTACAGACGGACCACGAACCCAGACTGCCTCAGGAGCCAACACGGGCACTGGCACTGGGACGGCTACAGGACCTAGGAGTGGTGTAGGAGCCGCAGGGCGCACACCTCCGTCTAATCGCGTCCTCCAACGCACGGGACCACCTCGTCCAAGCCAAGGTCAACTTCTCGTCCGACGAACACAACCGGGTCAAACCCAAAAGCAAGGCCCAGGACAAGGGCAAGGTCGCAACCAACAAGCACAGGGCCAACGATTCGGCCCACGAGCCGGGCCACGAGGCCCAGGTCAATCCCAATTCCAATCTCGAACTCCCGGCGGCGGCGGTGGTCCTTCGAACACCAACACCAACACCAATCGCACGGACCGACGCGTCCGCCGCCTCGCAGAAAACACCGCCTCGCGATCCGCCGAAGAAGAAGACCCTTCGTCCTTCCACGCCCAAGACCTCCCCACCCGCGTTGAGAATTACATCAGCACGATCGTCGACCCGCCCGTCAACCCGACCACCGAACTTCCCCACACCCCCGGCACGACCCTCGCCGAGACGGAGCTGCGCAAGGACTGGCCCAACACCCCGCTCAGCAACGCCGGGCTGGTGGAAAGCGTGCAGCAGCGCATCGAATGGCTCGCCCACCGGTTGCCGCACGGCTACCAGACGCCCAACCAACTCGCCATGCACTACACGCGCGGCTATCTCACGCGCTTCGAGTCCGTGCAGGAGCGCGACGAGGTCCTCTCCATTTCACGGCAGCTGGCGCAGAAGTGGGCGGATCGCGACACCGAAAAGTCTGGCAGCTCGGGAGAAGTGCAGCCCGAGAACATGGACTTTGATAGCATTGCAGACAGAGAGGGTGAGCGCAACGGGCTGGCGGAGACGTGGGTCAAGGGCGTGTATCCTGTGGTGCAAAAGCAAAAGATGCCGTTTCTCGATCAGATCGTCAGGAATCTGAATAACAATGGCACAGTGACACCAGGCAAGGCCGAGCAGTTCATGCAGACGGTGCAAAGTGTCATTGTTTCCAGGCAGCCGTCGCAAGGTGGAGGTCAGGCGCCGAAGGTGGCTCAGAAATAAGTCAGTTGGGATTCCCGGAGAAAAGACCTCACAGCAGGAGTCGAAGGCTAGCGGCGTCCAAGACGAATTCATAGACCTGGGCTAGCATCGGTCCATATGTATAAAAGTTGGTTCTCTGCAAAATCCACCGTCGACCATCCCCAGCGAATGAATGCTATTATACAAAATGATTTTGAGAAACGTCCGACTGTTATCTCGACAGGCCGGTTCTTGCGTACACCCCCTCTCTTCCATACTGATTGGTGACACTCCGCGAGATCAATGTCCTTCCGTGGTCAAGCCAACCACTTCACTGCTGTACCTCCGCCGCCGACGCGCTTGAGCCAACACTTCCTCTCTCCATCTCAAATAAGGCAGACATTTGACACCCAAGAGCCCGTCCTTGGCGAGAATTGTGTCTCGGCACATGGGACACTTTGATTTGCCCATATGGCATAGCCAGTTGATCAGGCACCATCTGTGGAACTGGTGCTTGCACGGGAGCTTGTAGACTTCTTCAAAAATCCCGATCGGGTCGACTTGGCAAATGGCGCAATCGTACCCGTGCTCAGCTTGGGACCCTGTGGGAGAACGATGAGGCATGAACGGCACCTTGGGACACAGCTTCATGGCGTGGTTGTGATTGTCGAATATGTAGGCTTCTTGGAGTTCCAGAAAGCGGTATTGCTCGAGGAGGAACAAGGTAAGGAAGTACATTGCCGGTAGAAGATCTCCGTCCAGAACAGCCATGATCTGTAGGACATGTACCTAGATTGCCCAGCTCATCAAGACGCTATATTTAACCAGCGAGCGGTTGGTCAACTTTGAGCCTTCGGGGTACTGGCGCGGCGAGCATACAGCGATACGGACGTTCGCGAGGAGGAAGGAGCCGGGTTGAGCGGCGCACTCAAGTCGTCCAATGTCCAGCACAGCGAGGATGCAGAGGACAGGTGCCAGCTCCAGAAAGCTGAGGTAGACATGCATCTGACCGTTGACCTTGCGGAGATTGCGCCGTTCAGCGTCGTAGGGTTGTCCCAGCGCCGTGTATTTGGCATAGAGCCGCGCTGGGATGCTGATTTCATTCAAGCTGTGGATCCGATCACTGATGGTGTCTGATAGTTTAGCAATGACCCAGAGTCTGTTGATTAGGACAAATTTAGCATTGGCGATATGAGGTCTCAGTCTCTTCGTTTCTGCATCGACGCAAGGTGCGATGTTAAAGTGTATCACAGATTTCCTTTTGTAGTCCATCTTTACATTGTCCACTGAACTTCTGGCATGCAGGAACAGGCATCGGCCGAGTGAATGGGAGCAAGAATTAAGACGAGTATGATACCAATAGTGCTTTAAAATTGTCAAATAACCGTGAGAGATAATACGGGGAAAGTAGATTGTTGCAGCAGCTGTGACACCAACGAATGTTAAGGCAATGTGTTTACAAATAGAGAAGAACTAGGAATGTTGAGTAAGTAGAAATGCTTCTGAGGAACAGATCTCAGTGAATGAGGAAAGAACTACCTCCGGGGTAGAGACAATACCTGGTAAGAGCACCACTGTCGCAGCATGGTCAAGGAAAGCCGACGCCTTCTGCCACGCCGCGATCGACTCGACTCCACATACATAGATACTCGCGGCCAGAGTCCACGAGGTACATCTGTTGTAAAGGCATCCATCGAGGCCAGGGTATCTCAACCTTTATCAACCACTAAAATCATCGATGTCAAGGCAGGGCACCCTCTACCGTTGAGCGCTCGACCACAGTTCAGGCACGACAACACTTGCGTTCTAGACGCTTCCAGGGTAAACATCAGGAGTACCTCTCGATCTTGTTAGGAGGTGGCAGAAGGTGGTAGCTATCAGGACGGCAGGATAGGCGGCATGATAGCTGGTTAAGATAATGCTAAAACGAGACCGGTTGTCGACATTTTCGCAAGGTGCACTTCTCCCCAACCGTACACGGCGAGAGGGCATCTACCACCGTGACCCCTGCCTCGATGACGGAATCCAAGCGCTGAATAACGTTCTTGCATGTGAATAATCCTTGTGTCGGCCTCGCTCTTTTCTCAACATTCCAGAGAAGAGGCGGAAACAGGAGCAGTCAAGTCGAACAGAACGATCAATCCAGACTTCCTACCATGGCTCTTCCACCAAAATTCTCCGGACAGCTCCTGGCCTCGAAGTCCGGCGGCGAAGCAAAGCATACCATTGAACTCTATCTCGATTATGTCTGTCCTTTCAGTTCTAAGCTCTTCGCGACTTTCTATGGAAGCGTCGCACCAGTTATCGAGGAGAAATACACAGACCCAGGTATCCGCGTCATCTTCCGCCAGCAGATCCAGCCATGGCATCCGTCTTCGACACTTACGCACGAAGCCGGGGTTGCTGTTCTGAAGACTGCGCCCCAATCTTTCTGGCCATTCTCGAAGAAATTGTTCGAAAACCAGAAAGATTATTTTGATGTCAACGTTGTGAATGAGAGCCGAAATGAAACCTACAAGAGGCTTGCGAAGTTGGCCGGTTCGGTTGATGGTGTCGACGAAAAGACCATCCTGGATCTACTTTTGGTGCCTGACACGCCGGCTGAGGATGGTAGCCTCAATATCGGTAATAAGGTCACGGATGATGTGAAGTTCCAGGTGAAGGCCAACCGAGTGACCGGCGTTCATGTCACCCCCACAGTTTTGTTCAACGGGGTCGAGGAACGGAGCATCAGCTCATCTTGGACGTTCGAGCAATGGGACGAGTGGCTGAAGAAGAATGCAACTTGACTAGGAGGGGATCGACCGCATATGTTCAACGTCGACTCCGCAAGCTCTCGAGTAGTAGGGTGCGAGAAGTAAGGGACAAGAGTAATGCGAATCAGAGATCCATTCAATCCTGGCCGAGCTGAGTTCGGCACGGAACGGGTAGGATCTGCTAATCCTGGATGGAGAGTATCGTCTTGTGCGTAAATCTTCCGCCTCTTGGGATCTGCTCGTGAGAACGTACACAAACACGTCTGTAAGCACGCTTGCTGAATGCACATATGAAGACAATTCCTGCGTCCCGGAGAAAACGCCATTCCAATGCTGCGCTGGTCGGAGGATCGAGTCGATCTGACGAGCAAGGGTATCACTGAGCTGGAGCCTGATATCCGATGGGACGTCTGAGCCTGTCAGCAACGGAAACACGTTCGGAGCAGCAGACGTACTTGAACAGGAGGATGTGCGGTTCCGGCTCGTGAACTTCATAGTGTTCCCATCCAAGACTCTGTGAAATGCTTAGCTAGGTGTTGAGCCCATTAGAATGAGGCGTCTTACCTGTGTGATGCCCAGTCCTCTCCACTCCTCTTCCCAGAGCAACTTTAGGGTGCCCTTGGAGTCATCGAAGTACTCTCTAGGGATAACCTTCAACATGGCTTTTGGAAGTTGAACATGTCGGTATTCGTATTCGCTGTCCGAGTATCTAGCGTCTTTTAGCTCTCGAATGTGTTTGGGAACTTCCGACAGCTACCTTGCAGAGTAACCAATTGAGTCGATGAACTCTTCCAGGCGTGCCCTCTCAGATTCGAGCAGTAGTCGTGGTTTCTTGTTTCTTCTTGCCATATCGATGTCTGTCATTTTGGTTGTATGGGCGAAAAGTCGCCAAGATCCAACCTGCACGTCCGTCCGTTACCTACCCAGAGGTAGAAGCCGAAAAACGCGGGTTTTGTGGTGGGGCTGGGGGTTCAACGGCCGACTGGTATCTGGGGATGGTCTCGTGCTCCAATGGATTGTTTAGGCTTTCGCAGGAACAAGAGGAAGGCGGGCACAGACTAGCAGTTGTAGTCTCGGCAGTAGGCGTGAAGAGCTGGTACGCAGACAGCTGTGTGCTCGGAGCGGGCGTTTCCAAACCGAGACAGGAGAAGCGCAGGGCAGTTGTTTTCGAAACAAATCCTCGAGGCAGAAGAGGGAGCGCGGGAGTAAACATGGAAGGCTGACCAATGAAAGCAGCCGTAGACGCCAAGGGATGGGAGAACCTCGACCTCGGAAGACGGTCCCGGATCAGCTAATAATCCGGGTGCCAGGCACGTGCGGGAGTTTGCAGGGTTAGACACCTAATTAACTAACTGCAGCTGCAAGTCTGTCGCGTCGCAGGTTGGCCAGCCCTAGAAGATCAGACACAGGGCGATTCTTCAGTGAACTCCCTAAGTCAGAGTGCCTGCAACGCCTCAGAACTGCTGAATACGTTGCCGACAACGACTCTGCACCTATCAGCTCTCCAATCACAGGGTTTTATTGCACTTTTCACTTGATGATCCCCCTCCTGCCCTGGTCAACCCGCATCCCTCCCCGATCCACGAAATCTCGTGAGGCCGCGAAAGCATGAGTTCGAAGCGCAGAAGCGGACCTGCAGGCCTCGACCCCGACGACTTTCTAGCCACGCCGGGTCCTGATCTCAAGCGACGCAAGCGCAGCGACGTAAGTATACAACAGTCCGCATGCCCTAACATGTTCAACTTCCACTTCTCCCATCAAGTGCATTCCGGCGCAGCCATTGCGACACGCCCCGCGCGCAGCGCACTCCGAACCCATCATCATGCCTGCAGATTCAAGTGCATGCAACTCGATCAGAGTGCACTTGCAATGTTCAATGCATCCTGCATCCAGGTTCGCTAACTCGACTTGCCGCAGGACACCCATTTCCCCGATATCGAAACCCGAGAGACCACCACAGACATCGGATTGAAACTTGTCGGGCAATTGAAAAGATCACAAGACAAGAATGGCCGCAATGTCGCCGTCCACTTCCTCGACCTGCCTAGCAGGACCGAGTATCCAGACTATTATCAACGGACTGCTATGCCTCTCTCCCTGAACATCATTGAGCAGCGGCTGCAGAATTTCGAGTATGAGAACCTTGAGCGGCTGGAGTCTGATCTGAAGAGGATGGTCCAGAATGCAAAGGACTATAACAACAGCAAGTCTTCAATCTTCGAGGATGCTGAACGCATTCGCAAGGCCTTGTCCAATTTCATGCCGAAGCACAATCCGGCATATCTGAGAGAGGACTACCGTGCTTATCCGACACCCATTCCACAAGAACTGTATGATCAGATCAGACAGCAGTCCATTTCATCAGAGGGGACTGGCGCCCCAGAGAAGGTCAAGCTGAGGTTCTCGAATCCCGCCGCTGTGAGACGTCAAAGTCAGGTTCCCTCCACGGTAGGTACTCCTGCCATCAATGCAGGAGAGGACGTGAAAGAAGAGCAGCTAGCCTTCCTGCAGGAGTTGTCGGAGCAGGAGGACGCAATGTAAGTCTTCTCTGTCAGTCACCGTTCGAGACCATAGGGTACTGACAGCCACTTCCAGCAACTTCGAGGAAAAGGTCCCCAAGAAGGACTATCCTGACTATTACAAAATGATCAAAAAGCCGACATCTATCTCAGATGTACGGGCTCTAGTAGAGAAAGGAGTTGTCCAAGACTGGGATGCGCTTGCGAAGGAGGTCCGGCTGATATGGGACAATGCGAAAGAATACAACCTTGAAGGATCCGACATTTACTTGATGGCAGAGAAGCTCGAGGTACGCTAACATCTGTCAACACTTTGCGAACACTGGACTGATATATATTTTCTCTGCACAGGCTTGGTCCGACTCGAAATTGCAGTCACTTGGTGCACAACCACGTCGCAACCTAAGACTTTCATTATCTCAGCCAAAGCCAAAAGCGTTGAGATTGACCATGGGTCCTTCAACACCAACACCACATGTTGTCGGCGGCACCATTGACAGCGAGTCGCTACGACGGCAGAAGCGGGAAATGGGTGAAGCCTTGAATAGAGCGCAGAGAGCGACTTCTAAAACGACGCAAGTCAACGGATCTACTCCTGGGCCCTCCAGCGCAGCTCCCAGTGTCCGACGTAGTATGTCTTTGGCAACTGATCAAGCCGACGTGGTCATGGCCGACATCAAGACGAACGGTACTTCAGGGACACCACAGGCTGAAGAAGCGATGAAGACGCCACAGGCTCCGCCTCAGCAGTTGCCCACACCGGTTCAAGAATTCGAGACACCTCTTCCCGGTGATGCGCCACTTACCAATGGAATAACTCTCCATGCGCCACACCCTCAGTCTAACCCCGCGAAGGTTTCTACAAACACTGCTTTCAACTACCTAAATCAATCAGTTGTGCCCATGGAACGCCGATTTCGCGATCCTGGCAGAGGTAAGTCAGCTGTCATTCTCTTTGCACACTCGTGACAAAGCTTCGTGCTAATTCGACAACAGGCTGGGATTTCGCCCTTCTCTCCTCGGTGACATTTATGACCAATCCCTCCTTGCCGAACGACCCGCGCTGGAAACTGATCCGCCACGGTTCGCCCATCAAAACGCAAACATCTGGCTTCATCGCATTACCACCTGCCTACCGCGACATCCGCATCATCCCCGAGCTGACCTCCGAATTGCATTCCCGGCGCCGCCACCGCGTTTTCTTTATGCACAATGCCACAGTGTACAAGGAGAGCAACAGCGTGCACGTTCCCGGAGCGTTTGAGGTCAGACTGGTGCCAGGCGAGAATGTACTGGTGGTGGAAGTCCTGGCAGATTTGAGGGAGGGGGAACGCAAGGAGTATGCACCAAGTCAGCTGCAGTTCGATTTCGAGCGGTGTACGATGATTGTGCATCTTAACACGTAGGATTGGGTTTGACTTTGGGTTGGTTTTCTTGGGCAATGGTATCTCGCCGAATGAGCAATCGGAGTGGGTGTTGGCAGCTTGTTCAACAGTCCCTATACGATGGGCATTGCATAGGGAAGTAGAACACCGGAAACACTTGGACCTCCATGGGTATGTGTACCTTGTAGCTAGAAGGACGGACTGTTCCAAGGTTACAACAGGTTGAATATGGTTGCATTATCGCACGAGACCTTTGAACTACAACTGTAATGTCAATGCATTGCGAAAGACAGACGCCCTGATCTCGACCAAGTTCGTTGCGTGATATCTATACAGCATGTCCAAGCCCTGTCGGCTACAGGCGGGAGGATGACTTCAGGCACACACACTCCACTCTTCATGTCATTCCCGTCAACATACAACAAGCTTCGGGTTGGAATCTCACTTCCCAGCAGCTCTCGGCCCAGCGACGCCCGCGCCAATGACACTCGGCAATTCCTGGCTGCCCATGCTCCAAAGCATGCCGATGGCGCCGACGACCAGGGCGGTCATGACGACGCCGAAACTCGCAAACAGCACGAACGGCACGCTCACGTCTTTCTTCTGGCACGCGTTGCCGCCCCACTGGACCGTCTTCTTGGTGCCGTCGGGGTTGACGCGCACGACGGTGGTGCCGCATCGGCATTTGAAACAGTTGGCGTGGGCCTTGTAGCAGGAGCCATGGCCGGAGCAGGTGTTGGTCACGTTCTCGCACTGGGATTGCGAGGTGAAGCACTGCGGGACGTTATGCGGGAGGGGGTGTGTGGTGTTTGATGTGTTGGACGGTGGCGCGATTTGGTCGAACGAGGCGGCGGACGAGGGTGATGGAGAGGGCAGCTCGAGACGTTCCTCCTCCTCGGACTCCTGGGCCAAGCGTGCCGCGTGCTTGTTGTGGTGGTGGTTCCTGTTCGGTTTGGGCTTCTTCAGCTTCTTCTCCGCCGGGAGCAAGAGCACGGTGGATTCGACGTTCTCGGTCGCAGAGAAGTGCTTGAGGATGCGGATCAGGCTGTTGATCTGGGTCTTGACGCCCGCTGGATTCGTGGGCAGGAAACTGTGGAGCGACAGGATGATGGGGATGTTGGGGATCTCGGTCTCCTTGAGGCATCGGCCGTTCTCGGACGGGTAGGTGAAGACGACTTCGACGCCTTTGCTGTCCGGAGCGTTGAGAGACGGGGGCACGGCGTATTCGCAGAGGTCGTCCTTCTCTTTGCGCGCGCTGTCTGTGACGGCCTTGAAGTCTGTGAGTAGATCCTTGGTCGGTGCGTCGATCCAGAGGTCGGGCATGGCGATGTCGAAGTCCTGGATCTTCATGTCGACGCCTGATATCCTGATGAAGAGCTTCCCGGGGGCGTTTGTGGGGGTTTCTTCACCAAATAAAGGGGCCTGGTAGCCTCCGTATGTGTTGATATCTTCTAGGAGCATGGAGTCGGTGATGCCTAGGTACCGGTCTGCGGTCAAGGCTCTTCGTCTCGCTATGATGGCACTGGCCATTTCGGAGTCGATCATGGCGGTGGCAGGGGTGGTGATGCTGCGATCGATGGTGAAAAGGTAGGCGCCTTGAGCGGCGACATGCTGCGCGAGGACTGCGCAGGGCAGTATCAGACTCGAGAGCGACTTCATGGTTGCTGCATTCGCCAGCTGGGGAGGAGGCGGTTGACAGGCGAGAGCACGGTGAAATCGAGGTCTGGAGGCATGGCTAAATGTTCAGTCGATGAAGCTGCCAGCGGAACGAGACCCCGGCTCCTTGCACGTGCAGATACGAAGCTGGATCCACGGGGGCGCAGGCTCCCTCGCTCCCTCTTTCCCCTCTGTCGTCATGAATTAATACAGACATCTGCCCAACATTGAATCAACAGCCTCTGCCCTCTGTGGAAGATATTGTAACAGTGTCTTAGCATAGCTCCTCGACGACTCAGGCCCCTCGCCAGCTGGCCACTGCCCCGGGTGTACACGCACATGGACTGAGGGCGGCAGTCTTTCAACCAAGTACTGAGCCTTCCCGTTAGCGACGATGCGTCCTACTGATCCTCCGCTCTCCTCATGCTTCGGTCTCTCTTCCGTAGGCCGCCTAGCGTCCGCGTGCCCATTCAGAATGGTACCGTCGACTTGCAGAGGGTTGCGATAACCCGAAGAACCAGTTCGAGTCCTGTTCTATACCGGGTATTCACGACGGTTGCGGTCACGTATTTCGTAGCAAGCACAATCAATTACGTCTATCCAGACAGTGCTCATTCCTCCGAACGGTCGACAGGGACTGTTAAGAATGGAGCGGGACCTTACGACCACACGAAAGTGTGGCGAGAAAATTGGGATAAGGCGGAAGCCACTGTATCACAAAACGAGCCGGCAGTCATACATTTAATGCTACCGATATGGATTCGCAAGCAGGAGCCTGAGCCGTGGAAAGCGGACGACCCGACTTGGAAGTCATTTCAAGCTCTGGCTGATGACAAGAAGCGCTTGAAAGACATCACAGCGACCATCAAGAAATCCCTGATGAAAGCCGTGCTGATCAAATATGGACGTACCTTGATGGAACTCAGTTCAGAACAGTTGAATGGTGAACGCAAGGTGACCTACCACGAGAGCTGGAGATTAGCTCCTCCCTTGTACGCCCCGGCCACATACGAGGTTCCCTGTGTCTTCGTTGAGCCCGACAAGACCAGCTATGGGTGGCGCCAAGTACCACCCAGTGTTGGGGAAAAGATGGATCGCGTATTCCATCCTATTGGGTTGGCAAAGGCCTTCTACCACGGCGTAGAGGAATTTGTCTGGGCTTCGTACCTGATTACCAGGGCCCGACTCGTGGATCAAATCAATTCATTGACCGGAACCGAGAGACCTCCCAGCATACCTCAGGCGGCCTTGTCCGAGGACGAGAAGGCTTTGAAGCGGCTGGCAATTGGGCGCGTCCCAGAGGACACCAAAGAATCCTTCCTTCCTTTCCTACGTGGCGAGTACGGCGAACATGAGTCACGGAGAGCGTATCGTAACCTGGTCAAGACGATGACCTACCAAGGCGCAATCGAGTCAGCATGCGCTGTGTTTCAGGCTCATTGGATCCAAGGGCAGGAGAGGTCGATGCAAGCGCACTCGCGAAACAGTGTCATCCTGAGGGGGAACATTGCCTTTGTCGGTGACAGGGGCACTCTTTTCATGCACGCTGTGGCAGTCTACTCGCCAGAGACCAATTCGCTCGTCGGTCAACCTATCATCAAGGACCTGTATCTGTCACCGAACATGGAGAAGTGGGTACAGCGGGAGACGCCTGAAGTGGCCGTCGAGGGAGCGACATCTCAGGATGAAGAGAAGCAGCAAAAAAAGGGGGAAGCCGGAGACGCCTGGGAACAACCATCACAGCGAGAAGACACATCGAGGACGGAGAAGCCCCCAACTGATGAGAATCAAGAGGAGGACCGAGAAAAATAATCCGCCACCCATCCTCGACGCATCGCAAGGAGCGTGTGGACTGACACACATGGTAGTGCGAGAGCGATGGAACTCTGAGGCCGCGTTAGTCAAGGCATGGATGAGAACCGGGCATCACTGATGAGAGTAACGTATGATTACTGTAAGCCTTTGTCCGAGTGCTCTGCTTGCTCGCGGTGCTTCTCGAAGTACTGGCAAGAGAGGATCGAGAGCCGGTTCCTTGTTGGCGGTCAGTTTCTAGGCTGCCTCCTCTCCGTTGAACTGCCTTGCTCGCGAGACATTCAATCCGCCGGCTTCAGCTCCAGATCCCAATAGTCGGACACTGCAGACTCTTCTTCCGGTTCCGTTCACACTGCCCCCAGTTATGGCAGGAAACAGCGTTGCCTTGAGCAGTCTGTGGATATCATTCTATTTCCTGCTCAACCTCTTCGTGACCCTCACGAGCAAGCACGTTCAGTCTCATATGCAAAGTGCCTGGCTACTCGCCGCGTCTCACGCAATCTTCACTTTCATCGTAACGAGCCTACTCTCGTGGTCTGGAGTAGACACATCCGACTCCGACTCCGGCGGGTTCACAAGGAGAGATGGCAACGGAAGAGACGATAGAGATGATATGGACAATGGTCACCAGGACCGCCATGAATCTGGATACAAGCTACGCAGGCACCTCCTCGACAATCTCCATATCCTCGGCCTTTTCTCCCTCCTCTACACGCTGAACATCGTGGTGTCGAACTGGACCCTTGGTCTCGTGAGTCTGACGATGCACCAGACCATTCGTGCCATTGTCCCTGCCCTGACTGTCCTCTTGTCCATCACGGCACTCAGACGGTCCTGGAGAGAATATTCATCAGGAGTTTATGGCGCCATCACATTGACGATCTGTGGTGTCATGCTGGCGGTCAATGCGGCGCCTTTAACGGGAACCGACAACAACAACACCTCGTCAAGGACAAATGCCTTTGGCTTCGCGTGGACTGTGTTGGGGGCAACCCTGGCCGTGGCCAAGACCATCGCAGCAAACCACTTGCAACAGCCTCGACGTAGGAACAGTTGGGGCCTGGGTCTCTCGTCCTCGGCGCTCGTGCGGTATTGTTCTCTATGTTCGATGATCATCACAATCGTCGTGGGAAGCTGGACCGGCGAAATGAGAGCGCTGATGGCCACCACAGTGAGATCGACTTCATCTTGGAATCAACCCTCATGGCTGCTGTGGTTCTGGCTATGGAACGCCCTGGCGACATCGTTCTTGAACATCGCCTCCTTCGAGGCCAACAAGAGATGTGGCCCGCTGAGCATGGGCGTGGCCAGTAACCTGAAGCAGGTCGTCATCTTACTCTTCGACCTGTCTCCTGCGACAATGCAGAGTGACGGAGGTGGACGCGCAGGTGGAGCGGCAGCGCCACGGCCTGGGTCAGGGCCAGGCGGTGGAGTTATCCTTGGATCTCTCATGACCATGATCGGCGGTATCTGGTATGCTTTTGCAAAGGCAGAAATGGACAGGAGGAGGCGGAGACGACGTTCCACGGAGAACGGAGGCTGAGATGATACCGATCGTCTATACAGATGATGATGATGATGATGAAGATGATGATGATGATATTCTTTTTCAATGGCATGCTACAGTAGAATGAGACTAGCCGGATGACGAGGGGAGTTTCAGCAACGAGATTCTGCTGCAGAAGTTGACCAGATACAAACACTAGCTACAGCATTTCACATTTTAGTCACGATTCATGATTAATGATTCGCGAACCGTCCGCTCCGCTTCTGACACTGGCACTGGCTCTGATACTGTGAGAGAGCGTAGTATTCAAGAGATCGATCGTGCCTGGGAACAGGCATTTCCGACCGTCCTCTGCTTCACTGTTTAAGCCTCGATTCAAACCGGTGCAGAATTGTCCAGGCATGTGTCCTTCGTGGGCCATAGCCGTATCAAATGCGGCATCAGAGCAGGCGCAATGTATGAACCTTGTCTTTGTCCGGTTGTGTATCTAGAGAAACAGCCCGCTGTTTGGGTCCACTCCACCTACGAGTAGTGTAACCGCCAAATACGGACCTTTAAAGGATACCACTCTCCTCTGGGGGACGGTTGCAAAGCGCTGTGTTGAAATTCGCTACCAGCGCGTCATCCAACGGTTCATGTGGGTAGGATCCCAGTATGCGATGCAGTGATTCGATCGAAGGCTCAGAGTCCTACTTCTTCCCCCTCGGACTTGCTGTACATCCAGAAGAACTGGCAGGATTGCAAGCTTGTTGTACACACCTGGCTGCGAAGACATGTAGACACGCCGAGTTGAGGAAGAGACGGAGTGAGGGACGAGAGAACCCCTGCGAGACACCAAAGAAATCGGGGATGAGCTCAAAGCTGGTCGCGGTGTCGCGAGGGAGGTGACTTGGAGGAGACCTCAGAGCTCATCGCAGCAATTCGATGCGTCGAACAGAATCAGTCAATCCTCTGAGTCAACCACACTCACAGAAGCTCCGCCTTCTCCTCATTTGACCCATCGCCAACTCTCAATCGTTTGCGTCAATCCCCCCAACGTCCTCGCCTATCCCTCCAGCGCCTTCACACTTGCCTCGTACACCCTCTTGAGCTCGTCCTGGCCCTTCTTGACCACCTCCTCCATCTGCTTGTGCGCCTTCCTCAGCTCGTCCTGAATGACCAGCTTGCCCAACTCCATCTTGCGGAACCGTTTCTGCGCCTCCCCTCTCGCGTTGCGCACCTCGTTGCTCGCCCGCTCGAACATCTTCTTCGCCTCCTGTTTGGCCAGGTTGCGCGTCTCGGCCGTGACAGGTGGCACCGGCACCGTTATCAACAGCGGGTTAGCGTCCCGGGGCAAGGAGGACGACTGGGATGAAGAGGTCGTGCCGGGTGTATGCGGCGCCGTGGTCTGCGGGACGAGGCTGTACGGACTGGCCAGCAGGGCCGAAGTGATAGGTTTGACGTGCTAAGAGAAGACGACGACGAATCAGTATCATGGATCACGCGCTGAGGCCCTATCAATCGCCCGAGCCCTGCGTGGGCTGTAGCTAGCATGCACCCGTACTGGAATTCACACTGGGGGAACTTACCGCCTCTTCGGCGCAAAACACGTTGACGGTCCTCCCGCCCTTGGCCACCACGCTGGCCAGGTCCCCGATGCGCACTTTTTCCTTGTGCGCGCTACCCCGCCCCGTGTCCGCGCCCTTGACGTTGACTTCCACGCTCAGCTGCTCGATCATCTCCGGCGTGACGCGGCCGGCGTCCTTCGTCTTGACCAGCGCGTCCTTCAGCCGGGCGACGGCTTTGGCGATCGCCGCCTCGAGCTCGGAGAAGTCATACGGGTCGATTTCCGCGTCGCGGTTGCGCGTCGCCTTGTTGTCCGGGATGTGCTTGTCGTCCTTGTGCGTGAGAGAGTCGAGCGAGGGGGATTTGCGGTTCGATTTCGCGGATGCGGAGGACTTCTTGGGCCGCGACACGGTGCTTGAGAAGGGTCTTGTGCTTGATATGGCGGGTGCGGCACGGATGCTGAGGCGAGGAGAGCGCGATTGAGGCTCGAAGAGTCGTCGAACTCCGAACTGGCATTGTGGACAGAGGAGTGACGAAGACGAGGAGGAGGGCGCGAGGCGCTGTGCTCGAGAGGCGGCCAGGAAGTGGTGCATGAGCTGGAAGGCCGTGTCTGCGGCTCGGGCTGGCATTTTTGAGTATCAATAGAGTCTCAGGCACTATAAGTTGGGACCTGTAGATTGTGCCGTTCGGGGTTTCAATTAATGTGAGCTCTTCTGTCGAGTTTCGTGCATCGGAAAAGTTGGAGAAGCTACAAATTCGATGCAAGGCTGTGGAGCTGGAGCTGGAGCTTCCTCAGGGCTACTCCGTACAATGTAGACCTCTCCCTAGCAGTCCATCAACTACGACGACTGTCTCTATTTCCTGAAGTCTACGGGAGCACCTTGTGTTTGAAACCCCATGACATTGATCATTCTGTTCCGTGCCGCGCAAGAAAGAAGACTGCCACTCTATCTAGAATCATACCAAGGCATCAACTTTTCCACATAGCCTTTCGTGCGAGTCAGACCCACCACGGACGTGGTACAAAGAACACGCTCTGAACTATCCGAGAATTGACGCCGGTCACATTTCCGGTTCGAAATGCCATGCAATCTTTCATGAGCGTCTGCGGCACATTGGTGCGAGATGAAGTTTTGGATGCATCACCAATGCCTCGGGATATTGGGAAATGAGGTGATGCGTCGACCTCCGGACGATCACGTTTACCTCGTGGCCATAGCCTTTGTCATAGCTCTCTTCAGTGCCAGTTCTTTCTTCTTCAGGTCATCAGGAGATGAATCCTCCACCTCGAGCTGTTGCATAGCATCCGACAACGCCTCTTCGATCTTGGCCTTGTTGCCACGCTTCATCTTCATCGACAGACCAGGGTCGTTGATCAACTCCTCAACCCGACCGATGTAAGACTCAAGCTGTTGCTTCGCCTCGAACTTCTTGGTGAAGGCCTCGTCGCTAGTCTTGAACTTGGCAGCATCCTCAACCATCTTCTCGATTTCAGTGGTGGAAAGCTTGCCGACGGCGTTGGAGATCGTGATATTTGCGGATCGGCCGGAGGATTTCTCGGTGGCGGTGACCTTGAGGATCCCATTGACGTCGACTTCAAAGACTACTTCCAAGGCAGCTTCCCCGGCTCGCATCGGGGGTATTGGTGATAAGGTAAATTCGCCCAGAGAAGTATTGTCTTCACAATTGGTGCGTTCTCCTTGATACACCGGAAACTGGACGGTTTGTTGGTTGCTGGAAAAGTTAGCAAGGAAAGGTCTTTCAGCGAGCAGAGACAACTTACTCAACCACGGTGGTGAAGGTCCTTGCAGTCAAATTAGTATCTGTTTGTCAAATGGAGAGATATGAGAATGCTTGGGACGGATCTCCAGCCTGAGAGAAAAACACGGGTAGGTCACGTGAAAGTCACGTGTCCATGCCCGGATAATCCTCGGGCCTGGGGAAGGGGCCGGGTATGGGAAGGGGAAGCACCAGGAAAGATTGGGGATTGAATTCACCGTTTCTTTATGGTAGGCACTGTTTGACCGCGAGGAACAACTGGAGCGAAGATCCCCCCTTCCATTGCTACACCTAGTGAGAGCGGGACGACGTCGAGAAGCAGGAGATCAGCGGTCTCGGCTGAGGTGGCTTTGCCGGAGAGGATACCGGCCTGAACGGCAGCGCCATAAGCGACGGCCTCATCGGGGTTGATGCTCTGTCACGGCGTTAGCATAATTCAGCGCATCAGCCATGTTCACATACCTTCTCCAGCTTCTTTCCATCGAAGAAGTCGCTCAGCAGTTTCTGGATTCGGGGAATACGGGTAGAGCCACCAACAAGGACAATCTCGTCAACCTTGGACTTGTCAATGCCAGCATCCTTGAGAACCTGCTGAACAGGCTCAAGAGTGCCGTTGAAGATCTTGGCATTCAAGTCCTCGAAACGGGCGCGAGTGATCTGAGCATTGAAATCTTCGCCGTCGAATAACGAGTCGATCTCAACCGTGGTTTGTGTTCCGTTTGACAGAGTTCTCTTGGCACGTTCGCAGGCGGTACGCAGTCTTCGAAGAGCACGGGCATCACCAGACATGTCCTTCTTTGTTTTTCGTTGGAATTCCTTCTTGAAGTGCTCGAGAAGGTTGGTGTCGAAGTCTTGACCGCCCAAGTGGGTGTCGCCTGCGGTGGCCTTGACTGTGAAGACGCCGCCTTGGATGTTCAGGAGTGAGACATCGAAAGTACCGCCGCCGAGATCGTAGATCAGGACGTTTCGCTCCTTGTCGGATTTGCCTGAGCCGAGACCGTAGGCAATAGCGGCGGCCGTAGGTTCGTTGATGATACGGAGGACATTGAGGCCAGCAATGGCGCCAGCATCCTTGGTAGCTTGTCTCTGATTGTCGTTGAAGTAGGCTGGGACGGTGACGACGGCTTTTGAGACTTTCTTGCCGAGCTTGGTCTCTGCGACCTCCTTCATCTGCGCCAACAGTTTAATCTCAGCGGTTGGTGAACAACATGGACCGCACTCACCTTTGTGAGGACCATCGAAGAGATTTCTTGAGGTGAGAATGTCTTGGTCTCCTTCAGGTACTCGACCTGGACCATAGGGTTGCCACCTTGGTCGACAATCTTGAATGGCCATGATTCGATATCCTTCTTGACGGTGGGGTCATCGAAGCGTCTTCCGATCAATCGCCTGAACCGCGGTTAGCCAGGGATATGTTTCTTTCGAGTGACTGCACTGACTTGACATCGAAGACCGTGTTCTCTGGGTTCATTGCCGCCTGGTTTTTGGCGGCCTCACCGATGAGACGCTCTTCGTCGGTGAAGGAGACGAAGGAGGGAGTGGTAAAGCTACCCTGCTCGTTGGCGACTGTGACCTGTCAGTGTGCTTTTCCAGCCTCCTTTACCGTAGGATAACATACTGATTTCGACATTGGTGCCTTCGTAGACAGCGACGCAAGAGTAGGTGGTACCTGGGATATTTGGTTAAGCGAAGCACACAACGCTGAGTGCGGCAAGACAAAACCCACCAAGATCGATGCCAATGGCACCTTCGTAAACTTCGTCCGCCATATTTGCGATATTCAAAGAAGTCCCGAATGCGCTCTGCAGAGATTTGAGAGCACGAGGAGAAGGTGAGGTGGTCGCAGTAAGAGGTTGATATGCGTCGCCTGCGGGTTGCCCTTCGAGAACTTTTTAGGTGGACCTCTCAAAATTTCGAAATCTTGGCCAAGACCGATAGAGCCGAGTTCGGCGGACCACAAGTACCAGTGGCGTCGTACGCGGTCAGCGCATCACGTGAACTGCAGAAGCGTCTTGGCGTGGCGTGTTTCGTGGGGGAACATCGCTCGACTCTTGTTACCAGCCATCCGTTCTTGTGGTTCTGATATTTTGAGGCGATTCAGCTATAAGTCTACGGTCCAGGTTGCGCCTCCCTCTGGCAAAATTGAGACACTTCCTCCAAAAACGGCACTTTTGTTGTTGACTTGGTCCGGAGTCAGCTAGATTCTGTGTATTGTGCACCAGTTCTCCAAACTGAAATCCGAACATCCAAAATATCGTGGTCCAGTATATTCTTTCTATCTCATAAGTGGTACGGCTTGCGAGGAAATCATGGTAATCAAACAAGTGGAGCTGTTGCTCTGCCGTCGGCCAGTATCTATATCACAGCTCCGAAAAGCGGCAATCTCTGGATTCTCTTACGCTGGTATAGTCTTGGAGGGGCAATTACTGTGCAGACACCCAGTTTTTGGATATCAATTTGAGCTCTGTCAGTGACAAACATCTTTCATACGTGATAGTCGACAAATCCCGTCGTTCTCATCCTCAACGCATGCATCGGGTAATTGTCAACAGAGTTGCAGGCTCATCCCCATCATCCATACTGGTCTGGTGTAAATATGATAGGCGTTGCAATAGCAGAGGTGAATGGAAATATACAGAGTCATAACTCTGAGCTGGGCATCGCTCTGGAGCAGACAGCATCCAGCAAGCATCGCCTATTCATCCGGCGTGGATGCCGCATTGTCCGCAGGGTTATGCGGCGAGATGAGATGAGCATGACATGATATGGTGTGGCCTGGGCAGTACATTGATATGCGTGGTCCACACTGTAATCGGGGTATCATTCATTGATCTGGTGCTCGAAGACTTGTCCTTCCACCCTAGCACCATGCGGGTTTGTTCTAACATTCCTTCCCATGCGGACTAGGCACCATGGCCGGCGTCGATTGTTGCTCAATCCAAGACACCACTCTCTCTCAGTCCGGCCAATAGCTCGGGCTCCAAAAATCTCTTGACATCCACATCCTCACTCAAGCCCTTCCTCCTCCTCGTCTTCAGCACGAAATCACGAGCCGCCTGCTGCGGGCCTGCCATCTCCAAGGGTCTGATCTTGATGCTCTTGTCCAGTGGGTCGCCGGGGACGACGTCCCAACGATCAAATACCAGGGAAACACTCGCTGCGCCTTGGCTGTGTATCCTCAAGTCAGTTTCGAAGCCGAAGCTGTCTATGACGGGAAGGAGAGCTTTTGCTGCGTAGAGGGGCGTTCCAGCCACGGGCCCGTCAGATACTACGTGCCCTCGTCGCTTCATCAGGACGGTATACAGGCCTGAAACTGCGTCGGCGGGGCCAGTCATGTGCACGCTGTAGACCGGCTCCATGAGTCGAGGGCCGGCCATCAGGAAGGAGCTGTACACTGCTCGACGGGCCGTGGGTATGATCTGTCCACCGCCGCGGAAGATAGGTTCGGGTGCTAGCTCGGCGCCTGTCACTCGGAACTTTGTGTTGCGAATAGGTTCCTCGCAGAGTGGGCCCTCTCTTGTCCCCCAAGAGAAACCTTGCTTGATGCTTTCTTGCACTGACTTGAGCAGTTTCTTGTCCGTGGTCGAGGGTAAGGTGTCGTCGCACAAGATGTTGGGACCCATCTCCTCAGGCCCAAACGCCCATATGGATCGGGCTGCAAGTTTGTCCCATTCATACTTCTCTTCGAAGAACTTGGCCACTTTTCTGATTGGATCGCGAATCTTGACGACGCCGGCTTCGATATCTTCGGCGATACCGTCGTCCAGCGGCTCGGCAATCATAGTGAGTTTGTTCTTCTTGTTGGGCGTCAATGCATAGCACATAATAGCGCTCGTTTCGGTGACTGTCTCGCAGAATCGGGTCACCGGATCCGATACTTTAATGTCCATTTCAGCAAAGAGCGTCCGCAGATCATGCAAAACACAATCCATATACAGCTCCCCTGTACCAAGCACGACGTGCTCGCCTGACTCTTCGACCTTGGTCGTAATGAGAGGATATGACTTGTTGATTTTTCGGAGGCCTTCGAGCATTTTGGGAAGTTCTGATGGATTGACTGGTTCCACCGCAACTTTGAACACTGATTCTGTGAAGTGTCGTATTGGTTTGAAGATGTAGGCATCTTCGTCATCGGCAAACTTCTCAGCTACCACGGTAGCCGTCTTCACTATAGAGTTGTCGATGCCGGAAAGAAGGACAAGATTTCCAGCCGGAACGCCGGAGACAGGAATGTTGTATCTGGAGCAAGCGAGATGAGTGGCCGTGATCGTAGACATGGTCGAGTCTTCTTCGTCTTCAACGCTATAAGACTCTCCCAGAACGCGGACCACTTGATCCGATGATGCTGTCCCAGAGAGTATGCGGCCAAAGGCATGAAATGTCTTCGCGTCCACGGAACTGAACAGCTTGGTCACCTCCACCACTAGGGGCCCATCTGAGTCGCATTTCATCATCGCTTCTCCAACTTTCGAATCCAGTGGTCCAGTATAATAGTTGTCTAGCATCCGTTTTGCGCCGTCCACTGGTGAAGGCAGGTGTTGAACAACCATGTCCACAAACCCGCTTGCTGGACCAAAAAACTGTGCGCACACGAGTTTGAGCAGGTCCTTGGCATCGGACTTGAGCTGTGAGGGTTTTAAAGATATGCCGAGGGTTTTCAGCGTCGGCGCGAGGTCTTCAGGGCTCTCACTGATACTGTGCGCGTACAGCTTGTAGATCGGCTCGAGCACGAAATTCACAAATGCACGCTTCGAGCCTTCTTCTACACCCTTTCGGGTGAACTTCCGACTTCGAGGGTTGAAAAAGATATCTCCCCACAATCTCCTCGAGAACTCGTGGGCGTCCACTTTGGGATACGTCTCCGCGTACATCTTGGCGAACGATGGTAGCGTGAAGACCCAGTCCATGGAGGTGCAAGCAAAGGCAACGTTGCCCTTTTCAGGTGACAACCGGCGCTTTTCTCCTCTGCCTGGGATGGTATTTTCGATGACCGTGTTAACTTCCTCGACCACGTGTTTCAGCTTGAAGTAGGCGTCGGTCGGCGGAATCTTAAGCTCCAATATTAGGCGGTCCATCTTGTTGATGACCAAAACCATAGGTAAGTCTTCCAGGACAGCATGCTTGATGACCTGCTCGGTATTGATCTGTACGCCTTCAACCACGTCAACTACAAGGACAACTCCGTCGACCAGGCGCATGCTCGAAGCCACCTCGTCCACAAAGTTGACATGGCCCGGTGTATCGATAATGTTCAGGATATGCGACTTCCCCCTCGTACCCTGCATGACCATGCTGATTGAGGCAGCCTTTATTGAGATTCCTCGTTCTCGCTCCAGGAAGTGCGTGTCGGTATATCGTAGCTGTTCATCTCTCCTTCTTCCGATGCGCTTATCCAGTCTTTCTTGTAGATCGTGCGTCTGCATGACCAGCATGTCCACGAACGCAGTCTTGCCATGGTGCAGATGTCCGGCGACAGCAATGTTTCTGATCCCTGCTGGGAAGCTGAGCAGATCGGACATGAACTCCCTGGAATAATGGACGGGCGGCAAGTCCGCTTCTTGGACTTGGAACTTCTTCTGGGTGACTGGAGCGATGATGGGCTGCGTGAGAGGTTGCGCATCTTCTTCCTGCACCATGGTCTCGACATCTTCGCCATAAACCTGTTGCGCCGTCGGGTAGTACTGCTTGTCTTCGTGCAGAATCACAGCATTTGACGGTCCCTCGTCGTCAACTTCCATCAATCCATCCGCAGCGGGTTGATCTTCGGCATCCGACTCCTCATCGTACACGTAGTGCTGGCCTGCGACGCCATCCTGGGATCCCTCTTCGTCCGAGGCAGCCTCGCCGATAAAGTTACCGAATCTATAAGACAATTAGCAAGGTGGAACCGGGCAAACTTCTAGACAAAACATACTCGTCGTAGAGGTCGTCCATGTTGAAGACGCTGTCGCTAAGACTGGAGAAGATGCGGCGCAAAGCTCAAGAATTCCTGCAATTGCGGAGTTGGAATCGACAAAAAATTGAGGTGGAGCTGACGCAGGCCGCAGCCTCGTCGTCTTGGTGCGAGCCTTGCATGCTACTTGCTCACTAAGCCACCCTTTTGAAGCCGAGGCACCCACCAGGCACCTAGCAAGGTGCACACAAAGATGGCGCCAGGTGAGAAAGATTAAACAGTAACCAGTAAAGCGTGTGAAAGGTCAAGCTTCAATTTGCGGCTATGCATAAATGCGGCTTAGCTGGCAAAGGGATATTAACCTGCCATCCCGACGCCAATTTGATATACAGGCCGTAAAACCGATCCTGGCTCTTACGCTTTTTGAAGTGCAATACTGTAATAACATGTCAAGTCTTGCCCGTCATCCAGCTCCTCGCTCTCGATCCGCGATAACTGACTGACTCTACTCCCTTACATCAAAGACTCAAGCACCAGTGCACTAGCACCGCCGCCGCCATTGCAGATACCGACACAGCCAATCTTGCTTTTCTTGGCCTTCAATACACCCAACAGGGTCGCAACAATTCTTGCACCAGAGGCTCCCAAAGGATGGCCAATTGCGACAGCACCTCCGTGAACGTTGACCTTTTCAGCATCGAGTCCCAGTAGCTTGAGGTTGGCTAGCGCCACAACGCTGAACGCCTCGTTGATCTCGAATGCATCCACGTCCTCTTGGTTGATACCAGCATGCTTCAAGGCTTTAGGAATTGCGAGAGCTGGCGCGGTAGTGAATTTGCTCGGCTGCTTTGCAGCGTCGCCCCAACCCAGAACCTTTGCCAAAGGCTTGATGTTGAGCTCCTTAAGCTTGGCTTCTGAAACAAGCACAACCGCTGCAGCCCCGTCGCTCAGAGGCGAGGCGTTGGGAGCAGTCACGGTGCCCCCGTTGGGAATGAAAGCGGGCTTCATTGAGCGAAGCTTCTCGACGTTCAGGTTCTTCGGTTCGTCGTCCTTGTCCACCGTGACGCCGGGCTTTCCTCTGACACCAGGCAATGTGACAGGAGCAATTTCGAAGTCGAACAAGCCATCTGTCTGCGCGGCCTGTGCTCGTTGGTAGGATCTGATAGCATAATCGTCCTGCTGTTCTCGATTGAAGTCGTGGTCTCGTGCGCACTCCTCACCCTGGAGACCCATGTGCTCTTGCTTCCCGTATGCGTCTGACAGACCGTCTCTTAGCACTCCATCCACCAGTGTCTGGTTGCCAAACTTGGCACCGGTCCGCATGTTGGGCAGGTAGTGGGGGCAGTTGGACATGGATTCCGCGCCGCCTGCCACGACAATGTCTGCGTTGCCGGTCATGATTGTCTGTGTCCCAAGAACTATGGCCTTGACGCCGGATGCGCAGACCTTGTTGATTGTTGTGCAGACAGTTGAGTCTTCGAGGCCGGCTCCAAGGGCGCATTGACGGGCAGGGTTTTGACCAAGACTGACAGCTTGTTAGACTGCGAGCAGAGGCAATTGCAGGAACCAGCTCACTTTGCAGACAAGACATTGCCAAAGAAGACTTCTTGTACGTCCTGAGGCTTGATCTCTGGCACTCTTTCGAGGGCAGCTACACTGGGTCAGTTTGTTGTTTGCACTGTGGAGCGGTGAGGGGAATGCATACATTTAATAGCGTGTGAACCCAGCTGAGTTGCTGTCAGGGATGACAGTGAGCTAGAGATGTCAGTATTGACGCGGTATTGCAGGCGAAACAATTCCTACCCGAGAAATGAGCCCACTGGCGTTCGCGCGACAGCGACAATGTAGACGGGTGGCAGAGAAGGCTTCTGGTGCGGGACACCGTTGGCGCCGTTTGTAGACATCTTTCACTTTTATTTACAGATAGAAATGTCAAGAAGTCTCCCGAGTTGCGAAGAAGCAGGTACAAGCTCGGTTTATACACAGTCTGCTTGAGCGCCGAATACCAATCAAGTCCAAATGTCCTGGGCGCAGGAGGCGACTATTTTGTCGATGGACATGTTCAGGATCCCCCAAAATTCTGTGGAGAAATCGTGCCACTTCGGATGTGTTCAGGGACTCGCAAGACGGGGCTACGCAGCTAACTGGTTTGGGACGCCCACAAAGTCGGTGACCGTTGTTGGCTCGTTGGAGCTGTTTGCCGAGATTGAACGCAGTACAGTAGTTACGTCCCACGCACGAGGTATTCTGCTCCCATCCTCAACGTAGCTCGTATAGTTATGCGTTCAGCCTGAAATCCCTCAGCCACCGAACTCATGACAGAGGATTACTCTCGTCGGGGATGAGCTTGGCGTAATTGGTAGAACGGTCAACTGTGCAAGCTGGAGCAATAACTTCCTCACAGCTTATTCTGGATGACTCTTGTCTCACAAGATGGGCCGTAACATCAGATGAGGCTGAAGGAGATTGTATCACATACGCCGCAGAGTAGAAGGACTGCATGATGGCGAGCTTCACTGTCAACGGCGGTCACTGGGTGCTGGCTCCACTTCACGGCCAGTTGCAGTCCTCCCAGGCATCACTCAGCTTGTTCGTGAGAAAGAAACCTGTCAAGCAATTTGCGAAGTTCTATTACTGCTTACCAAGTCCCTGAAATCTCAGTCTCCGTGCCCTGGGCCATGGCCAGGTTCTTTCGTGTTTGAGAGCACCAAGGTCAAGTCCTCAGTCCTGGTGAACAAGATCTCAACCAGCTCGAACTCCAGATTACAAGGTCAGTGCCAACAAGGTCAGTGCCAGAATGGTCACGCTCTGCGTCTCTCACTGATTACCGACAGCAGCCATGGAGGCCGTCGAATGCGACACCGCCAATGCACGTCTGGCCTTACGCTTGGAAATCGAAGACATTGAGGAAGCTTTGCGAGAAACCACCGACCCTGACCAAATTGCAATGCTGAACGATCGTGCTGCTGCTTTGCACCTCCTGCGGCAAGAGACAATGGAATTCGACAAGTTTCGGACCGACCAGCGCATCCAGAGAAGCATGTATCAGGCGATGCTGTCAGACTGCCACGAGGTTGATGCGCTTCTGAGGGAGGCGGCCGCCACTTCGACTGATGCTGCTGCACAAGTACAAGGCGAATTGGACGGAGCCGCCGAGCAACGCGCTCTTAGAGAAACCGGACAGGATGGATACTACGAAGACGATCGCGTGGATCCCAGTGGTTGTACAAACCTTCTGACCTACATCGAACGCTTGAAGCTGGACGAAGAGCACGCACCTAGGGACTGCTATATCTGCATGGTAAAAACAGTTTATTCTCAAACGACCGAAATCGGCGATTGCAACCACGCTTGGTGCCGCAGCTGCCTTGTGCGGGCGCTTGATCTGGCCGCAAAGAACGAGAGCAACTATCCTGTACGATGCTGCGGCGAATCTCCAAGCATTCCTCTCGACCACCCTGGTGTTGCTTCTCTGGTGGGAGCTGAAGCCATTTTGGCAGTCGAGGCCAAAATTGTCGAATACGAAACCGAAGACAAGACTTATTGCCACGACCCAGGATGTTCTGCTTTCATCGCACCGACCGCAATCGACGAAACAAACGCCATATGTCCTCTATGCCAGAAAAACACCTGTGCTCAGTGCAAGGCAGAGTTTCACGAAGGTGAGGACTGCAAGACGGTGAATGACGAAGCCTTCGAACAATGGCAGCGGGACAACGGATCAGCGACTTGTATCGCCTGTCGGAGAGTCATTATCATATCTCATGGTTGCAACCATATGAGGTATGCACGCGCAACTATCCGTCTGCACCGAATCTGCACTGACTTGAGAATAGGTGCTTCTGCGGGGCTGAATTCTGCTATGAATGCGGCCAGACCTGGAAGACGTGTCAATGCGAACGCTGGCACGAGGATCGTCTTCTTGAACGTGCTGCCGTGGTCGCCGAGCGCCAGGCCGAGCGCGAGGGTCAGCCTGCCGACGTGCAGCGTGCTCTTGCGGAGCTGCGCAATGAAGAACCTTGTCGCCATACCGACTGGACTCGAATCGTCCTCCGTCATACTGTGGGATCTCATGTTTGTGCCGACTGTCATTGGGAGAGTGACTTCTTTTTGTGGCGATGTGATGACTGTCTAATGCGTGTATGCACCAGATGCAGACGAGACTACTAGCGTTGCTGACAACCAAGCAAGAGGTGAGATAACAAGGTCCAATGTGCAGAGCTTGCTGTTTGAACAACGTCGAGGTGTGTATTAGTCTTGGGCCATACCCACTGGAAATGTAAGATCGAGAAAGAAAGCAATGGTGCATGTCCTAGAGTGAACAACCACTCGGCATTCCTCTACGGCGATGGTAGCAAGCGAGGCTGAGTACCAATAAACGTCTCATCCAGACTGAATTTACCTATAGGTGTACTCAGATTCCTCCGACATCTCCGGCGGCCGGCGCAAGAATCCCCTTAGAACCAACAGACCCGCCTCGCTATCCCCTCCAAGAGCGCCACGTAAGGAGAGGCAATCACGATACATCACCTCGACAATCCAAGCCGATTTCATTAGAGGCCTGCAAACGTGTTCAAGATCGGGAAGGTATGCTTTTTACTGGTGTGTTCCCTCAACATCAGATCAATATTAGTCCCTGTCCATGCCCATCAAGCTAGATACATAGCAAAGGTCTCGAGAACACTCACTCATGCTTGACGTCCACCTTTGCCTTCGCCACCTCTGAGAATCCCTTCTTCGGAGCCCTGATCTTCAACAACCCCGCCTCCAGCGTCACACTCACATTCTCCACTTCTGTTGGGAAGTTGATATACCGTCTGAACGGACCCACCCTCCTCTCACCTACAAGTAAGTGAACGCCCCCGGCGGAATGTTCGGTTTGTTCTTCCTCGACCTTCGCATTCTCTGGTGCACCGTAGTCCGGTCTCTCGACCTTCCCAGTGAGGACCAAAGCGCGGTGGCCAGTCCAGGTGACGGTGATTTCGTCGGGCTTCTTGATACCCGGAACTTCCACTTCGATGAGGTATTCTTTGATGGCGTCACGGAAGTCCACGTCGGGTTGGTTGGGGTGGTCTTCTGGCCGAGGGTGACGGCGCGCCAGGTATTGAACAAGAGATTGATGTTGATGGTGGCGCTCATGGGGGTTGTCCACCAGAGGGGGAGGATAGTCATAGTACTACAGAAGGGTTAGAAGCCATCTCACGTTCGCCTCAAGCAGAGAGTGGACAAGCAGACCCCTTGTGGCTAGATGACCGGCGTTGGCAATGCTTCAGTCGGGGGAGAAGGAGTTACTTACATATGCGTAGGCCATGGTGTCGATGAAGTTTGGTTTTGGACCCGCTGGGGCTCTCAGGTCGAATTGTGCTGCCGTTGTGATCGGCTTGTGCGGGTGCTGCTTGAGTGTTTTGCTCTGGAACCGTGTTCCCTTCGTGTGTGAAGTTGGACTTGGATGGCGAGAGAGATCTCTGAGAACCGGAGGGGCGCGTGCGTATTTATTTACCTACCTCTACTCGGGAGCTGGCTGATCTATCTCGCGGTCTAGGTCGAGCTTCTCGTCCTCGCTTCGACATATGCCGACCAGAGATGCCACGGAGACCGCCTCGCACTTCATGGGTGTGCCAGTTTCCGAGACCTTGTCACGAACGCGTTTCTTGAAAAGGTTTGGGTCAGCTATCGTCTTCCCGACGACAGCCGATCAAGCACGCACGGCCAAGGGCAAGCTCCTATCCACCTGCATATTCGACGCGAGGTATAGAGTCCAGATGCCGCGAGGGAGGAGTCATTGGGCATGCATCGTATGACTGCAAAGGGAGAAGAGCTCACATCATCACGCCATGCAAACTGGAAATTGCAGATGTGGAGTGACATTCAAATCTTAAGTGGTCGTCAATACCAACAGCATGTATGTTGATTACGTTGCTTAGCGAGCCCGACGATGGGCCCTGAAGCTTCGAATGCAGTCCCTCTTCAGGCAACGGCTGTAGTGAATTCGACTGATAAGCTTGCGTCGGCCATTCCTCGATCTCTGCCTCGCGCAGTTCAGAGCCAGAGCGCCGTGGCCAGGAAGAGGGGAGAATAGAGAGGAACAGGAAAGAGTGAAACTGCAGGTGGTGCTGCAGCTGCGCCGCTTGTCCTCAAAGACTGTCATTACAATTCCAAACGCTGACGGTATGCACTAGTTCCTTCACCACGAAGAATTTCAGGAAACTTCGGGGTGTTTTCATCCTGTATGATCATTTAAAGATCGCACCATGTCCAGCGACTTCCTTCCGGCAGCCTGGCTTTCTGCTTGTCATATGACTGCTTCACCCGGTGCTGGAAGGCGACGAGTCACTAGGAACTTACTCTGTTCTGTGTAGCCACGTGTGAAGACCTCAGAGAGGCTTCTCCTTGGCGTTGGAACGAGCGTTGCTGGTGTGACAATCGCACGATTTACAATGAGGTGGAACGATTGGCCGAGTAGCCTTATTTTCAGGACGGAGCAGCTCACTGCGATGAATCCCCAATTACCGTCGCTTAGTCGAGCACGCAGAAGGCTCTGGCGGAGGTCGCTACGTTCTAAACAGCTACCCGTACAAAGCATCGGCGAGGGTGTGTGCAGGTGGGTAAGGTTCTCGGAAACTATGTAAGGAGGTGGTGATTCTGCGCTTTTCGTTTCGCGAAGAGACCAAACCGATCGATCACAGAATACTAAACCAGAACCCAAGTCTTAAGCGACACCACCAGATCCCCAATACCGATACCGCTGTGCCACTACAGCCGATAAAGATCTTCGATACACCACTATGTCGACGCTCGAGTGCCTTCTACATCCCCACCACATCTCTCTGGTTGACGTTCATTCTCTGCGAGCAAGACTCAATCATGCAGGCGACGCATACTATAACATCGACGGTCTGCCTTCGCATCGTGGAGTTCAAGCACCCAAATTCGACGTCTTCGATATGGATGGACATGCGCCCGGATGGCTACTCGTAGGCAACGTTCCAGGGGTAAAATCAGCAGAGGAAATCCAGGTCGAATGGCTTGAATGTACCACCATCTTCATTCGTGGAAAGTTGGCAACCACATTGATCCCGACTTTCGGCGAAGCGGAAAGCAAGATCTTGAAGACTGTTCACAAGGAAAGACATGAAGGTCCCTTTGAACGCTCTGTCACTTTACCTGCGAAGGCCGACCCTGAAAGCTTGAAGATGGAGGTGAAGGATGGCATTGTGTATGTCAGAATCGCAAAGAAGTTTGAGACGGAGAAGAAGGAGTGATATGTTCGGGCTTGGAGCCAACCCTCATGATACCTGCTAAGCCAACTTAATGATAATCGAGCGTTTGCTGCTTCCAACCACCATCCATCACGTTGATACGGCAGCCATCTATCAGGCACAAGGAGATTCAATCCTGCCCGTTACGAGTTGCGCTGGCTTTGTGTTGGCTCTACAACAGTAACAAATCACGAGGGTGTGCTCCTGTTGTAGGGCGAGTCGGGCAGACTTCATGTCCCAATACAAAGCTTCCGCATCGGGGTGGAGCGTTCAGCATAAACCGTAGCTGTTGTCCTTCTGTCTTTCTTGAAACTGACGTTCATCCTTTCTCAAGCTCTCTCAACCTTCTGCACACAAGCTTCTTCTTTGCTTCAACTCCAGCGACAACAGTAACTCAGCTCCTTGTGACAGGCGACAGCGAGTGATCCATCGGCGGCTACCCGGCAATCCTGCCTTTTCGAGACACCCAGACAACATGCCCAATCAGCGACGGCTGAAGCTCAGAACAGCGCTAGTTGTGCTGCTAGCGTGGTCGCACGTGATCAGGGTAATTCTCCGAAGGCCTTGATTGAGGCTTTGCTAAATTTGGAGTGGCTTTGTCCATGTCCCGTCGACGAATTCACGCCTGGTCACATCCTCATCCTTCGGTGCATGAATCCTAAATCCAATCTGACAAGCCACCATTTTCTCGCCTCACTTACTGGCACGTCAGGTCCCCTTCATCCGTTGTTTATGGTGCCATCGCGCATTCACTCGGCCGGACCGTGCTACAACACCAAGTTCCCTCCACAACGCGTCTCCTCTTTCTCGATTCCTCCTCCTTGTCCGACATTTACGTCTCGTCCTTCTCCACTGCGCTCCTCGAGCCTTGCCCGCGCTTGCTGTGGTGCTACCAAAAAGTTCCTCGCCGGACGCCCATTGCGATCACCAGATCGCCAGGAGGCCGCCTCGATTTGATAACAGGACGAGGGTTACTTTACCAACGACGGTTTATCGGAGCATTCCTACACGACGTTCTGCGTCTTCTTCCTCCCTCACTAATTCCCTGAGACACCTGCGCATGGACTTGCCAGTACTTGCAACAAGAGACGGACACCCCACTGTTTTACAAAGAAAGTCATTCGCTACCTTGGGATTCGGTTGAAGTGGGCTCCCGCTGTGCTATCTTGGAAGTAACCCTTGGGCTGTCGATGTTCAGTAAGCCTGCTGCAAGAGCTACATGCACGCACTGAGCGCAACTACCCAGCATGGCGGCTCCGCTTGACGAGCTGCACCAGGGAAATTCTGGAACAACGAGATACATCATAGGTGCTCCTAGGAACCAGAACGAATCTGCGCCGCACAACTCCAACGGCCAGTACAACCACAATCCACCAAACCCAGCGAACGGAAATGCGAATTCAAATGTGAATGATGCTCCCTACGAGAGCGACGGCAGATATTCGTCAGATAGTCGAACAGGGCGAAAGCGATCGCTTGGTGGCCCGAACGAACGCAGCCGGTCAAGGACAAATGGCAGTAACGGAAAGTCATCAGATTCGAGAGTGCGGCAGTGCAAGAAGTGTGGCGAAGCGCTTACCGGTCAGTTCGTGCGTGCGCTAGGAGGAACCTTCCACCTGGACTGCTTCAAATGCGCCGACTGCGGTCAGATTGTCGCGTCCAAATTCTTCCCTGTCGATGCAGATGATGGCTCCGGCCAATTTCCCTTATGCGAAACGGACTATTTTCGGCGCCTTGATTTGTTGTGTTTTGAATGCGGCGGCGCTCTGCGAGGTTCTTACATCACGGCGCTGGATCGGAAATACCACATTGAGCATTTTACCTGTTCAGTTTGCCCGACCGTTTTCGGTGCTCAGGACAGCTACTATGAACATGACGCCAAGGTCTATTGTCACTACCACTACTCGACCCAGTTTGCGCAACGGTGCAACGGTTGTCAGACTGCTATTCTCAAGCAGTTTGTTGAGATCTTCCGCAATGGACAGAATCAACACTGGCACCCTGAATGTTACATGATCCACAAGTTTTGGAATGTGCGACTCGCGCAAAATGAGACAGAGGGTGCTAGGAAAGACATTCACGCGCCAGTCACGGAAGATGAGCGGGAGGCTGTCAAAGAGGACGAAGAAAAAATGGAAGACAAGGTCTATCGCATTTGGAGCACTCTCTCTACCTTTGAGGAATCATCAGCTTCCTGCATATCGGACATGCTTTTGCACGTTAGCAACGGGGTCTACGTCGACGGTGTGATTGTGGCACGCAAATTTATTTGGCATGTTGACATTCTCTTCGGCGCCATCGATACGCTTGGGGTTCTGGTCATCAAAGCTGAACTCAGGGAACTTGCTTATGCCCGCGAAGCAAAGCTCCTTTGCAAGAAGGTCGTCGCTTTCTTCACGCTTCTCTCTAAAACCCAAGAGACCGGTGTGCGAAAGCTCGGTGTTACTCAAGAGCTCCTCTCTCTGGTTACTGGCCTGGCTCATTACTTGAAGCTTCTCATCCGAATTGGTCTACAGGGCGCGCTGAAGCTTGAACGCGAGAAAGGTTCTCCGGAAGGACTCCATGCCTTCTTGGATGAACTAGCGGACCTTGAGACCATCAAAGAGCAAGAGATGAAATCAATCGACCTGCAGGAGAGTGTTGCGGGGCTGGCAAGCCAAGAATCCGATTGCTGTGCGGCGTGCATGGAACCCATCGACGATGAGTGCGTCATGATCTATGGCCGGAGATGGCACGCGAGGCCTCCTCATCTGACATGCAGTGTGTGCCAGCGAGACCTCACAGGCGAGCTTGGCAGCGCAATGTACAACGAGAGAGAAGAAAGGGTCTACTGCGTCGACCACGCCAGGCGAACATCCGAAACCGTTACAGGCTTTGCGCATGTCACCAAATTACAACAATACGTCTTCCTGCTCCGTGTGGCATTGGCTCGATTGTTAGAGGTGCTCAAGTCTGGCGGCACCTTGCCACACACCTCGGATGACCCAAACTTGACGCCATACGATACCAATGAAGGCCACCATGTCACTCCTGCCGGTGAGCAGTCCAGACCAGTCCAGAAGATGGGATCAAGATCTCGCTCCTATGCGGGTACCTCGAGTCAGCAGGAATCTTCACTGGAGCAGACTGTTGGCGAGATGAAACGTCTACGCTCTACACGCAACGAACGTACTCTCTCTACCACATTCCGAAAAGCCCGAGAGTCAAAGATACTCTATGGGCCAGCTGGTGTTCGTCCAGGTTCTGAGGGCAATGATGGCCCGGACAACCGAAATCCGGGGGGCTTCCAGATTGTCCAGGAGAAAGATCTCGATGGTCGTGTCAGACCAGAACTTACTTTTGGCAATCAAGAGGGTCTGACCCTGGATGACATTCCGAGGATTGTTGCCGCTGAGCAAGCGAAGGAGCAACGACCCAATGCCTTCCGCCATGCTGGGACGAATCTCATTGGTCACCGCGGCAACGAGCCCAGACTCGTCAATGGTCATTCCCGGGGCACGTCTGGTGCCGGAGCTGATCTCCTAGGTGGCGAGAACCCTCTTCGGACCAAGCGATACTTTTCGGAATTATCAGCCTTGGAATACTTCATCGTCCGCCACGTGGCCGTGTTGTCGATGCAACCACTCTTGGACGGTGAATACACCCTAGAGGACTTGCTCGGCCTCATTGAACAGCGCAAGCCGACATTCTGGGGCAAAGTCAGTCGTGCCCTGCGTGGTGACGGAGGTGTAAAGAAGAAGGGCATTTTCGGCGTGCCGCTAGAGACCCTCGTGGAGCGCGAAGGGGCTGAGTCAACCAACGGGGTCGGTCCCGGAGCCTTGCGGGTCCCAGCAATCGTAGACGACTGCGTCTCCGCCATGAAGCAGATGGACATGTCGGTTGAAGGTGTCTTCAGAAAGAACGGCAACATCAAACGCTTGAAAGAGGCTGCGGAGGCGATCGATGCAAATCAGACTCCAGATCTCAGCCGCGAGAACCCCGTTCAGGTTGCCGCATTGCTCAAGAAGTTCTTGAGAGAAATGCCGGAACCTCTGTTGACATACAAGCTGCAGAAGCTTTTCATCATATCTCAGAAGATTGAGGACGACGAGCGCCGGAGAAGAGTGTTGCACCTCACCTGCTGTTTGATGCCAAAGAGCCATCGTGACACGATGGAAGTGTTGTTCTCGTTTCTGAAGTGGGCGGCTTCATTCTCTCAAGTCGACGAGGAATCGGGCAGCAAAATGGACATCCACAACCTGGCTACTGTTATGGCACCGAACATCTTATACGCGAAGGAGAAGGCAGCGGGTGCAAGGCCCAATGTTCCCCAAGTCGATGAGAGCTTTCTAGCTATCGAGGCGGTCAATACTCTGATCGAGTACAACGACTACTTCTGTCAGGTAAGCGAAACGAAACCATAATGTGATGATCGTAGCTGAACACACGCACAGGTCCCGGAAGATTTGCAGTCGATTCTCACCGACACTGGCCTCCATGGCGGATCAGCAGAACTCACGACGAAGGAGATTCTGTCCAGATATGGCCACATTGCCAAAGGTCAGGTCCAGAGACAGACGGCATCGGCAGCAGATGCTCCGATCCGCAGCCCAGCTTCAGCCACGACGCCAGTCGGCCCTGTCGCGACCCGAGTCGACGTTGACCCATACCAAGCCACGGCATGGCAGAAGCAGAGCTCAGTCCGTCCTGTTCAGAATATGGCTGCGGCTACTTCTGCGCCTGCGAACGACTTTCACTTCACCACCCCTAACAGTCCTTATGCTCGCAATCGCGCCGGTAGCGCTGACAGCTCAGGTAGCCACGGTGCCCAGCCTCAACCGGTTGGACGGCAGAGTTACCAAACCAGACCCGGACAAATGGGCGTCTCGGGTTGAAAAGCACACACAAATCGCACACACTCACCTGCATCACGGTCGCGGCGTTTTACTGCATCACGGGGTTGATTGGGATTCTGTTCCAGGGGCGGACTGCGGAAAACGCGTGAGCGCGATGGCCCATCAAAACACCTGCACGAAGTTAACGACACGAAAGTACCCCATATTCTCTTTTGTTTCTCACCATCCCAACGGGCCATGCGTGCCCTCTTCGATTCACGCTGCACCAAAAGCAGAGCTTTTACAAAGTCTGTTGAGCTTCCTCGGCAACTTCGAAACGCCTTATCTTCACCTTCCCAGCAAATGCTGCGGGATGATCGCAGCAACTGGCCTCAGACTGTTTACGATTTCTTCACAGCAAGCGATCCCTTCTTTATCCATCAAAACTTGTAGCTTGTGAGCTTTTTCTTTTCGCACTGCTCAGCACGGGGCTGGACTTGTCGAGAGTTCAAACCGGAAGGAGTTGAGAAGGCTCCCTTTCCGGGGCTTTGAGAGTCTCCTCGATGGAGAATTCTTGCCGGATGCGGCACAAAATCAGCGGGACCAGAACGACAATTGGGCAGACTTGGTCGTGAGGCGTCGTGTGGCTGCATGTTGGATACAGCGAGCACGACTTTGCTCAGAGTCACCGGCACATTGCACGAGCGAGAGCCCAGGTCAGGCAGACGGCATGCAGGAACAGAAGGATTGGAGACGAAAGACGGGGATTCGAACTTGCCTGTGCCTAGACTCTCTCTCTGTCTCACCAACTTCGAGCTTGGCTGACCTTCCTCCTAATGCTCCCAACCTTGGACAAGAGTAGAGATTGGAGGGCCTTGTATTTCTCTTGCGGCCGCAGGACCAAGCGGCAAATATGTACTTGTCAGCGAGCTGATCATGGCAAAATGAAAGGCGTGTACGGGTTGAGAGTCCAGGAGCCTGCTTGCTGCTTGTTGTATGGAGTATTCAGAAAGACGCAAGCGAGAAAAAGAACCCAGTTCTAATTCTGTGGTGTTGATTCAATGGCTCCTCTCCTTCGACCCGTATCGTTCGCCGTTGCTATTGACCCCGTCTGCCCTTTTCGCATCCGCAACGCCAGTCTCCTGGTCCCTCCCCTTTTGCAATACCGCGTCCATGACCCTCCCAAGCCTCTCCGCGGCCTCGTCCGTGATCTGATAATGCACAACCAGCCGCCCACCAAAGGCCTTCAAGCCCTCCTCGGCGGCCAACTGGGCGAAATCCGTACTCGACATGCCCTCGCTCGCCAGGTCCAACCACACCATGTTCGTCTCGGTCGGGTTCGCGAGTTTGCCGCCCCTCGAAGTCCACATGTCTGCCACTTTCCTCGCCCGTGCGTGCGAGGCCCTCAGCTTGCCGCCCTCGCCGTGGGGACCGCGGCCGAAGCCCTCCTCGACGGCGACGCGGGCGGCCGCACTGATCACGCCGGCCTGGCGCGTGCCGCCGCCGATCATCTTGCGGATGCGCCGGGCGTGGGCGATGAAGGGCTTCGAGCCGACGATGATGCTTCCGATGGGCGCGCCTAGGCCCTTGGAGAAACACATGCTCACGCTGTCGAACTGGGTGCAGTAGTCCGGCAGGCTGCCCGCGTTGGCGGCGACGGCCTCCCAGATGCGCGCGCCGTCCAGGTGGAGCCTGATGTCGTGGGCGCGGGCGAACTGGGCGATGCGGCGCAGTTCGGCGAGCGGCATGATCATGCCGTCGAGGGTGTTTTCCAGGCTGATGACGCGGGTCGGGCACGCGTGCACGTCGGAGCTGAGGACCGCGTGGCGTTCCACGTCCTCGAGCGTGAGGTGGTGGCCGTTGGCGGGCCGGATGGGCAGGATCATGGCGCTGGAGAGCGACGACACGCCGCCGGCCTCGTAGTTGTAGATGTGCGACCGGATGTCGCACAGCACCGAGTGCGGCGGCTGCGTGAGGTGCGTGCGGAGGGCGACCTGGTTGCCCATGGTGCCGGACATGACGAGCAGGGCGGCCTCGTGGCCGGCCAGCTCGGCGATGTAGGCCTCCAGGTCGTTGGTCGTGGGGTCCTCGAGCATGACGTCGTCTTGGAGCGTCGTGTTGATGATGGCCTCGAGCATGCTGGCCGTCGGCGTCGTCATGGTGTCGGAGCGGAAGTCCAGGCACGCGGGGCCGGGCTGTTGCCAGGCGTTGACGGCCTTGTGTGTCGCCGCGGCGCTGTGGGCTTCTTTGATGGCTTCGTTTGGTGCCATGGCCGAGACCGGGTCGGGCCTGTCGTCGACGGCCATGCTGGATGATGCCCTCGCGGTGCTTGTGTACAAGGATGCTGGACGAGCGAATTGTTCATGTGCTCGGGCGTGGAATCGTAGGTTTGATCGGATACCGGCTGTGACTCTCTGTCGACTCGCCGCTCCTAGCATTGCCAGCCGTGTAATACCCAGAGAGGGTTTTTTGACATGGTCGTTTACTGCAAAAGGCGTACGTCCAGTGGCACCGTGGAGCGTGGAGACTGGAGCGGTGATGTGCGCCGGCGGCGCTGAAGGAGACTTCGAAGAAAGACAATGGCACCTTCCCCTTTGAGATCTACAGTAGATCTATGGGACGGCGCACGATCGCGCGGACTTCTATGCCATGCAATGGCAGTAAATGCATACTGTGGTTACCACCAGACTGTGTATTGACCCGTGCTGATACCTCGCATGCCGATCTCACGGTAACACTTCATACTGGGCATCAGTACAGACTCCTCCATTTACTCCTGGGATCACGTCGTTGGGACAGGCACTCATGACGGCGACACAGTCCAACTCGGCCCTTAGCACCAGGTACTCCCCAGCCCGACTTTCCGGGGCGACGCACTCGATCTTCCCTCCACCAGACCGACGATCCAGTGGCGTCGTGATCGGCACGTTCATGAAGACATTCAGAGGGTCGGGGGTCCACTCGGTCGAGATTGAGCCCGCAGCGAACAGCCCTGCCGCCGCTGCTTCGCGCAGCGCCACGTGCATGTTCTCAGCACAGCTGCCGTGGTCATAGCCGTCGACGCCCAGGTTGTGGTAGCGGAATCGATCGCAGCAGCCGAACAACGTGTCGTGGATGCCCGTGGTGGTGTCCTCTAGCAGCGTGAACAGCGGGACGGACTTGTTCGTGTACAGGACATCTCGGGCTTCGGCCGAGGGGATCAACTTCGAAAGAATGGAGCGAGTCCGTGATGCCGAGAAGTATTGCACCCCGGAGCTGAAGGGATAGGGCGTCGCATCGGTTTCCTTGCTGGCGTCTTGCGTGGAGCGTATGAAGCTTCTGGGTATGTCGCTGGGGGTACTGCCGGGGAAGACAAAGGCCCAGAAGTCGATGACCTGGTTGCCGTGAGGGTTGATCAGTTTGAGTCTTTGGCCCTTCTTGAGGCCGACATGAGCGCCTGTGCGAGCTGGTATGGATATGCTAGACATTCTGACGGGCTGTGACTTTGGCGGTAGCAGTGGCATTCACTGTTAGCCTCTTCGTCGTGAGAAAGCCGTCACATAGGGTTATTTGTGTCAGTGGTTCATTCTATGGATAGCGGCAATCTCCTTTTATTTACACCTAAGCATCGAGTTATCAAGCGGTGATGTACGGTCACCTCACGAAGACTGCGCTGACTAGGCACGCACTTTGACATAATCAACTGGCCGTGGTGGCTCTGGCGGTGCTGGTGCTGGTGCTGGTGCTGTAGCGGGCAGGAGACGCGTCTCGCTTGGCCGGTCGCGGTCGCGTCGCACTTTCCGCCCTTGTCGCCCGCTTCGCTTCACCCGCTTCACCCGCGTCACCCGCTTGTCTTCCGTTTGTGGCTGCGCTTCAAAACCTGCGAACCTTCAAACCTACGAACCTCCTCGTCGATTGCGCCCGTACTGCGCACCAGGTCAACGCGATACCCGAGATGGCTTCGTCGTCGCGGCACAAATCGCAGCCTCCCTCTCCGCATGTGAATCTGCATTGTCTGCAATGTAACAACCAAATCGGAATCTTCGACAACGAATGGAGTCGCCTTACCTCTTCGTATGTTCGCTGTGTCCACCCTGGCGCGCATTTTGGCACCGAAGTCGCCGCAAATCGGACCCAGGTTGTGCCAACAGGCGCTGCGCAACGCCTGCTGGAGGGGTGTACTCTCGCCGAGGTGTTCTGCACAAAGTGCTCAGCGGTGGTCGGACAGTATTGCAAAGATATACCAGGACCCGAGAAAAGGAATATGCTGTGAGCGAGCCTTGACTTTGCAGAAGACTGTTTGGTTGTTCTGACTCGAGGATAGAAAGCAGTATCTCTACAAATTGTCCAAGACATATCTCAAGAGCGGCGATACCAATGAACAAGTCGACCCGATATTCGCTTATAGCGGGGATCTTGTCCAAGCAAACACGAGAACGGGCGCTACACCGCGTGCGAGCCTGCCTGCTGTTCCCCGGTGGTCGCACACACCCTTCCCATCAGAAGAGACTCCGTCGCGCCTCCAGCCATTGAAAGACTCGCATCGTCGAGCTTCAGCCCCGATGTCTTTGCGAAACAACCACGAGCCTAGCTCGCTGGCCTCTGGGGACCCGGAAGATCCGTCCACCGACCATTTCACGAGGCGCGACGCACGACAGAGCCTGCAGGAGGGAGCATTCGTGACGCTGGATGCCAGAATGCGGGAGAATGAGAAACAACTCCGAGCAATCTCTGCAGTTCTTGATGCATTCCGTGGCACACTTGAGGACATCAACGCGTCGGTTAAGGAACTTCAATTTCAGAACACTACGTCTCATGCCGGAAACTCCACCAATGTCGACTTTGTCGCCAGCCTGCACGCCATGGTCGGGGCTCTGAAAACCGCGCAGTCCAATGCGCAAGAGCTGGCAGAGCTTCGTGCCGAGAATACCACGCTGAAGGCGAAGTGGGATATTGTCCAGTCAGCCATTACGACTGCAGCGGGAAGCGAAGTACCGAGCATTTCTTCGACGGCATTGCATGCGAATAGTCTGGGAAAGCGCAAGCGCAACAGCAACGTCAGCAAACCTGCCTCTACTGGTCCCTCAAACCCTATATCACAACCAAAGCCCTTTTGGCTGAGGAATTCGTCGTCCTCTGTGCAGGTCCCGACTCCACAATCCAGCACGCACTCAGACCTCCAGTCGCAGGACACCTCCAATAGTTCACGTAACGCCACCCCTGACGATGCACACGACGGCTCTCCGCAGAACAGCAAGAAGCCCAAGGCATCGACAGCGCCACACTCACATCAACCCGAACAGAAGCAGCAGGTTGCAGTGTCTAGTCAGCTTTCGACGGGTCTCAGTCCCGCTGAGCGTTTTGCGCTGGGGGATGCCTCCTTCGATGATTCGCTCGCCGGCGCAGGTGCTTCGGATGCGGAAGAACAGCAGCGCAATTCAAGTTCAGTCCCCACGATGGATTCATCACAGTCACCATCAGCGGAAGATGAGCAACCTTCAACCCTTGCAGGGGATGGAATGCAGACTGCCGAGAACGACACTACGGTTCCAGAAGATGGCGTGCAGCTGGGCGGCATTGGTGATGAGCCACCAGTGGACGTCAACACGATCGAGACGACGGCCAACCGCTTCTCCATGGGGGACAGCGTTGAGTTTAGTGGTGACGAGGAGGGTCCTGGGCTAGAGCAGGATGAGGGCCCAACCTCATCAGAAGCTCGTCAGAGCTCTCCAGTGAATGTGGATCAAGCCAAACAGGTGCAGGCACGCGACACCTCTACTCCAGATGACGCTTCGGTCCAGTCGGCGCCAGCCAAACGAACCCGGAGCAAGACCCAGGCTGTGTCCACTGCTTCGACGCGAAGAAAGACAATCGAATTTGCCATCGTCTCGGTCAAGGATAGACGAAGCGTTGCGCCCGAGCCACCACCGTCACGGAGGATCCTGCCCCGCCGAATAAGTTCGGATCAAACGGGACGATTTGAGAACTCGACGCCAGAAACGGTCGAGGCTGAACTAATAGAGTTAGAGAAGCCCAAAGGACCACGACAGTACAAGACTTATGTCCAGACAGGCACGAAGCTTCTCAACATTGAGTTAAAAGAGCTCGGACTGGAGGAATGGATCGACAAGGACAAGAGTGGGCCTGAATACAAGCGGCTTGTCGAGGAGGCCAGAGAACGCAAGCGAGAACAGACCAAATTGGCCGCACTCGCCAGTCGGGGCGTGTCTGTTCCAGGAGCGGATATGGATGAGGCACTGCGACTATCGACGCCTTCCCTGGAAGAGGCCTTGCAACAAGCCCAGGCTCTGGCCGATGCGACCAACGGGCGAATTACCGCCGCCAGCAATGGCCCAGCAAAGACAACAGAACCAGCCCGACAAGCGGCTAGTGCTGGTCCTATCAGCAAGCGCAGAAAGTCCAAAGCCGACCGTCAGGAAGAGATTCGCAAACGAGATGAGCTGGCGAAGGCAGCCATGGAGATGGAAGACTAGGGATCGGCGCAAAAGGGCTCAGGCGGTCAAGACATAGAGAATCGAATATGTCCGCACCAGTCTCGCACGGTGTTGCACGGGCCTCGTGCAGTTTTGACACCTGTCAACGCGCGGAGTGAGAGCGTGGGTAGATTGCGCGTGTGGCTGGATTGATATGGTTGCTTCTATCCCAGTACCTCGTATCTTGCATCCTGCATCCTATCGCGTGGACGGGTCCCCAAGCACTGCGATGTTGCTTGCCTGAGGCTGTCTGGACTGGATGGATAACCCTGGACTCGGGCGTCGCGGCATCGGCGCGTGACGTCCACCATGCATAACCATCCCACGGGAGCAAACAGAGGGCCTCGTATCCATTGGTCCCTGTTGCAGGACGCACGTTAGGCATAAGGTGCGCTACTCTAGCCAGGAACGGGGATGCCGGACCACGATCCCTAGGCCCCCGTTAGCCCCTCACGCACGCGCTGTCGCCTAGGACTCGATCTTCGGATGCACAGCTTCGAAGCACCGCCGCCGCTGGGGAGCCGATGCAATGCAGGGGTCTGCCGTCCTGGCCGCCCTGGCCGCCCTCCCGAGTCCGCGTCGGCGGGGAAATTTCTTCGAGACGCTGCGCAGTTGAGAACTTAACTCGACTTCCATCCCAAGCCCATCCACGCCTTTTCTTTCCTTGGACTTTCGCACATCTGTTCTGTCACTTTATTGCTACCTCCCCTTACGAGAGCGGCCTTTTTGATAGCGTTGCTTGTTCCTTTGCGTGTTATAGCGGTGCGGGCACGTGCAGCCGCACCCTCGTCCCGTCGACAAAAGAACCATTGTAGGAAACCAATCCAATCTTCCGAACCCCCAAGACGCATGTACAGTGACTAACAACTGGATAGGAAGACCCTGCTTGTTGGTCGCCTTGCCTACTCATTCCTCGCGACTTTGCACTGGTAGGCTATTCGAACTTTATTCCACTTCACCGGTTGTTGTTCCCGTTACCTTGTCCCCCCACGTGGACATGACATGTCACTGGCCGTTGAGGAGAGGTAGAAGAGTCGCGGAGTCGCGGGCCTAAGTTTGGGGCAACGCATGCAGCAGGAGGGGCCTCATGGTCTATGGTCAAATGCGCAGGACGGGGTTTTCATGGCACAATGTTGCAGGGAGGCAAAGCGTCGGTCGTGGACGCCACATGTCGAAGGACGATCTTGTGCAGAACGACTCAATACAGCCCTGAATATCGAGATAGTCGTGCAAAGCAAGGCCCTGGCTTCTATGATTCCTTGGGAAACCATTCTGGGTTCTGCGACTGACGCAAACGATGACAGATCCTGCAAGTTGGTCGGCCTTTCTTGGACAACAAACATATCGTTAGGTATGTTCGCGAACCATCCCAGCGCCCTTCCTTTCCCTGCGGCATGAGAACGTCGCTTGTGGTGCGGACTTCGAACAGCATGGGTGTCGTTCAGCTTATCTGCTACGCTCCTAACGATACCTTTCTCCTTCCTCCAACTCCTACCTCAAACCGCCACAACATGGACATTACTAACACAGACGAAGGTGATTGTCGACAGACAGGCGATGGCAGTCACCTGTTTACTGGACCGCTTCTGAGTTACCCGATCTCGGAGTACCATGACAAACTGCCACTACGGTCGAACTCGGTCAGTCGCACTCAAAAGAGGGAAAGAGTTATCCTGACCTCTCTTCAAGCGGGACAGATCAAAACAGCGAGAGTTGTCATATCTTGGCTCCACCAGCCGTCATCTCCAGCAACATCCAAGCACTCTTTGAACGCTGAGTGAAGCAACATGTCTCAACATGCCACTCAACCTGCAACACAGCCTGCCAGGTTCCGGTACAACCTCTCGAATGTTTCTGATGAAGATGCTACAGATGTCATCTGTATGCTGACTCCCACATCGCCATCGGCGTTTGAGGCGGTCAAAGCCAATCTACCACACGCTCCCCAACACATTCTACAGAACCATGACTTGGAAGATCTCGAAGAAGAAATGCTCTTCGGTTCTAATCAGTCACGAGACCTGGCTTTGCGAATGTCCTCGAAGGTCAAGTGTCCCAAGGACGGGTTCCGTTTCGGCCGAAACCCCAATCAAAGTGATGTGCTGTTGACCGGCCACGAGAATGACACGCTACTGAGCAAAATTCATTTCAAGATATATGTCAACAATCAAGGCAGTCTGATGTTGCAGGACTTGTCTACCAATGGTACTATTGTGGACGATGTCCACCTGAAGGCGAGAGATCGACGAGGCAAACCTGTCCTCAAACCCGCCACTACAGTCCTCAAGAATGGCTCCCTCATCCGTGTCGTCTGTGGTCCAGACAAGCAAGAAGTCAAGATGATGGTACGAATCCCGAGCCGTGGAGATTTCGAAGATGCTTACGAAGAAAATCTCCGAAAATACCTCGCAGCAAGGGGTGATGTGGCTCAGTTTGCTTCCATGAGGGAAAGCACATACGGCAATCATTGGAATGGCGGCTCGTTGTACAATTTCACCGGGTTGCTGGGCAGGGGCGCCTTTGCCACCGTGTACAGAATCCAGACCAAGAAAGAAGGTGACTTGTACGCAGCCAAAGAGCTTGACAAACGGCGTTTCATTAAAAATGGTGTTCTCGACCTGAAGTTTGACAGCGAGCTCAACATCATGAAGAACCTCAAACACCCCAACATTGTAAACTACATTGACTGTCATAACTACCAGCATTGGATCTACATCCTGATGGAATTCGTGCCCTATGGCGAACTGGCACAGCAACTGCGGAATCGAGGAGCAATCCCTGAAGCGGACGTCCAACAAATCGCCAAACAAATATTGCACGCGCTCGACTACCTCCATCGCAGAAACATCACGCATCGTGACATCAAGCCTGACAACATCTTGATAGCAAGCTTGAACCCATTAATCGTCAAGCTGTCAGATTTTGGCCTGTCAAAATGTGTCACCGATCAGGAGACGTTTCTCAAGACGTTCTGTGGGACGCTTCTTTACTGCGCCCCCGAAGTCTATCCTGACTACGGAACCTATACTCAAGGGTCTGCTCCAAAGCGACGGCGCGGCCTTGGCGAAGCTGCCACGAAGCCTCCACCATCTCCGTATGACCAGTCCGTGGACATGTGGTCGTTCGGCGCTGTCATCTTCCATCTTCTATGTGGCAAGCCTCCTGTAACCGGGAGGGGTGATGATCGCGGCGCGCAAATGTTGAACAACATCATGACGAAAGAGGTCGACTTCGAGCCGCTCAGACAAGAAGGTATCTCGGAGGCGGCTGTTGATTTCATTGCAAGACTGCTCAACCGCAATCCTGCTTCTCGACCGAAAGAGGCCGAGTGTCTGCGACATCCATGGCTGCGAGACGTACCTGATAATTGCAACTACGATGATGTCGAGGAGCCACTTGTTGACGTGGAGCATCAGCTGGAAGATATTGGTGAGCTGAGTGAAGACTTCGTGGATGATGACATGATCGATAACTTGAATCAACTCAATCAACCTGCGTCTTCTTCCCCAACTCGACCAGCGAAGCGAGCTCGTACATTCGTGGGCGCGCCGCCTACAGCGAGCTCTATCACCTATCCATATCTGCCAGGAGCAGACCAAAGCCTTCCACCACTCCCTCACGAAACAGGGCCTCCTGCACAAAGACTGTTTGGGGAAATATCCGCATCGGTGTTGCGGAGTTCAGGCGTCTTTGGCGGTGAGCTTAACCCTCTCCCTTCAACAACCCTCGTCAATAACATCCGGGACGGCGTGGAACAAATCAGTGTGAATGATTTTGTGGAACGTCCGTCATCGAGGCGTGCAGAAAGCGAAGACAATGCTGGTCAGCCACTTCAGTATCCACAGGTGCTGGAGGTGCCTCCAGCTCAGACCGCTTCAGCTGCAAGCCTTATGGGGGCGGAACAGCAGATCGGCCAACTCAATATGTCTTCGGAGGGAGATATTTCAGACGCTCCGACTCCAGAAACGACGAACCCTGTTACCCCGGAAACTCGACAGATGTCCCCTTCCGATTCCCTCACGCCCCATGTTGGCCCTGGGCTGGCTGAACCTGCGCAGCCACTAGAAGAGCCCATCTGCACACGTCAGATTGACCTCAACCTTGTTCAAGACCCAGTCAACTTTCAAGCGGAAATCGAAGCACGAAACGCCTCCAGAGCCAACAAGCTACGGACCAAGGCAGAGACATTCCACGTCAATATGGCCGGGAGGACCCGCTCTCCTTCCGGTGAACTCGCCGCCACTATAGACGCGAAGACGGGCCAAGTCGTCCAAAATGCAGCTCGAGCTGAGCAGCGCTTCAGTCGCACGATTCAAGCTCCTGCAGACACAGACGGGACAAGCTCGCAGACTACGCAGTTTATCAAGCCTCCTAGACGCTATGGGAAGCTCACCAGCATGCCAGGGTCATTCGCTAACGTCACAATCAACCTCGAAGCGAAAGACACCATGTGGGGTCGAGGCGATGGCTGCACGATTCGATACCCGAACCTTAGCGACGCTCGTGTGCCAAAATACGCGCTCAAGATTTACTTCTGGGCACCGGGCATGGCGCCGTATGTTGCTGGTGGCGGACAGTGGACGGACGTACCAGGTATTCGCACGCTTATTGCCACCAGTGCCAGCAGGTGTATCTGGGTCAACGGTGTCGCGTTGCGCAAGGAGTCCGCGTCCGGTGATGCGTCGTACTATGGGAAGTTATATTCCGATGACATCGTCACCGTCTACGATGATGCTGACGGGTTCCTGAAATTCAAGGTGGAAATCACCTTTGGTGGAAGTGCTCGACGGCGACCTGCCAGCGAGAAGGGTTTTGTCATTGAAGAGGAACACGTTCACCATCAGAGGATGAAGGAGCGGGAAAGCATGCGGTTGAGCATGAGGGAGGATGGCGGTGAGGTGGCCAACCCACCGGTTGCCCCTGAGTAACATGTGTATGTAGGTACGTATCCTGAGATAGCCTGAAAATGATGTGCAATGTGATCATGATGTGCTCCGTGAGATAAATGGAAATACGAGATACATTGCACAGCGCATCTAGAAATCTCGGGAGAGGTCCCGCCGAGTCCAACTAGGTACGGTAGGAGGGCGGTTGGACCGCTAATCGATGGGGAGTGACGCCAGGCACAACGAGCCGTGATAGGTTGCCGGTGCGCTTATCGCCCCTCTAGGCGTGGTCCAGGGCCGCCTAAGAGCGGAGATCGTGCAGCGGAGATGCAGCTGCGCCGCTGTGACAGTCACGACAGTGTCTCAAGAGGTTCCACTGAGATGTCCCTGTCCCTTCAACGCGGTACTCGTACTGTGGTGATTAGACTCTTCCTCATAGTGATTTGCAGTTCTTTACCATGAAATAGAGATTTCGGCTCGATGTCGAGTTTATCTGGTGGAAAGTGCAGGCTTCGAAGTAGAGTACACAGTAACATGTCAGGTCGCGGCTTTGACAGCTCCGTGCCGCAGGGAGACAGCCGTTCGACTGCGGATGCTAGAAGATGGCATTTGGATTCTGAAAGGCAACCCAGGAATATTACTCCGTACCGTGTACGGTGTACTGCAAGGTGCCATGTCCGGCTGCGGTCATCCTCGCGGACTAGCACTTTCCTCCTCAAGCAAGTCATTAACTAACGGCGACGTCGCTGCAGGTGGGCGGGGCGGACTTCCTGGTTCAGGGATTTGTAGCCGTTGAACGTCTCCAATAATAACTTGAATTCCATGAAGGCCTCAGCAACATTGGCAACGCCCTCGCCCTCGCCCTCGCCTCACCAGACCGTGAGTGGCCTCCAGTAAATCATCCGACGTGTGGTTGCTCATGCAGTCGCCTTTACTGAAATTGTTTTGTTGCTGGCCTGCGGATGGGCACCAGCACCGACTTGCCTGCTGAACCGGCGAAGTGAATCAAGTCGTTTTCATCTGCCACACCCGCACTTTCTTTGTCCAGGTGCCATTATCGGCTGCGCCGGTTCCTCGTCACTGTCCTTCGCGAAAGACAGCCGCACCAGCCGCACGACCGGAGAACCGCTCTACAAAATCTACGGGCTGCGAATCGTTGGCCTTCCTAATGCGCATGCAGAAGCCGCACGTCACGTCGTATGACATTCACCATCTGCTCCGATGTCCCGATCGGTTTCACCATTACCTCCTAACGGACGATGGAACTCACCAGGCCTGACCGACCGCAGCCCGACCCCCAACAGCTTGTATGCCGGAGCCCGCAATTACCACAATGACAATGACGACCAGTGGGCGGCGGCAAAAGCAAGAAGCGCACAGGTTAGAGGACGTCCCAGCATACAAACAAAGAATGAAGGCTTCTTCCTGCGGTCCAAGCGGAAAATCTCGACCCTCCCCGTCTTCAGCCCCTACACTCCTCTCTCCGCCAACTGGAAAGACCCAGAGAAACTCGGCCGCAGCCGGTGGTATCCAAGAGGTGGTGGCAACTTGTCCCGGATCAAGACCTTTGCCGGCAATGTCTTGCGCAGGTTCAAGTTTCTGTTTATTATATTGTCCATTGTGACGTTGACAACGGTACTACTATCAGAGACAAGTGTGTTCCCGAGAGCGTCGCCGTGAGTGAGAACACGAATGCTGACAATGGCTACAGACGCCCTGAGTCGGTATCGCGGCAACTCTCACTTAGGAGGCGGAAGCAAATTCGTCATTGTCCTTGGAGCCAACGAAGGCGGAGGTGTCATGGAGTGGAAAGGTCCCCGGGAATGGGCCATCGAGCGCGACAGTGTTAAGAACAAAAAGAGATATGCGGAAAGATGGGGATACCACCTGGACATTGCAGACATGAGCACCAAGAAGAGATATGCCCATGAATGGCGCGAGAGCTGGGAAAAAGTTGACCTGATTCGCAACGCCATGGCCAGATATCCCCATGCCGAATGGTATCTACATGTCTTCTGAAGTTGTCTGTGTAACAATGACTGACTTGCGCGATAGGTTCTGGTGGCTGGACCTGAACACCTTCATCATGGAACCCTCCATATCTCTGCAAAAGCACATCTTCAACTCCCTCGACAAAGAATTGTACCGCGATATCAATGTCTACAACCCTCTCAACGTTACCCACCCACCCGAGACCGAATTCCTTGACATTGTCGCCAGGTCTCCCACGGGCGACAACTTGACATCCTCAATCGATATTATTGTTCCCCAAGATTGTGACGGTTTCAACTTGGGTTCTTTCTTTGTCCGACGGTCTCCTTTCACAGATCGATTGCTTGATTTATGGTGGGACCCGGTCCTGTACGAGCAGAAGCATATGGAATGGGAGCACAAAGAACAGGACGCGTTGGAGCATCTTTACGCTTCTCAGCCGTATATCCGGACTCACTTTGCATTCGTCCCTCAGCGGAAGATCAATTCTTTTCCGCCGGGTGCGTGTGCCGCTCAGCCAGCCCCCGATCAAAACGCCGACGAAGGCGAGCCGATTCTCGACCCTAGGTTCCACTATAACGAGGCAGAGCGGGACTTTATGGTCAACATGGCTGGTTGCGAGTGGGGTCGAGACTGTTGGGCCGAGATGTACATGTATCGCGAGCTCAGCAACAAGCTGAACCGTTCGTGGCGCGAGAAGGTCAAGGCCGACCTAATCCGGAGATGGACGAGCTTCAGGAAAACACCTGACAAGGAAAGCACGACAAGGGAGGATTAGATGTCCACCCCAGCCCTGTTCCAATGAAGACAGCCGGGGGGCACTCCTGTTCAGAGAGAGCATGAGGCGACTATTGTGCCCACAAATTACGACGACCATGGAGCGTTCTTGCAGGGCCTGCTGGAGTTCTTCGAGCGCATATTTCAAGGAGTTTCGGAGCGATATCAAGACTACTGGGTGGGATAATCTGAGCAACTACAGACGGACCTGACTGGTGCTGGAGTGCCAAAGGAGACAAAATCACCACCAGAATCATGCAATTGGGCCATGAAAAGTCGAAGCTCAGGTTTAACATGTACACTTAGAACGGTGGGCGTGGATACTGCCCGGGTTTGCTCCCAAAGGAAAAATAGACGGATGGAGTTTGCGCGGGGATAAGACAGGGACAACAACATGACGCCAACCAGCGTTCGGCATTTTGGGGGCGGAGATGTAGAGGGGTGTGACAGTGTTGTTCCGGCTGTCATGTCAATGGCACGATCATACCTTAAATAGAAAGCACTGACCTTGGTGTTGTATTCAGTTGAAGGTCATGGATGTCACACTAGGGAGCAGCGGAGCGTAAATGCAAAAACAGCTCATTGATCGGCAAACCTTCCCAGAGGGATTCGTATTTTCCTGTACTCGACCTCTCAACACTTCAACACTTACTTGGGATCGAGCTTTTCCCTCTAGCTCTTCTTCTTTTGGATATCGTTGCCTTGGCCGCGCCACTGTCTTTGGTGCTCTGGCGAGACCCAGAGATAACAGATTGCCAGGCTGGAAAACCTTCTGTCTCCAATCGCTCCACACGGTCCTTTTCCCTCTCGCCAGCATCTCTCAGTGCAAGACAGTCATCGATGTCCTTGAGCATACGAGCAGTCTTCCGCTTAACCATCGCGTCCGTCCGGTGCACAATACTCCAGCCCGAGCCACCACGGACGTCCTTCATCTTTGAAATCTGAGCTCGCAGTTCAGCGAGAATGGCTTTGTGGCACTGGAGGATCCTAGACGCTCCCTCGGCAAATGAAACACCTTCGACTGCGTTGCTCGGTTCTTCGTTGTCGGAAGATGATGATACAGCATCCGTGTGAGCATGGTCGTTCTGAGGTCGACCGTCGTCGTCATCATCTCGGTCCTTGAATAGCGTCCGCAGTTGGTCCAACTCTGTGTTGGCCTCGTGCAGCCGCTTTTCGAGGTCCTTGACGTTGGATTCCTTCAGCTTCCTCTTCAACCCGCTGTTCTCTGCTCGCAGTGCTTCGACCTTGGTGCTCTGATCTTTGAGCCGCGCGTTCTCTGCTCTCAATTGCTTCACTTCCTCCTGATCGTTCTTTTGGTCGCCAAGTCTAGTGACCTTCTGGCCCAGCACAATAGCCTCGGCGCGCTTCATGGTGTCGCACATGCCGTCGATCTTGGCATTAATACCGCGAATCCACATGTTCTTTTCCCGGCACTCTTCAATGAGCTTTGCGTTCTGTGCCTTCAGGGCTTGGTTCTCTTCGTCGGCGCTTTTCAACCTTGCCGCAAGTTGTTCTGCCACCTCATTCAGGTGCTTCTTGTCCTTTGATAGCTCACGTGTCCTTTCCACCGCTTTGGTATAGTCCGACATCACTTTTGAAATCCTGTTTCTCAGGGCGAGGCTGGTTTCTTCGAGAGCCTGAAGTGCATCGCGAAGCTCGGCAGGACACGATTTGGCCATGTCTTGCTGGGGGACGTGGCCACCGGTGCATGTTTGACTTGCCTGGAGCATGACGTGCAGGATATGAAACAAGTGTCCCTGGACGCCGTCCAGCTCGTCGACCATGAAGGTGATGGTGTCGGCGAGCTCTTTGATCTTCGAGTCCTTGGTGGCGTCGACACTCATCGGACTTCCGAACTGCAGAAGAGCGCTTTTGGAGGAACGGATCCCGGCGTAAAGCGTAATGAGCATCTGCTGGCACTGGACCAATTCTGCCGTCAGGCTTGCGTACGTCGCCGACAATCTTGTAGCCTTTGCATGGGAGGAGATCATGAGGTGGAACACAGCAATGCTCTGCTGCACTGACTCCAGGTCGATTATGGCAAGCACATGGTGGTAATGGGGGAGGATGTCGGCATACTCGGTCGCTTGGTCGGGAATGGAGACTGTCTCCAATCGTCTGTGGATCAATTCCATCTCTCTCTGGACATCCTCTCGCGGGATGCCCGGTGCATTCTGAACTGATTGCGAGGCACCCATTGTTGTTGACAGAGCTGGTCAGTTCGTCAGTCTACGATTCTGGGTTCAGAGACTCAATGGCTTGGAAATATCGTACCAGGGGAAGCAGCGCGACGGAGGACTTTTTCAACAAGTTTGCCAATACCTAGGGTGAAAGCGACGATGCATCGAGATTATGTGTTCCAGGCTGGCTGCATCAAGATGTGAGGCGCGTGATGACAAGAGGATGTTTGTTGTGTGCAAGAAGACGTGTCAGATGGTATATGCGCGGCCAGGCAGTGGGTGAGTTGGCAGTTGGACTGAGACTTGTGACCGTGAATGTGACTTTCGTTGTCTGTGTTAATACAGCCACTGCCTCGAGCGGCTCCGCTCTTCAGCTCACATTACTACAAGGCTTTGTTTATCCACTCTTTGACGGGACGTGGGAGGGGAAGAGAAACGTTCAATACTGTCCTAGAGGCACAATGCTGCTTTGTGAGGGTGTTCGATCGCAGGGCAGCAGTTCTCGTGGAGGCAGCAGGCTTCACACAGGAGACAGACTTCGCAGGGGCTCCAGTCTTGTTCCATTCAGCTTTGTCAATGTCTGGAGCTGGTGCCCATGTCCACCGATACGAAGACGCCGGTGTTTATTTTTACAGTCGCCGCGAGACTTGCAGATGTGTAGAGACAGTGCCTACAAGGCCAGATCCATGGTCACTCATAGTCTTTTAGTCATTATCTTCCGATATCCCTCTCTATACATTTCGTACGTTTAGAGGACACAACCCCTACTTGCCGCCCAACCATGCCTCGGTGATGCGACCCAATCCATCCTTCAACCACGGAGTCTCCAGCGTGACGCTCGGGTCCGTATCAAAGCCATGTTCGCCCGGCTGCACAACCAACTCAACCTTGGCCTCGCCAAACTTTTCCCTCGCCCTCTCGAGCCACTTCTCACTGCCCTCCACCGGCACCGCACTATCCTCCCTCCCATGGATGATCAGAATCGGGGGCACATCCCGGCCATCCACGTCCTCGATCCTCTCCAGGGGATACAAGATCTTGTCCTCGCCCAACAACTTCCGATACAACCCCTGCTGCACGATCGACAGCGCAAAGGGCAACCTGTCCGGCGGCGTCGCGCTACTCACCACCGTCTTTTTTCCACTCTTCTCCTCCTCCTCCTTCTTTAGCATCCTGATATGCTCGCCAAGCACGTCCTTGGGCAGAGTCGGCGCCCCCAGAATCACCTTCTCATACTCCTCCGTGTAGAAGGGCGAGGCGACGTCCAGCACGGGATACGTGGCGATGCAAGCCGTGGCCAACCCGCCCGAACTCCCCAGCGCGGACTGCACGCTCAAATACCCGCCCGCGCTCTCGCCCGCGACGAGCACCTTGGTCAGATCGACTTCGACTCCGGCTCCGGCCTGGAGGAGACGGCCGTGCAAATACCGCGGGAAGTCATCGCGCAGCCAGGTCCAGAAATCGTGCACGTCGGCCATGATCTCGCGGCCGGTCGATTCGGGCAGGAGTCGATAGTTGGGCAGCACCACGACGGCCGTGTGCTGCAGGGCGTAGTCGACCAGCCATTGCGGGAACCAGTCGTCGTAGAGCGCGTCGCCCGTGACCAGGAAGCCGCCGTGGAATTTGACCAGGATGGGCCGCGGCGTTGGTTTGGACGACTCGGCTGCGGTGAGGGATGTCGCGGCGGCGGGCGTGATGTTGGCGAGCAGGAGTTTGGGGATGAGCGTGTGCACTTGGATGGCGTGGTCGTCGACGGATTTGTAGCTCGTGCTGAGGATGGTAAAGGGCGCGTATTTGGGTGAGGAGGCCGACATTCTAAAACCCAAGGCACACTGGCGGTATGACCGAGTTTGTGATTGACTGTGTGTGTGAGGCGGTACCGACTGAGGACTTGCGATCTGGTAGACCGGATAGATAAGTAAGCATGTAGTCCTTCCTATGTATGTTAAGACTCTTTGGTGCGGAGATGATTACTGTACCTCGTCGGTCAACTCGTGATTGTCGGACTGAGAGATGGGTGGGAGTTCGATCCGTGTGCCTATATCAAATCAGAACCAGTCCGACTCCAGATGTCGAATGCTGAGCTTCAACCTCGAAAGTCGATGAGAGTCAATGCCAGGACCAGTACGGGCACGGCTTGCACGACGTTTGCGGATCGAGTATGTATATATTGCAGTCTCGTATGTACTCCTACCCGTGCGCTCTCTTCCTCCAGATGTGCTGATGAATGTGTAGATTGGGTCGTGACTAGAATATCTGTATAGGTTATATACTAGAGAATTCGTGCTCGTAGTGGTGACGGCAATAGCCCCACGAGCCTACAGACAAGTAACCGGATAGCGCACTTCTCGGTGTTAAGATCCGAAGGTGGGACACCGATACCAATTCTAGGTACCCAGTACTCTAGGCAATGTCCGAGTACAGTAAGTACATGTCTAGATAGCTGGGTAGTTTGTTAACGCCGTGGCGGCACCAGGCACAGCCGCCGAGTGGTTGACTGGGGCGCGAACACCCACGCACGCCATGCGCCCATGGCACCATGGCACAGGAGAGGCCAGAGAAGCTCATGTTAGCCAAGTTATCTAATGTGTACGGGTACTGTAAGACACCAGATGCCAAACGTCAATGGCTCGAATGAGCGAAAGTGTTTTGGCAGGGCACGTCATACATTCAGTGACACTGTATACGGCGGACAGTTTATTCGAGTTCCAGTACCCGGTACGCCCGTCTGGAGTCACTCTCCCGTAGGCGGATATACACGGCACAGTCGTGAGAGGAAGATTCTCATTCGGACGACGAACACGCCGACAACTGACTCACCGGGGCGTAAGGGATTGCTAATCCAGATCGCAGTCGTCGCCACATGGTTCTGCAGGCCAGGCCAAACATTGCGCCGAACAGGCAAGGAAAGTATCCGAAGCGATACATTACGCCGGCGACAGGAAGGGGACCAATTTCCAACACAGAATACTGCAACGCAACACAACACAGGATCACCACCGCATGCTCTCCCTAACCACCTCCCTCCTTTGCACCTCCCCCACTGATAACCCTCTTCAACCTCTCCCCTACAGTCCCCTTGCTGGCCCGCTCCTCCTTCTTCCTCGCCTTCTCGGCCTCTCTCCTCCGTTTCCTGTCCTCGGGCGTCTCTGGCGCGGGCCATCCCCTCTCGCCAGGCGCTTCGCCCTGCATGGGTCCACCCCACGCCAGCGACTTCAAGCCCCAGCCGCCGTTTTGCAAGTCGGGTAGAGTGCCGTCTGAACCCGGGTTGACGTAGAGCTTTGACTCGGCGAACTCTTTGAGCGCGGCGAGTTCCTCGGCGCTGTTTGCAAAGCCGTGTTTCGCGCGGTAGGGCGGGAGGCGGTCGTGTTTGGGGTCGACCGGGTTGGTGTACGATGGGGGAGAAGACATGGTTTGTGTCAGAGGCCTCTACGGAACCTGGTCTTTTAAATACTTGGACGACCGGCGAGACAAGGCTGTAAAGTTGTCGCGAACGTGTCTGGCACGACAGATCAACAATCGTCTATTTCGTGGATATAAGTCCTCTGGCGATGGGGTTCTCAAGTAAGAATCATTCGCAAAGGCATCCGCTGTCCAAGTCGGGGTGAGAGCTGGTTCGTAGTCGTCTACCTTGCCAAAACACAGACGGTTATATCCTGCAGGTGGTTGATGGCGTTTTCCACCATGCCATCGTCGGGGACGAAGGCCGAGAATAAAGGTGGAACGATGACATTACCTGAGCCCGCGTGATGATGGTTCCATCTCAAAGGCGACGTCACCTAAGAGGGCTTTGCCGTGTCACACGGCGAGCACGCACAACGAAAGCCTGCCATCATTGGTGGTCAGCTCGGGCTCGGTGATTCCCCGCAAACTCATGCCAGGCCATCGGTTGGGCCCATACGAGTATTCCTCCTATCACACCGTTTTGGAGTACTGAATTGTTTCGTTTTCTGTATCTGCTAGCGGATGTCCTCGGACCACCAGCTAAAGTACTCGCCTGTTCGTCTGTTGCCGAAAATCCACCTAGATCTGACTATCCCGTAGTCATGTGCCATAAGGTAGTCGGTACCTCACCAGAGATGGCTCTGATAGGCGTCGATGGACTCAAACGCGAGCCCCTTTCGCTTCGCAGCCTTGCCAAGAGCAAATGCATTCGAGCGCAAGATGTGTGCGAAGAAATGAAATTTCCATTGCAAGTGAAGCTGCGCGCTTAGACGAGACTGGTAGAACCTGAGGGGGTTGCACACATCAATACACAGGACAAAACGCGTTGCTGCCGCGGCTGGCTGGATGCGGCAGAGGCGCGTTGCGTGTGTGGTCTACTGCTCCGCGCGTCTCGGAAACGGTGGGCCATTGCTGTCCAGACGCAACAAGCGCACGCATACGTTGGCGGGCCACCTACGCCTCCCGTTCTCCTTCACTTCTCGACATCCCTCTACGAGGTACATCCTACCCTTTGGCGTTCTCCGCGCAAGAGGTAAAGATGGATCCACGGTACGATTCGGCTAGATTTCCTTCCATTGCGATGAGATTAGCTGCCGAAAAGGGGATATTCCAGCTCCGGGAGTGGCAAACACGCGTCCTGGTTCAGCGCGGATCCGTGCGGTCGTCTTCACTCGGATCTGGTCTGATGTGATACTGTCAGAGTACTCTCTCAAATCTTGGTCGGCTCTCAACTGGCACTTGCACCACTTGACTCAACCAGATGACGACGAGATCAGCCCAGGCGCGACGTACGCTTCAGTTGTGAACCCGACTGTCAACATCCTGGCTGGTGGCCTACCCCACACCTGCCACACAACTCCTCGACGTGTCAACCAAGCCGATGTTCCAGATCCCCTTTTACAGGAAGTGACACGTAGCTTCGGAATCTGATTTCCAGCACAGCATACTCAGGATGGCCTCGTACCACGCTTCATGGCTGGCAGGAGGCCGTACGACCATGCAGGCTCGGAGCCTTACAGAGATTGCGAAAACAACTAGGAGGCGTTCCGCCCTCCTTGCATACGCGGGTTCATCCTGTTGTCGCAGATGTCGCCTACAGCTTCGCTTCCAGGCGTCTCTTTCTGGGTCTGGGTTGTCGCTGTACGGCCTCATTGAATAACGAGCAATGTCAAAAGTCCAGCCCTGCCCCTGATTCAATCCTGTTTCGCTGACTACCTGTTGGGGATTTGTGGACCGATTGACAAGCACCTCAACGCTCGAAATTGCGTCAAGCCCAAGACCGAGACTCAGATGATGCGGCTTCTGCGCCCCAGCCTTCGCGGCCTCTCCCAAGAAAGAGACTACTGAAGTCATGATAATACGGTGACTCTACCCTCTCTCGCAAGTCGGAAGTCTGCAGTCTTTCCACACCATCGTTCATTGCAGATATCTCTGCAGCCACTCCTTTTCACGGTTCCCTGTGCTCTTCAGTCGCTATGGCGTCGTCCACTCGTTTGTCAATCCAGTCACTCACTACAGTTTTGCTTTCTTTGTATCTAATTTTCGTATCGCACGTCGATTCCCTTGCTAGCACAGACACCATTACATGGGGTGGCTCCAACGACCGAAGCGGCTACCAGAACAATCACAACATGGACCCGGCTGTGGTTGGAAGTTCTCAATTCGGGCTCCTCTTTAAGGCCCGCCTGCCCGGCACATATCCCATCAATGGTCAGAACGTCCCTGAACAGATATTCTCCCAGCCGCTGGTATATACTGGCTCCGATGGCGTTCAGTATGTCTATGTTGCAACAACCCAGAATAATGTGTACAAACTGGCGGCAAAGACCGGCGTTATTGTCGCCTCTCGAAACCTGCATCGGCCATTCTTGGTCAGCGATCTGGACGGATGTGTTGATATCAACCCAACTGTCGGTGTAACAGCGACTGGTGTCATTGACCCAGAAACGGTACATTCGTCCCCTCCAACATAAGCATGATGGTTAAGTTTGACATATACAGGACACATGGTACTTCACATCCAAGACTTATATCGATCAGAATCTTACTGGGGCAAACGGCCGTCCGAATGGACGCTACTACGTTCATGCCATCAGTACTGTGGATCTCACCGAAAGACCCAATTTCCCTGTCAGCCTTGAGGGTATGGTGGCCCGCAACAATCCGGTGCGATCGTTCAACGGTGGGATTCATCACCAACGTCCTGCGCTGCTCCACACCGGCGAATATGTCTACGCTGGCTTTGCGAGTCATTGGTGTGTAGAACTCCTGCTGCTCGTTCCCACACACAATTACTGACGGGAATGTGCTGCTAGTGTGCTGTACAACTTTACTGGCTGGATTGTGGGCTGGCACAAGGGCACTGGACAGATCGTGGAGAGATTCGCGACTGAAGGTGGTATGTGGAAATGCAGTTCCGACCTTCGAAAACAAAGGCGTCTTTCTGACTGTCTTAGCCGGCGTCGGTCCCAATGTTCCCGGTGCGGGTGTGTGGATGTCAGGAGGCGGCCTGGCGAGTGACGATAAGGGCTCGATGTTCTTCGCTTCCGGAAATGGCTATGCTTCTCAGCTCGCTGGCGTCCCAGTCAACGGACGAAGCCCACCTACCGCTCTCGAGGAAGCCGCGGTTCACATGGCAATCAACGAAGACGGCTCTTTGAATGTCGTGGACTTCTTCATGCCTTGGGAGAAGACCCAGCTTGACGGTGCTGATAAAGGTATGATTCGTCCTCTTGAGCACGTTAGACTTGGAACTGACCGGGAACAGATCTTGGCACGTCACCGCTGGAAATACTCCCGAGTCAATTCTCTTGCGGAGATATCAAACGCATTGGTGTGGTCACCGGCAAGAGTGGAAAGACCTATTGGCTCAACCTCGACAACCTTGGCGGCTACCAGAATGGCCCGAACAAACTCGACAACGTCATTCAAGTCTATCAAAATGAGAACTCGGTCTATGCTGGTGCTGGTGTGTACCCTCTCGAAGGTGGATACATCTACATCAACGTCATCCAGTATCAGACACATGTGTTCAAGTTCTCCTGCAACGACGGCGTTCCTTACTTCAACAAGGTGGCGGACTCTCCCGAGAAGAATGCATACGTTCTCGGTGTCGGTCATGGCACGGTGACCTCGCTCAACGATCAGCCTGGAACGGGCCTGGTGTGGACATCCGATGTCGAAGGCTCCAACCTACGCATCTATAATGCTATCCCGGATTCGAACGGCCTAATGACGGAGATCAACTCCTTCGTCACGCCCGGAACCACCAAGTTCACCAGACCTGTGTTTGGAGATGGCATCGTGTATCAGGGTACGACGCAAGGATACTTGTATGCGTATGGCGCGCCTGTCAACTTGCCCTTGAACTGCACCTCCCTGCATTTCGGGACAGCCAATCTGAACACCACCACGGCGCCGATGACCATTCAATGCACAGCGAACACTGCTGCTACAGTCACTGCTGCAAGTCTCTCAGGCAACCCGAACTTCGCCGTCAGTGCTTTGCCCGGTCTCCCTCTCGCGATTGCCAAGGGCCAACGGTTCTCATTCCAGGCGACCTTTACGCCGCAGACAGTCGGGCCCTTGTCTTCGTCTGTCATCCTCAACACCACCCAACAAGCTGCTGGCTTCAGTATCAATACGCCCGTACAACTCAAGGGTACGGGTCAAAGCCAAGCTGCTCTGTTGATGACTTCACCAAATACAGTCGGTTGGAACGGCGTCATCACGGGACAACAAGCTGGGGGCGTTAATCAGTCTGTGATCATTAGCAACCTCGGCAACAGTCCTCTCATAATCAGCAAGGTTCAGTATTCCATTGTTGGTGAGACTGGGCCCTGGATTACCCCAAATGGTACGCAGGCGATGACTGTCGTATCCGCTTTCACCTTCTACAACATGCCGTCGTCGATACCGCCAAACAGCGCTGTGACGGTTCCAATCAACTTTAAACCGTCATACTCGGCCAATTTCGCTGCTTTCGTCAGTATTGTCTCTAGTGGCGGCACGAAAGTCGTCGATGTGCTTGCAGCAGGATCGGACGAGCCAAAAGCCGTCCTTGAATTCGAATCACCCAACGGAGGCTGGGTTCCCTACGACAACACCACTGCGTTTAGCTTTGGGAACGTCACGGAAAACACGAGCCAATTTCTCAAACTCCGTCTCAGCAACAACGGGTCTGCAAATGCTGCCCCGATCTCAGTGACTGTCAGCAAACCTCCATTCGGTATCTCAGGCAGCATCATCGGTGCCAACAACGCGGTCGATCTAGCGGAAGGCACACTTGTCTACGCCGGGCAAAACCTCACTGCCACGCTTTTCTGTTCCGTTCCGAAGAGTCAGATCAACGTCGATCCCTACAACGGCACGGCTCAATGGACAATGAATCTCAACGATCCTACTTTCGGAAAGCAGCACATCGAATTCTTTTGCAACGCCGTCTCGGAGCAGGCGCCGCCCTTGAACCCGATTACCCAACAAGGTACCTACAGATATGCTGGCTGCTTCAAGGAGAATAACCCGGATCGACAACTCCAAACTGCCATCTACAGCGGGCCGGCTAACACAAACGAGAAGTGCATAGGCCTGTGCTCTGCTGCCGGCTACATCTTCGCTGGCACTCAGTACGAGCAAGAGTGCTGGTGTGGCTACAATCGGCCGAAGAAAGTCGTCGATGACGCCGACTGTAACTTCGCGTGCGACGGCGATGTCAATGAGGTCTGCGGCGGTAATGGGATTGACGAGGCAGGGTCTTACATCTCACTCTTCGGCGACATCACTCGCTGGAATGGTAATTCTACAGACACACCAGGGCCGTACGTCAATCCTGGAAAACTCGGCTTCGACAGTGTCGGATGCTACACCGAAGGCACCAATTCCCGCGCTCTCAATGTTCAACCCCAGTCCAACAACACCGTGGCCGGATGTTTGAAAGCCTGTCAAGGTTACTTATACTCTGGTCTCGAATATGGCGGTCAATGCTTCTGCGGGAATACGTTGGCAGCTGGATCCGTAACTGCCAGCGCCACAGACTGCAGTATGACATGCAACAACAATCAGACCGAACTTTGTGGAGGCCCAAGCCGACTCAACATGTATGTATATGGGAATGGTACCCTGCCTGACACGCCACCTTCCACTGGCGGAGGCAACAACAATCCCACTCCACCGACAGGACCTACCGTTCCGGCAACCATCGGCAACTTCACTTATCAGTCATGCTACACCGAAGTGGCTGGTCGGGCCCTCGCTGGCTTCGCCCTTGCGGATAACAGTATAACACTCCAAACTTGTGCCAGAAACTGCACTCAGTATCAATACTTTGGCGTCGAGTACGGTCGTGAATGCTACTGCGGGAATGCACTTACTTCAGGAAGTGTCCCGGCAACGGATGGCCGCTGTAACATGGCCTGTTCTGGCAACTCAAGCTTCACTTGTGGTGGTCCCAATGGCTTGACACTGTACCGGAACACCAATTGGTCTTCTTCGACCCCTCCTCCTCCTCCACCGCCACCGAACCAGCCATCCAGTCCAGTTATCGTCCCCAGTGTTGGCAACTACCAATATGTCGACTGTCATACTGAAGTCCCTGATCGGGCTTTGACAGCCAAGGCTGTCGCGTCAAAGGACATGACGGTACCGTTCTGTGCGGGCAACTGTACTGGCTTTACCTACTTCGCCATCGAGTACAGCCAAGAGTGTTATTGTGGCAATAGTCTCGCGTCTGGCTCTGTTACCGCAACAGACGGGCGCTGCTCCATGACCTGTGCGGGCAATTCGTCGACCATCTGTGGCGGACCGAATGGCTTAACTCTCTACCAATATGTTGTACCGTCGAGTTCGAGTGCAATCACATTCACAAGTACCGTCAGATCCAGTTCCTCTATGGTCGCGTCGACGTCGACTTCAATGTCGTTGAGGTCGAATTCAAGCACAGCCACAAGTACCACATCGAGCATCAGCTCTAGCTCCTCACTCGTGTGGTCGATTACGACGTCGTCGACTTTGAATTCAAGCACAGTCTCAAGTACCATATCGATCATCAACTCCAGTTTCTCGTCAATCGCGTCGACGTCGTCTTCAACGAGGACCTCTTCTGGCTTGTCCACGGTCGTGGCGGTATCTACTTCTAACGCCTCATCGAGCACCTCGCGTACTGGTAGCTCTACCTTATCGTCAACGACTCCGGCCGATACGACGTCGTCAAGCTTCGGGTCAACAACATCGAGCTCCACGCCAACGACCTCACTGGTTAGCTCCGCATCCAGGTCCTCGTTGAGCACAAGCACAACTTCCAGTGTAGCTCCCGCGACTACAGACTCAACTACCACAACGTATGCTGCTGGCTCTACGACATTGCCAGGCCCTGCTGTTTCCAGCACTCGGACATTATCAGCAAGCACCAGTACAGCTTCAACTTCAGGATCTACCGCCGGCGCTTCGACATCTTCAGCAGGGACACTCAGCTTCAGTACGAGCATTCCACCAACAAATACATTATCCACAAGCAGCACCTTGTCAACAAGCAGCTACGGCTTCAGCACGAGCTTCATCCCTGTCCAGTTGTCGAGTGGCAGTACTGTCGTTTCAAGCACAAGCACAAGAACAACCTCAACGACCACCACAAACCGTCTTACCAGCTCCACCTCGTCTCCGACAACATTCTCTACCCGTCTCCCCAGTACTCTCTCCACCACCTCCTCCCCATCCAACCCGTACTTCCCGGCCGTATATCTAGGCTGCGCCGCCGAAGCGACACAAGGCCGCCTTCTCTCCGCCTCGTCCACCGCATCCCCCGGCATGACCATCGCCATGTGCATCTCCTTCTGCAGCGCGCGCAACCTCCCCCTCGCGGGCCTCGAGTACGGCCAAGAATGCTACTGCGGGTCGTGGGCCACAACCACGACCATCTCAGCTTTCAACGCCACGGGCTGCACGATGCCCTGCGCCGGCGACCCGCAGAGCACATGCGGCGGCCGCAGTCGGCTGAGCGTGTACAACAACACCTCCCTATCCCCGCCGGCCGCCAAACCCGTGCTTCCAGGCGGCTACGCTTACCAGGGGTGTTTCACGGACGCGTCGGCCTCGCAGCGCACCTTGGGCGGCGGGTACGCGTGGGCCAACGGCACGGGCATGACGCAGGAGCTGTGCGCGTCGACGTGTCTGGCGAAGGGGTACAAGTTCGCGGGTGTCGAGTTTGGCAAGGAATGTTACTGCGCCAACGCGCTCGGCATTGCCGCTGCCAACGGTGGAGGAGGTGGAGGAAGCTCAGCCTCCTCAGGAGCAAAGGCCGTCCCGGCGCCGGAGTCGGAGTGTAACATGCTCTGCGTGGGCGATGCGCGTGAGTTGTGCGGCGGCAGCGCGAGGATCGGTGTCTGGATGAGTGGTGGTTGACGAGCGGTGGTTGACGAGCGGTGCTGAACCATTGGTATATGGTGTTATCCCGTACAGATATGGTGTGCCGCGAGTGTGTGCGTGCGTGCGTGCCTGACTGGGGGACTTTATTCTTTCCTTTCTATCTTCCGCTTTGCTTACCATACCTTACCTTGCTATACCTTACCTTTTCCTGCATTCCGGGTTCCATTGCCTTCATATAACTGGCGGATGCGTGCGTCCCCTGTGCTCATATCGTCGAATGCGGCGCGCGCGCGCCCGCGCGTGTGTGTCTGTGTATGTATGTCTATGGGGTGAAGAATAAGGCATCTGGGCGTCTGTGCATCCGGTCTCACGGACGACTGATTCGACTGATTCGACCGAGTCGACGATAAAGCGATGTTGGGGGCAAAAGCAGACGAAACTCCAGGCACACCGCTCCCATCCTTCCCTTTCTTATTCTCACTCTCTCGTTCCATTTTTACCTCTTCGGTGGGGAAGGGGCTTGCCTACCTACCTACATACCTACCTACGTGGATACATACAGACATACATACAGACATACATAGATAGATCCTTGCCAGGCTAATAATTCATGCTGTGATGGGATTCTGATCTTCCATGTCTGACCTCTGTACTCCGTACTATGCGTACAGTAGTAAGCTTGAGATTCAATAAAGGCCAGGTGAAGGCCGAACTGGATGCTTTTGGGCAGAACTACATTGTTGGTCGGTAGAGGCTGGTGACTGTACTCTGTACAGTAGGTCTGACGCAGTGTGTCCTTGAGGCCGGCGCGGTCTTGTCATGAATACTACCATTGCGGCAGATACCTTACTCAAATGTTGATGCTTTGCATTTCCGACTTGTTTGTCTATGGCTAAATCCCACACCATATTGGCATCATCTGCTCGGTACTCCTCGTCCATCCAGGGCCCCCTTGGTCACCGTCGCGGTGGATATTGAGTCCCCAAGTCGGCCGTCACCGACTAACAGATCGTCATCACAACACCGGCGTGCTTGGACAACGTCCCCGCCACCGACCATCTCAAAAAGCGCAACACGGCCCAACAGCAACCCAATCGGCGCCAACGCGTCCAAGCGTATGCAAGCTTGAAATGAAATGGTATCTCAATGATCAGGACGTCAACATCAACAACAAATGAAACAAGCATCGTAAACATTGATACAACCACGCCGCATAAACATCATACACAACCCCAACATTGGTTTGCTTCAACACCTTGGGTGGAAGGTGTTGGGCGACGGCATCGGCAAGCTTCGCCACGGCCTTGCCCGGTCAAAACCAAAAAGAATCCCAGAGCTTTCCTGGTCGAAGCAATTCTGGCCTCAAGCCTTGAGTGCGGTTTTCTCATCGATAATGGAGAACGCGTTCGTTGTCTTTGTGATGGGCCGCTTGACCCGCAGGACTGCGTCTTGGTTGGACATTCTTCTGCCAAGGGCACGTTCGACTTTTGCGCCCAAGCTCAGCTTGCTCAGCTCATCGGTCTTCTTGAGGGACGGCACGAAGCGCTGCTGTTGGAGGTATTTGTTCTCTAGTCGGTCGAGTCCTTGCGTGACGTGTCGAATCTCAGCCATACCGACTTCGGGACTGACGGATATGTTCGCGGCGGCAGCGCCGGAGACAAGTGTTTGAGAGTTGGAGCAGTTGCTGTTGGTCGTAGCGAAAGAAGGAGAGGCAGAGTAGGTCGAGTAGCGTTTGGAGGTGCGCTTCGACGTGACCTGTCAAAGACCGTTAGCTATAATTTCAGTAAGATTGCATTTGGAGTTGTCACGCACGCTTGGAGCCATGATCGGCCTTTGAGACTCGAGAGACCTGCGAGACATAGCTGCGGTGGTGTGTTACAAGCACGTGGTGGTAAGAGAGTCGAAGGGTGGTGCACGGCGGCTGGGAAGAAGTGGTGAACGAGTGCTGTGTTCCGTCTTAAGTTGGGGGAGACGCTGTTCCCGGTCGACAAACAGAACGAGCGAAGTGCAGAGCCGGAAGCGGTGGCAGTGGAGTTCTGATTTGTCCAAGTGTGTTCCCAAAAGCGCAGTTACGTTGATGATCAAAGCCGCTTAGGGAGGGGTTGGATGCTTTGAGTGCCCAGTCTATCCTGACGTGTCGATGCCACGAGGTCGAGTAGAAAGAGTCGGTGTGGTGACTGAGGTCCGATAGTGATACTCCGGAGAGAGCTGACTCAGGTCTGGTTAAGATGGGCTGGAGAGAAGGATATGTACGAGTACGGCTGGTGGCTTCGTGATTCGGATTTCCGGCGAGTCGAGTGAGGCAGCTGAAGTGAGAGGAGGAGCAGGAAGAAGAGCGAGGCCGTCGTGCTGGTGAGCAGAGCAACACTTGCAATTGGAAGGAGCGGCCTTGGTTTGGAGTCCGTGGGTTCTTCCGGGGGTGCCTGTCCAATGGCCACTCTTACCGGTGAAAGCCACGAAATAGCCAGCTAGGGGCGTCACTGGGCGTTCACTTGGGCAACAGCCCGTTCCTTGATGGCCCCTGTCTACTCCGTACCCAGGATCCCAGTAGGCGCAAAAACACCGTCCACACTCCCTTGTGCCTTGCTGTTTTCGTCGTGCCTGCATGACGCCACTGCTTCAGAATTGGCATCCAGAAAGACGCATGGTTCCACGGCTCCACGTGGTCCCGACCTGCATGCCAACCTTGACTCCGTCCATCCAGACTCTCGCACCCTCGTGGCCACTCATTAGCACAACCGTCGTCCCGGGCTGCATGAACGCCAGTGCTAAGGATGTCTTGAAGCTTTCGTACCTGTGGTCTAGAACATGTTGACAGAGGTTGGTGGTGCCACTGCGTAATTTTGAGCCTTTGACGTGAAATCTAGGAGGAAGCTGAAAAGCCACATGCGATTCCAAGCGGACATCGGACGACCAACTGCTCCCCTCAAGCCAACGAGCAGGGATTTCCGTTGATATCTCTAAGCGAGGTACAGTAGGGTTCTGCCGTTCCTCACAATTAACTTCCGGACAGATCCCTGAGGAACGTCGGTATCTGCTCGACCGTTGACCGGTCGCGGAACCTATTGTTTCACGGCCATGCACAAAGATACCATTCCCGGGCGTTGGATCTGACCATGCAACCCTGTGTTTCACGACCTCGTGTCTGCGGTCCCCACTTCCCTCGCCAGCAGACGCTCACTCTCCTCCCTCACTTCCCGTTCTGGGGGGGCACAATCTAATCTCACTCTTTCCGGTCACGAAGAACGATGGTCAGCCGAAAAGGTGGAACAAATGCGAAGGATGTCAGCCACAAGGCGAGAAGTAGGGCCAACAGAAGAGTCGTTCGAGAGTGTAACCACGTAACCGCGAGTGATCTTCTTGATGACGACGACAGTTTCCCGCCAGAATGGGAGAGCAGAGTCGCGTGCTTTCTGGATTCTGCCCTGCGATACTGACCACATGGGGCCATTTGGAGCGGAACGGAATCTATCCAGGACCGAGGAGGCGGCTGGAAGTCGAGATATGCATGCCTAAACAAGCGCTGCTTCAGCAACGCATGCCTGATGCTACGAATGCCACTGCACAGACCATGCTGTATCCGCCCAGAATCGTGCAACAACCTCATCATCCTGCTGTGCCCAACGTCATCAATCATTCATCACAGCCGTGCGGAGAGGACATCCCATCGTTCATCCTTCGTGCCAGCCTAAAGACTCCCAGACCTGCGTCCACCAGTCATGAATACTTCCTGTCATACCGAAGTTCTTTGCCAGCCAAAACGCCAGTCCACCCATTACCCCAAAGCTGCCCACGATCTGCAACGCGATCCAGCCCCTCGTGCGCAAGGAATCTTGCCATCTGAGCAGTCCCAGGGGATCATGCATCTGGTAGCTTGGGACTGCTTCGCCGTCGCCATATGTGATGCTCCCCTTGCCATTCTTCCGCACTAACGCTTGAGCATTGTTGACGGGCACAATCTTGCCATCACGCACTTCCTCGCCCATCTTCTCCACCAGCCAGACAGCTCGCTCCCCCCGGGCCAGTCGCTCATATCTCTCGCGTTCGCGCTGTAGGCTCAACTGCAACTCGCTCGCCCACTTCGAGAGCCTGATTTGGGCGAGCCGTTCTTCCCGCTGCGTGTGGTCTGCGACCCTGGCTAGTGCCCAGGAGTTAGACGTATTAAGTGAAAATTCTGACCCTCCTGGTATCAGAACGCCCGACTGCGACGGGCTGAGTGGTGTCTGCAACGGTGACGTGAGAATGGAGTTGCGCACAGACGGATTATATGACCGAGGTGGAGAGGATGCGAGGGACGGCGAGCGTGGTGCTGAGACCAGTCTTGGATGCGAGGCGTGCCAGGCAACAAGCTTGCGAGCGGCGGTATGGCGCAGATATGCGATTGTGTCGGGCTCGAACATCTGTTCTATCAGGAGGCTGAGCTCCGATGGCAGCAGAGGTTGAATATACTCTGGCGACATGAGGAGGGAGGCGTCCATCGTATCGAGGTCAGGGCCGTTGGTAGAAGTCACCGTGTAGGGTGCTGTCGCTGTCGCAAGCACTCTGTTCGGTTCTGCAGTGGTCGCTGTTACAGCTTCTGAGAAAGTTACAGAGCTGGGGAGGCGAGGTAGACAAGACAAGCTCGGATCGAGTGATTGTTTCAGTTGATCTTGCTCTTGAGGACTGAGTAGGTCGGATTTGGCAATGAGTGGAATCACGTTGCAAAGGTCCGATAGTTGGCGGATTCGCTGGATGTCCTCTTGCAGATTATCTGTGCTCATCGCATCAATCACATATAGGCGTAGCATCGAGGGAGGAAGCCTTACCTTTCGATGTCAAGTACAAGATCACATCAACATGGCTTGCACCCCTTCCGCTGAGCAAACCTGAGAACTCGCTGCCCAGCTGGTCCACGGAGCTCACGGCATTGACCAACTGCGTCTCGGCATACTGGATAACCCGCTCTAGTCTCGCCGAGTCCGAAGTGTCAACGAAGCAGATATTTCGTTCTAGTACCGAATCTCCCATGGACTTCCGCCGGCGGAGAATACGAGATTCCTCCATGGTGGACCACCACTCTGGGTAGGGTTTCGTCGAGGCATAGACCTCATTAATCGGATCTCGGCCTCTGGTGGAGGGGTGGGACGAGGCTGTTGCGGGGACAATAGGATCGACGTGGACAATGTCTTCGCAGAGTTGGACGATAGATTTGATGAGGGATGTCTTGCCGATGCCTGGTCGATCAAGCCGGTCAGCATTCTACAGGAATCAGTCGTGGATTTGTACGCACCTTTTCGACCAGCAACCATAACCTTGAACCTCCCCAACCTCTTCCCTCTCTGTGTGAAAGGCCTTCGAGACGGCATCTTGATACTGGGCATGATGAGTTCAGGCTGACTATCTTGAATGCCTTCTCCGAGCGGCAAGCGTAGTCGCTGTGAAGTAGGACTTCGATCTGGCCGGTCCTCGTTCTCGTCCTCGTCACCACTCGACAGTACTGCCTGGCTGTCCGTCTCGTCGGCGCTGGTCAACAGCTCGTTATCGGAGGCCGAGCTGGACTTGGACAGAGACTGCCGGGAAGCGGGCGATTTCGGACTGCTTGGGAGGGACACCTCTCGCGATGGCAATGGAGAGGGTGTAATAGGCCTTGTCCGTTCCTTATCTGAAAGAGTGGGCTGAGATGGGTGATTGGTACAGGTCTCTGCATTCGCGCTGGAGTTGGACGAGCCTCTTCTAATGAAGCGCCCAGCGGTTCCTGGCTTGATTGTGGACCGCCGTCGACTCCCGCTTCTCGCTGAGCGAGGCGGTACGTGCTTCGCAGCACGGTCGGCTTCTTGCATTGTATCTTGCAGGCTACTCAAGGGCGAGTGGTAGGACATCGCGGCAGACGCCCGCTCAGCGTGTTGTGGCCCCGCGCCGCCATCAGGATCTCGGGATAAGAAGAAAGTAGTGGCAGTTGTATTGGTACATCGATCACGGTCACTGGTGAGGGAGGATGCATCGGCGTTGGATGACTTGCGAGGGCGGAGTGGTTCGGCTGCATTGCTATCGAGGCTGATGCCAGGTCTCATCGTGTGGTCATAGGAGCTGGTGTCTTGTAGGTCTGGACGCCGGCTTATGATAGGATATTATAGGGAGAGGATCATTGCATGCGAGGCACAACTTCAACACTGGCACCTGACAAGGAATGGTACGAGTGAACATGTCACCGACCAATATTGCGGCCTGAAGTTACTCCTCAGCCTCGCCCATTCAGGCCGACCTCGCCGACTACCCCACGTCGACACACGATACGCGTGAGGGGTGCCGGATTGGCTTGTCCCCGGACCATCTGTTAATCTTCGTCGAAACACACAAGCAACCTGAACTTTTTCATTAGGTGACGTAGTAATGTCCCATCTGTGATGAGAATCTAATGTACAAATTCATGACATCCGGTGACCATGCCATTCTTCTGAAAAGATGCCCCCCCAGAACAGCAAAGTACATGGTCTCGCTCAAAAGGACAACGCTTCCCTCTGCCCATGACCCTGAGCTCATTCGAATCTGTTACTGTGCACATCTCTCTGAAATGGTCGAAGGTGATAGTGATCCGATCGCTGTTTGTCCGAATCAACCCCGAAGCTGGCTATGCGAAAGACACTGCTGGAATCGTGTAAAGGATGTTTAAGGTGATACCACGAAGAACTTTTCCAAGGACGCCGTTAGAAGAAGTGCCGGAATCGGACCTCAATCCTTGAGTACCGCCCGGGTTGGCCTGACAAAGCAGAGACTGAGGATGTGATTCATTTTAGTCGCGAGACGACCGAGTGCGTCATCGCGTTCCAACAGGAGCATCACACGGTCTGACCCTGGCCGCGACCCTTGGGGGTGATAGTGCCAGTGCCAGGCTTGCCACCTCTCTGGTGCTGGACATTGCCGCCGCGTCCAGCGTCCTTGGGGAAATTAGTCTGGCTCCCGGACCGACTGCCGCCTTGAATCGCTCCACGACCGCCGCGACTGGCTGGGCCGCCGCCACGGGTGTAGTTAGCATTGCTGCCGCCGTAGGCATTAGGACGAGGCCGTCTTTCCTCGACATAGATTGTCTCGGTGCCGACAGTGTGGGGATTGGCAGCAACGGCCGCTGCGTATCCAGCAGGGTCAGAAAATTCGACAAAGGCGCAGCTCTGTACTCCGTCAGTGAAAGCGAAGAAGCGTAAGAGAAGTGGTACTTACCCTAGGTCGGGACACATCGTAGTACTTGAGCTCGCCGAAGCTCTCTAGAACCTCTCTAAGGATCCTAGCGTCGACCTTCTCATTCACATTCCTGATGTACGCAAGAGTGATTCCATCAGAGGCGGCTTTGTTTTGCGGTCGATTGCTTTTCTTGCTGTGCTCAGCCGTCTGCCAGCCGTTGCTTTGCGAAGTGGGCGTGCTGGCTGTGGGTGGGGTGGCTGCTGATGCCGGTTCAGTTGGAGCCTTGGGAGCTTGTGCAGGTTGCGCAGGTCGAGGAGCTTTCGGTTGTGCTGGGGTCGAGATTGGGAGTGCGGGAACGGCGGGCTTCTGGACACCACCGGCACCACTTCCTCCTCCAAGCATGCTTGCCCAAGTCTTCTTCGCCGCTGGCGCCTCTGGAGCTGCTGCTGCAGTTGGTGCAGGTGCAGCAGCTTCAGCAGTAGATTCGGCCGGAGCCGGGGTCGCTTCAGGCTCGGCAGTTTGCTCAGATGCAGCAGGCTCAGGCGTCTCTGTTGCCAACACATCCTCTTTGGGCGCTCTTTCCGGAGCGTCGACGGGCTCTTCAATTGGTTTCGAGGCATCATCACCGTTGGTATCGGCAGCAATATCTTGTGGAGCCTCCGTCTGCTCTTCAAGCTTCTCATCGACCTCGTCGGCTGCGTTCTCGGTGACAACTTGATCCTCGGTATGGGGCTGGGCGTCTTGTAGACCCTCGGCAGGGGTAGGGACTTCTTCCGCAGGGACTTCTGTCTGAGGTTGTTCATCTTCGACAATCTCGTCCACATCGTCGCTGAGGTAACGGAAAATGTCGTTCAAGACGAAGTAGCCGTTCGGTTGCTCGGCAAGGACGAAGGTCTGGACGAACTTGTGATGCGGCTCAGATTTGTTGGACATCTCCCCGATAACCTGAACAACGATATTGTTGAACGAAGCTTGTGAGTCGACATTGAGAACGCGGACTTTGCAGTCTTGGAAGTCAAGGGACTTGATCTTCTCGCTGATGGCCTATGCTCACACGTTAGCGTTATCGAAAGACAATCTGAACAATGGACACACCTTCGTGCCAACGGCAGGAACGACCTTCTCAGCCTCGACACCAGAGACCAGCTGAGACTTCTTGGAGTAGAACAGGTGGATCTTCTCTGGAGTCTTGGACAGAGTAGTATAGTATTGCTCAACAAAGTACCAGCCAATTTCTTGAGGGTCGGCCTTCTGTTGTTGGGTAGTAGCTGAGGCGGTCGTACTCTGTGAGGCCGAGGTCGCGTGAGTGGGTACGGAGGGAGTAGAAGCAGCAAGCTCGGCTGGCTGGGTGTACTGAGAGGTGCCGTAGAGGCCATTGACAGGAGCGGTTTCGGTAGCCATGGTGCGAGGTCAGCGGGAGATGAGGCAAACGCGACCGGGTGTAATTGTCTAAAAGTGGATGTCGCGTTCGCGAAGAAAATGAAGGACTAAAGGGTTGTCGATTGTTCGTGGACAGGCGCGATATAGTTGAGCTAGACCGCAGTAGTTCTAGAAGAGAGAATCTCGCAGAACTGCGGTAATCTGGCAGGCAGGCAGGCAGGTAAGAAGATGATCTTGTACAGGGTGAAAAAGGGTCACAGTGAGAGCACCTAATGGTGTAGCAGAAGTATGGCGATGTTTCAGAACACAGTGATGAAAAGGCTGAGATATGCGAGGGTCGGTTGTGGGATGTTTAGTGGACGGATTAAAAGGCAATTGGCCGTGTGCTCTTGAATATCGCAGCGCAGTTAATTAGTTGTATGAAAAATATAAAAGCGGAGAGACGAGTTGGAGGCAGGCGCAGCCTTGGCGAAAACTCAGGTTCCTTCACGTCCGCGGCACATCGGTACGGTCCTACAGCTACAGTACTGTACCTTGTGTGACTTGGCTATGGCTCGGCTTCACATGTCCTGGACAGATGACACTGGAGAGCTGTCCGTCAGACACGGGCAAAAACAGAGCCTTTTGCAGAGACGAGAAGGCAGGGTCGGCCTCTCCCTGCAATCCGCTAGTACCGAGGACTTAACACCAAGTACGAGTATCACAACAACTCGTACGGAGGACTGTACATTCTCTCCTGCAATGTAAGCGCACAATTCGACACCACCAGGCATTGCCAAATCGCGATGCGACTACTATGACAGCCCATCAGTGGCAGCTGTGGCTGGGCCTGAATGACGCAGAACCGTTTGTCCACACTGAGGACAGCGATCTCAGCATCCAACGGCAGATCTGGATCGTCGCCAGAAAAGCTTCCTCTGGCCCATCGTAACCGAGACCTGTAACTCGATCTTCCCCACCCGGGGTCGCGATCATTTGTTCCCCGCAAAGAAGTGAAATGTGAGCTACGAAGAGAAAGGATATCTTCATGACGCATTTTATTGTAGACGGACCGGTCCTGCGTCCTTCCTGTCAAACGCTGACATATTCACCAGTGCCTGTTCCGCCGACCATAAATCAGATAGTTGACTCCAAGAACACAATGGGTAGCGTCTCTGAACCACCAGTAGTCCTTTTCGACTACCAGTTCGCGCCGAACGCACAGAAGGCGAGAAACCTCTTGAGCATGTGTGGCATTCCTTTCAAGGTCTGCGAACAGCCCTTTGTGATGCCCCGGCCCGTCCTCGCGGATCTCGGAATCACATACAGGAGAATTCCGGTCAATGCCATCGGGCGTGATCTGTATGCAGATAATCACGTCTTCCTCGAAGCAGTCCAGAGTGCCTTTCCAGAGAAGGCAGCGGCGCTGGCCAAAAGTCCGGCTGACCATGCGTACGAGGCCTTCGGATACCGCACCTTCTGGATCTGTCTCCCGCTTGTTCCAGAAAAGCTGATGAGCGAAGAGTTCCTGAAGGACAGGGCTGAGCTCTTCTCAGTATTCAATCGCCCCGACTACAAGCAGTTGCGGCCAAGTGCGTTGGCCGAGTTCCGTCAGACGCTGGATCTTGTCGAGAAAAACTTTCTGGCGCAAGGGCCTTGGATCGGCGGAGAGAAGTGCTCCATTGCCGACATTCATGCAAGTTGGATGATCAAGTTTGTCTTGCAGACGTTGGACGTGAAGAACGAGCCAGGCTTTTCAGAGAGGGACTTCCCCAAGGTCCATGCTTGGGTCAATGGTCTCCCTCTCCACACTGCCGAGAATGACGCAGAGAAGATCAGTGCGGACGAGGCCAAACAGGCGATCTTGAGCTCCGGCTATTCCGCCAAGGACATCGGCATAGACTCCGCAGACCCCACAGGTCTACAAGCAGGTGTGAGAGTCGCTGTAGGCACAACCGACGAGTAAGTCTTTCATCCCTCCGCTCGTGTTTCACTCGCTCACCGACTGCAGTGCGACACCTGGTGGCAGACCACAAGAAGGTAAATTGGTGGGCCTCAGCAGAAGCGAAGTAGTCATCGAGCTTGAGAATGGTATTCGAATGCACTTTCCCCGGCTTGGGTTTGTGGTCAAGAAGGCTTGAATTGGGAGGCCGGTCGCAGGCCACGTTCACTGCGGCTTAATGGCAACAGAGTCGTATGCCAATAGGAGGACCAAACACTGGGCTTCCATAGTTGTCATACTTGGACTGGACATAGATCCGAGGAGTGTTGCCAGCTTCAGTAAAACTCAGGGCGCCGTGCAACCAGAGGAACGTCTGGCGAGGGCAACGGATTCGTTGTATCGGGTCTGTCCTGAGCATCGTTGACGGGGTTTGCGTCTTGTTCCTTTCTGGCGAGGCGCTCTTTGTCTTCCCGGCTTCTTTCTCTGTTTTCCTGCCATACTCTGTCCTCTCTTTGAAGTTCTTCTAATGCCTCTTCCCATTCACGTTCTTGTGTCTCGTCGCCGGTACCCAGGATCTTTTCCACGTCCACTTCTTCGCCGCGTTGAAGCTTCTCGACAACCTCCCTGAGCTGCTGTATCTTGACGTCGGCCTTACGAGAGTAGGCCATGAATTCGTTCTTGAGGCTCATGATGCGAATGGCCTGAGAGCCGATCAGAATATAGATCCAGATAAAGAACGTTGCCGGGTTCGTCGGCTTTTCTGGGGCAGCGCTCCCCGGCCTGGTGAAATGACCGCGAAGCGACTTGGGAATGATCAAGTCCCAGAATCCAGGTTGTGCCAGACGAGGCAGGCGGCTTTCCGAGGCTGTGTGTTGGTGCCGTTGCACCCAGCGTGGCCGGGGAGGGAACACCTTGACAGATGGTAGGCGTATTAACCGACTTGTCCGGGCGTTACACGACGCCAGCGGCCTCATCCTGCGCGACTAATATGGTCAGGAAGTGTCGGTAGAGCGTAGTGCACTGCAAATATGATTGTCGCTGGACGTTGGAACTTTGACCGTCACTGGCTTCGACTTTGCTGGAAGAATCACGCGGTTAATATTGCCAATGCGGCATCGGCAATTGTTGCCCCGAACTCGAGCCCGGATCCGGAACCAGATCCGCCGTGTTTACTCGATCGAATCGAGCGACAACGTGGACGCGCTTTCAATTCGAACAAACCTCAGACGGACCTCGAATTACCTGGCCGCTCAAATCATTGAGTTTACAGCTTGAAAGTATCGTAACGCTCTTCATGTATACTATGCATTATCACGCATAATGACAATTAGCCGCGATGCCGTTGTTACCGCGACGTTGGACACCGTTCGCACGGAGCTCAAATTGACGGCACCGACGCCTGAGACTCTTCGCTACTTACGAGCGGTCCTTGGTCTGCGCCCCCACGACCTATGCGACTCGAAAACTGCACGTGCCCCGGCTAAGCTGATACCACCGAAAAAGGGTTCTGCCAAAGGCCAGCCTCCTGTGAGAGCTACCAACAAGCAACGTCAGAGACCAGGCGCAACATTCGAGATCCATGAGGCCAATGATGCTCGACCACTTCACTTGTCGCATAGTGATCGTCTCAAAGTTGCTACCGAGGCCTTCAACCTCACGCTGAAGCACCTCGGAGAGACTATCAAGGCACTGAAAGGCGACCGGGAAAGTATTGCTACCAGCCAGCCGCCACTGCGTCCTCCCCAGCCTGACCGGGCTCTACAGGAGCGGTCCGGGAATGGGCAGGGAAATAGAGATGCTGTCGGCCCAAAGAAGAACCCTCCATGTATCAAGCCAGGCGATTCAGAAGTGGTGGCGGAATGCTGCTTTTCCGCGGTGGAGTACCTGCGCAAAGCTGGCGCTGGAACAACGAGCTCTGACGCCAGCAAGAGTATTGGGCTAGAGAATGCTGCGTTGATTCTTCTGGACAGGAGCATCTCTCTGAACCTTGAGGGCCATGCGATCCGTCAGCTCTCTGATATTCAACAAGTGTATTGGCGAAGCTACACGGAGGAGGATGTCTCTTTTGAGGACGATATTGCGGGCTTTCTGCTTGGCCGGCCCGATGCAGCTGACGACAATTCCATATTCGGGTTCACAGCGTCCATGCAAAGTCAAGCTCTTCGTCTTGCGTTGTTAATGGGCCCTAAGTGCATTAGCCCAGAGCTTGTGAAGTCGCTCGGACCCGACAAAGCTGGAAGTCCTGCCTGGATCACAATGCAAGGACTGTCGAAGGGACGACTCAAGCCTGAGCAGGCTGGACTGCAGCTTCGAACCATAGCACTCGCCGCGGCTCGAATGTATGCAACAGCCATAAAGTCCTCCCCAGAGAAGCCACAACCAGAAGTTCTTTTCGACCTGTTATTCCTGTCTTTGCGCCTCAAATTCGCATCTTGGTCACAGTTAGGTGTCACACCCGATCCAACGGCCGATGTATGGCGACCATTTCACCACGCACTCAAGAAACTGTCAACGTATAGCAGTGGTTTGAGCATATCGTCCAAACAGGTCGTGGACTCCGTTATTTCGGTTCGAGGGCTGCTTACCACCGTAGGGTGCGCGCCTGATATACCTCTCGAGCTTGCTGAGACACTAATGGACACCATGAAAGATGATGATGAAGAGGGGGGACTGGTATACACTCTGGAAGAGATTTTACCGAAGTTTGGAGGCCTGAACCTCGTGCTGCATTGTCAGATAACTACCTCACTGTTGAGAAGTGTCTCCCACAATCTCTTAAAGGGCTTGAGCACGGCGGAACGATTCGAACGCACACTTAACGACAGTACGGTAGTCTCACAACCAGAACTTGCCAGACTCCTTGTGCACCTTGCCCAACTCCGCAAAGCGGTCGCTGCACTGATCATGGCAGATCAGCCGAAAGGTCACCTCCCCGGCAATGAGGGAGGCCGACAAGACCTTCAGATCCGCCTTGTTTACCTCCTATATGCCTCTTTCAGATTTCTAAACCGACATATGACAGTAGCATTGAGTCAGACGGCGGAAAATCCCCCGAAAACCATCGAACAAGCTTATCTAATGACCTTCATAAAGATCATCGACACTGTCTTGTTCACGGACCGCTGCGCTGTCACACAGGCATCTGAATGGGCGCAAATGGTGTGGGAGACTCTTACAGACTGCTCAGCAGCGATATATGATCTGCAGACCGGGTACCATTCGGTTCACGCTCAAAGCTCGACGGAGATTCAATGCAATCAGCTTCGACTACGGATCTCCCAAATATTCTGGTCGCGGTATATAGCGGCAGTGAGACAGGGCAAAACCCCTCTGGAACAGGCCATTATACTTGAGCTATCACTTCAAGGCCTCCTCGAGTTGCCTTTGTCGGATCAGAGATCTGCACATCTCCCACTCAAATTCGAGAAACTCGGGCACTGTTTTCTGGAAACGGACAACTCTGTAATGGCTATCAGTGCTTTTCGGAATGCCATTTCTGCCACCATCAGACAAGGCTTACTCGGTGATATCGTGCAATCCCTTTTGTCTGGGCCACTTCGTTGCGCTTGGTCCGAGCAAGACTCGAACCGCAAAGCTTTCGGAAAGGTTCTTACCGCCTACGGTAAGACACTACTCAGTCAAGCACCACGAAACGGCGGTAATGATTGCTTCTACGATGACCATTCCCTGCCAGCGATTCATCGAGCTGCTCTGATAGAGAAACAAATGCTCTCACTTCTTGAGCTGGAGTTGGGTGGTCACCAATTCAGCGCTTGCGCTAGGATGGTGGAAACGCTACATCATGTCTTGGGCCAGCCGGAGTACCAAGTGTACATGTTGAGGTCCATCAGCCATCTTCTCGGTCTCTGCTTGGAAAGGAAGACGCCAGCTTCGACCTGCCCAGTGAAACCTGCTATTGTTCAAGACCTGTTGAATCGTGCGGATGAAACAAATGAAAATGTCTTCCTGCGCAAATTTGGACCGGCACTCCGATCGCTGCTGTGCCTTCAGCACGGTTTCTTTAGTGGATTGATCACCCATCAAGAGCTCGCCCAGGCCGTGCAGCACATTTCCGACATGGCCCACTCCTGTACAACTTTGGAGCAGACACAGATGCTCTTTGAGGATGGGACAGCACATGTTCTTCCACTTCTACTCGCAAGCGACTATGCCAGCATGAACAACGACGACAAGACTGCTTTGGTGGCTTTGAGAACATTGGAACATCTGGCTAACCTTGGAATCGACGCTCCGGGCCTCTGCATGACAAGCATTCTCCTCCGCAAGAGCAATATCCACCTGAGAATGCAGGATGCCCAATCTGCGGGAATATCGCTGGCAATAGCCAATAAAATGCTTGGAAGCGTCAGAACGGAACCGCTATCTGAAGTCGAGTTGAACCTGTCATATTCTGAATACCACCTACAAGTCCTGAATCTCGAAGAATGCATGCATTACCTGCTTCGAGCCAAGGGTGCATGGGAAGGCCAAGGCATGTCGGCTGGACCGTTATTGACAAAATCTAAGCTGAAAGGACAAGCTCTGCTTTGCAGAGCAGCCTATCTAGCGTCACAGTTGGCTTACAAGCAGCATCAACTCCTGGAGGCCGTTGTTCTCGCAAGACAATCCGCCAAGATCGCTACGTCTATCTGGTCCTCAATTAACAACTTGTGGGCTTCCACAGCCTGTTCAAAATCGACTGCTCCAGCAGAAGCTGAGATACACGATATCTCTACTCAATTTTCAAAGCTCGATTTGTCCAAGCAGCCTGCTTTGCGACTGACGGCCGACTCAGTCTCCTGTGCGCCCCATGTTTGGTTATGCACCGATGTCTTCAGACATATGGGATCCTTGATGTCCCATTGCGGGATCTATCAAGATGCTGCAACGTTCTATGAGCAGGCCCTGAAAATATCAAGGACAACGCATCGTCCAACTGATACAGCGCTTGTTCTGAGCGAATTGAGTGTCCTACATGCTCGAGCGGGGGAGTTTGCAAAAGCCAGAGAGGTGATTCTAGAGTCGCTTCAGACGGACGTTCAATGCGCCTCGGAGTACCGCCAGGCACTCGCCTCGGTCAACAGAGGCGAGGCGTATCTGGTTATGAAAGACTCGACAGCGGCTCACCAGTGCTTGGCGGAGGCAAAGCAGCATCGGGCTTCGAACGTCGCCAGTAGTGACGATCGTGTTGCCCGTCGGGTTCCAAAAGGCAAAACGACTAAATCCACTGCAAAGAAGCCCGTGAAGCAGGGCCCAGCTAGGCGCCGGAAAGACAACGAACTCAGCTTAACCACAACGCCATGTGTGTCATCTACACTGGAGCTCAGAGAGGTCGACACGAGAATATCCGCCTTAGAAGCGAGACTCATGTTCTTGGAACGCGAGGTAGGAGCGGCGATAGTGTGCAGCGATATCGTCGACTGCCATGACGACGCAGACGGACATCTGTCGATTTCCGTTGCTCTCAACTTGGTTCGAGCCGCCCTAAAGCTTTTCTCCGATGATGCCATACACAGCGTGCTCGCTGAAACAGCCGTGGCCCTTCCTGTGAGGTATAGGTCTGCAAGAAAGAGTGGGAGGGTGTCTTTTGTACAGAGTGCAGCTTTCGTGAACGCCAAAACTCGGTTCACGAAGCACAAAGCTGAGAACAGCACGCTCAACAAGGGGAGCACGTTATTGCTTCAAGCTCATGATATCCTCCAGCGACTGAACGATCCCCGGTCGAATCGGCTTTCTTCTGATCTTGTTCACACGTGTTACAAGATTTTGACGCAGATAGCTCTACTCTCCACTGCCTTGAATCAGCCATTGGTTCCCTCGTCCCTCGACTTGGTATTGGATATAACACGTCCGTTGGATATGGCACGGCTTCGTGAAGACTTCGTCACTTTAGGCGAGCTCAGCGCGACCCGAAGAACTGGAATTCAGGGATGGCCAAGCACCGACGAGATCAAGAACGGAAGATCTCTGGGTTTGGAACGAGTGAAGGAATTCGATATGGCCCTCCTGCCAGCTTCGTGGTCGGTGGTCTGCCTGGAACTCAGCGAGGATAAGAACGAGCTCTTCGTAGCCCGCTTGAGGCGTCAGGCATCTCCGTTCGTGGTCAGAATCCCTTTGGCAAGACCAGACCCATCAGATGGAGAGACCGAGGAACTCGACTTGGCCAGCGCGAGAAGAGAGATGCAGGAAATTACCGCGAGAGCCAACGCGACAGCACATGATGCGAGAGGGTCTTCAGCCAACAAATCAGTCAGAGGAGCTTGGTTTGCCGAGCGTCGAGCCTTGGATCAGCAGCTGTCGACTCTTCTGGATAACATTGAGAATGTCTGGTTTGGCGGTTTTCGTGGATTGTTCTGTGCTACTCGCCGAAACGAGCGCCAGTTTATGGGTTTTGGACAACGATTCAACTCGATACTGGACAGGTACCTTCCATCCAGGCAGAAGACGTCGCGATCAGGTGACTCCCCGGTGCAACTTCACGATCATGTGCTGGAGCTCTTTGTTGGACTTGGCCATCCTCGCGAAGTCGACCTGGAGGATGCGATCACAGATCTGTTATACTTTGTAGTTGACATCCTCCAGTTCAACGGTGAGCGCAACGCATATGATGAAATTGATTTCGATGCCATATTGGTTGAAGTATTGGATGGACTGCATGCCTACCATGATGCGACACGGCTCGACTGTGACAAGGACGACCACACAATACTCGTCTTGGATAAAGAGTTGCAGGCTTTCCCTTGGGAGTCGCTGCCGTGCCTGAGAGGGCACGCTGTATCCAGAATGCCTTCGCTAGGCGCTATATGGAAACGGTTGGGCACGATGAGTGAACAGTCGCCGGCCTCCGAAGCATACAAGATCCGGAAAACAAACGGGGCGTATATACTCAACCCATCTTCAGATTTGAAGTCGACGCAAGAAACTTTTGGCCAGATCTTCCAGGACCAGTTGCCTGGCTACAAAGCCATCATCAACCGGCCACCAGAAGCAGGTGAATTCGAGACAGCGTTACAGGAGCACGATCTGATGCTGTACTTCGGTCATGGCGGCGCTGGGCAATACGTTCGGCCTCGCACTATCCGTAAAATGGACAAATGTGCGACAACGCTGCTGATGGGCTGCAGCAGTGCCAAGCTGTCCGAGTGTGGCGTCTACGAACCATCCGGCATGCCTTTGAGCTATCTCAGTGGAGGCAGTCCAGCATTGGTTGGGACTCTGTGGGATGTCACGGATCGAGACATTGACCGATTTGCTTTGCAGCTCATGGAAAACTGGGGATTGTTGAGTGTAGGAAGTGGCTCTGGAGGACCAAGTCTGAAAAATCCAACCAAGAGTAAGGCAGAGAAGAGTCAAAAGCGTGGACCGGTGTCTCTGGATCAGGCTGTAGCAGATGGTCGGGAGGCCTGTATGCTAAAGTATCTCAACGGGGCAGCGCCTGTCATGTATGGTGTGCCCACAATTTTGGAGTAGGAGAATATAGCACTGCAGTACTTTACGAGTATGCATACCAGGCACATCTTGATGAGGCTGAAGCCAGTTTTGGGCCGAACGAGGCTGACACAAGCGCCCAGAGATGGGCCAGGCACCCACTAATTAAACTGCGATGAGGAGGGGTAGGGGCCTTGAGTGGGGTGGCTGTCAACCAGAGTGATCAATCGGAGGCTTGTCACAACGTAGTCCGTTGTGCACCGTGGTGCAAGGCAACCGCCAATGTTCACAGCCTCAATGTCCGTTCACCTCGATCTCACTTCCACCGCTTCGACCTCTACTTCAACTCCCCCCCACCATACTTCTGTCCATACACTTATTGTACTTTCCATCGCCATCAGTACGCTCCTAGCCATCCTCTACAGCCCACCGGGCCTCAGTCCATGCAACTCGATTCCCACCGTCGTCAAGTGAGCATCACCATGCCCTGCCAGTGGACTCGTGGATGGGCTCCGCGCACCCTCGTCGCCCGGCAAGCACAGATGGCAGGAACGGCGACTGCCCCCGATGTCGAAAGCTGGAGGGACATCCGGAGATACAACCTCCGCATGATGAGGAAGCAAGTCCGCTACATTGTGTTACTCATGGCATTGATTGAGGCCCTGCGGGTCGGTCCAATACAGATTGTCTACGCTGGAAAGCACGGCTATCCAGCCCCTGCAGAGCAAGACTTCGGCGTACGCTCCTTCCTTGCCCTGCGTCGAACGAAACGAAGCATACTGACATTCAGCATGAGTAGATTGCTTACACCATGGGATACTTTGTCTCCTGGCTCTATGTCTGCATCTTCATGATCATCTGGGTACCCTTCTTCCAGGTACGTCTAATACGCCAGTCTCGTCCAAAATCCGTAGGGCTAATAGTAATAGTGGTGGGTTGACAAGGTCTTCCCTGACACTCCCGAAGATCCATCGAAGCCTTCCTTTGCCATGAAATTCATGTGCTTCCTCAAGAAAGTCAACATGGTCCTCCTCCCTCTCTCGATCGGTATCTCCTTCGTCACCTACGCATGCTACGTCGTCCACACCTTCGTGTACGTTGACAGCCGCACCTATGGCTCAAGGACACTCCCAAAGAACACCCGCAAGAACTGGGCCGTCCGTGCCTTTATGCTGGTTGGTATTGCCATCACTACCAGCTTGGGCTATGGGGCGTTCCAGATCCTTGCCGACATGGACCTCGCGCATGTCAAGACCCTGGAATATGCCATCATCGTGGTGCCCGTGCAAATTAACTTTGGGATTCTCTTGGGCACAGTGATGCAGTTCCGCATGGAAAAGAGACTTGCACGCAAGCAAGGGTTGGAGGCTGCCCGGAGTGAAGCGGGTGCCGCCGACGAGAAGGCCGCCCTTATGGAGGTCTAGGTGGCGTAGATCCTTATAGGATCGACATGGAAATAGCTGGTTTTTGTCAAGCTCTCCCACTGGCCAGCACAATACGTTGTGGGTCTATTAGTTGCCATCGGTGTGCTGTGGAAGCAGAAGCTCGCCATGCCGGAAAGACTTGGCGAAGACTAGGGGAACCCGTGCACGTTGCTCGGTCAATCTAGGGGGAAGGATGTCGTATTGTGCTTCACGGAAAATGAATGCGGCTGTCAGAAAGGAGCAGGAAGGGGACATTGGAAAGAAGATTGGAGCTTTCTTTTTGGGCGCAGTAGCTTATCAAGGTACGAGGGTGCATTAAATGTTGATCGGTATCTTCCATCGATACCTTGTTATGAAGAGCCTCTCGTATCTATGACACCAATGGCGTCGTGGGTTTGAAATGTCCCAAGGCCAGCGTCTGCATTGTTCCAAGGCACGAGTTCCACGCACTGTCAAGAGCCATCGCTGGACTGGCAATACTTCCTCTCACCTATGCACAGCACAAAGGGGAAACTTTGCGTCACGCCCTGATCAGGCTTTCTCGATTTTGCATCCGCCCCAAACTCACCCTCAAACTTCTCAACCGTCTTGTCCATACTCCAGGCCGCCTTGACCCGAACGTTGACAAACCCAACCTCATTCATCAAGGCTTCCATGGTTTCGGCATGGATCCCGTGCCGCTCGACCCCGCCCATTTTTGATTGCGGGTGGAATCTCTTCGACTCTGGACCGGTGTCTTCAAAGTCGGTCAACGCAACACTTCCCCCATCTTTCAGACAGCCGAGCATGGTGGTCAAGACAGCCTTCAGGTCCTGAATGTGGTGCAACACAAGGTGGGAGGTGATGAGATCAAATTTCAACCTCTTCCCGTCAGGTTCTTTCTCGTCAGCTGGGGGCAGGTGGTGGTCCTCAGGATCCTCCAGCAACACAGCGACTGGATTGATGTTCTGTGGAGTGTCAGATCGCTCTATCTTGGATTTCAGCACATCGATCATCCCCTGAGCTGCATCGACAGCCACATAATGTCGCGCATGGGGTGCGAGCATGCAGGAGAGAAGTCCCGTGCCGCATCCGATCTCGAGGATGTCCAGCTTATCCCTGCCTGGTGCGTTCTGTAGTGCTGGGAAGTGCTGGATGATAGCCTTTGATGCTTGTTTGCTGGCTTCATGCACGAAGGGGTTTTTATCCCAGTTCGCTGCTTCGGCGTTGAAGCGCTCATTACCGTTGCCGGCTGAGAGGGACGAGACCGCGCTCGCCATCGGCCACTGAGTGTTGATGGAATTCGAGGAACAGCACCGTCCGACACACTATCCTGTGCCCAGAGTCTCGATGAGTACCGATCGGATGTGCTCGACGCTGGCCTTGCTTCCGCGATTTGGTGAGGATACCGTAGGAGTGAACCTCTCCTGCTGGGTGCCTGCGGAGACTACATACTCAGTCGGCCATCTCCATCATCACCTCGACCTCGGCTGCCACTTCCGTCCCCGAGTTCTGCTGACAATGACAATGACGCCTAGACTGGAGTTGAGAGTCAAGACTGACGGCATCTCAATCCAGACTCTGAATGAGGCTCGAAGTAATCAGATACACATCACTACTAGGCATGCGGATGCTCGAATGGCAGTGATAGGCCCGGTTATGGCATAGATTTCCAGATCGAGGACCTCGGCCTGTCACGCCATTTCTCCATCCAGATGGACCTCGTCTCCGCTTTTGACATGTCTCTATACCGCGGAGAGTACGGGGTAGTCTCGATGAGATGAAAGTGGTCAGCACGAGGATTGGATAACCGACCTTGTATTACTACCTCTGAGACGGAAGGGCAAGCTGGTACTGACGTCTACCCTCCCGATACCACCGTTCCCGGTCACTTCCATCATGACTGTCCCGACAGGTGCAAAGGTAATCGCTCAAGCGCTTCACGATCTTGGAGTCACCGTCATTCACACATTGGTTGGGATTCCAGTCGCTGAAATCGCAGAAGAAGCAATTGATCTGGGTATCCATGTGATAGGCTATCGGAATGAACAGGCTTGCAGTTATGCAGCGTCGGCCTATGGATACCTCACAGCGCAACCAGGTGTTTGTATACTGACCGGCGGGCCGGGCATCCTTCATGGGACTGCCGGGGTAGGTGATTCCCTCAACAGCATCGTCCGTGTCTGCTGGGGACCTCGCTGAGACTATGCTGCAGATAGGCAATGCGTCAGCAAATGCTTTCCCTCTCCTAGTCCTGGGAGGATCTTCGGAGTCCAGCCTTTCGACAAAGGGAGGCTTTCAAGAAATGGATGCAGTCGCCCTGTTGACGCCTCAAACCAAGTTCGCAACTCGTCCCACGTCAAGAGATCCTCCTACCATCGTGGCGGCCATCCGCAATGCATATCGAATCGCTTGGTACGGACGACCAGGACCGACATTCGTGGATCTACCGACTGAAATGATCATGGAGCCCGTCATTGCTGCTGCCAGATCAACACCGTCTCCCTCGCCCATTGTTGTCTCTCCTCCACCAAAGCCCGCAGGGGATCCAGACTTGGTCCGCCCAGCAGCGAGGCTTCTCAAGTCCGCCTCGTCTCCACTCGTCATCGTCGGCAAAGGCGCAGCATACTCTCGTGCCGAGCACTCTATCTGCAATCTCGTCCAAACGCACCACCTGCCCTTCCTGCCGACACCGATGGGTAAAGGCATCATTCCCGATTCTCATCCGCTGAACACGTCCTCTGCCCGATCAACAGCGTTGAAGAACGCCGACGTGATTCTCCTCCTGGGCGCCCGGTTGAACTGGATCCTCCACTTCGGCGAGGCTCCCAAGTACAGACCAGACGTCAAGATCATCCAAGTCGACATCTCGGCCGAGGAACTCGGTCGAACGAACAGCCTGGGCCAGCCGTCGTTGAGCATCTTCGGCGACATTGGTCTCGTTGTCGACCAACTCCATCACGAACTCGGCGTCGAATGGAAAGCACTCCCACAGGCAACGGTCCGCCATCCTCTATCACCCTCGGCTCAATCACCATCCAGTCCGTACGTCACGCTCCTCTCAAAGGCTGCCTCCAAGAATGAAGCCCGATCTCACAGGCTCGCCCACACGCCCACCTCTCAAGGCAGACACCTCACGTACGAACGGACCTACCACATCCTCAAATCCACACTGGACGCGCTGTCCCCGCCCGAAGCCGGCGAGATAGTCTACGTCTCCGAAGGCGCCAACACCATGGACATTTCACGCTCCGCGTTCCCGCTCGAGCGTCCCCGCCAGAGGCTCGACGCCGGGACGTACGCCACCATGGGCGTGGGCATGGGGTACGCGATCGCCGCGTGGGCCGCGCACAATCTTGCACCGGGGCATCGGCATCGGCGTCAGCATCGCCGCCAGCTAGGAAAGAAGCCGAAAAAAATCATCGCCCTAGAAGGCGACTCGGCCTTTGGATTCTCCGCCATGGAAGTCGAGACCATGGCCCGCCACAACATGGACGTCATGATCGTGGTGATGAACAACAGCGGCATCTACAAGGGCGACGCGCTGACCCGGGCGGCGTGGACCGAATTGCAGAGGCAGACCACGTCCCGCGACACGCAGGCTGGTGCGGATGCTGATGCCGATGCCGATGCGGAAGCGCAAGGTGCCCAAGCAGCGGACGTCCGCAAAAGGGGCCTCAGGAGCACATCCCTCCTGTACGAGACGCGGTATGAGAAGATGGCAGACATGGTCGGAGGCAAGGGCTGGTTCATCCGCACCGAAGACGAGTTGGCCCACGCCGTGAGGGCGGCGTTCCTGGAGAGGGAGAAGGTGTGTGTCTTGAATGTGATTATCGATCCCGGGTTGAACAGCGCGGCGCAGTTTGGGTGGATGGACCAGAAGGATAAACATGGGGGTGGCAGTGGTGGTGGGGGAACGAGTAAATTGTGATTGTGATTGTGAATGTGAATGATATACGTAGAGGCAGTATCTGGACAGGTACTCTACATACCTATGCCCCCTGGATAGCACGAGGATTGAATAAACTTGATGCTTCTTGGTCGCGCGTGGGAGCTTGCCTAAGCGTCCACCTCTCAAGTCGATATTGTGGCTGGAAAAATAGGGCAGGTCAAGAGTGGAAGGTGAGTGTAGCTGAGTGAGGGTACTGTGATATCGAGCGGAAATGCGCATGCAAGTGGGTAGTGCATACTTGCAGCTCGTCGTCACAAAAACGGCTTCTGATTTCAATTGTGCTTCTAAGGTGTCAAGGCCTTTTACCATGGTTTATGTATCTCGCTCATCTTCATTCCTGTCCCGTCCCCTATTTTCGTTTTCCTTTCCCCCCCCCCCAAATAATCATCCCTCATCCTCTATTTCCACCCTCCTCGTCTTCCCGACAGCCACTTTCCCCGCCTCCCTGATCCTTACCCTCACGGGCAACCCTCCCTCCATAGGCAACGTCAAGCTATTGGCGCTCCTCCTCTCGCCCGTCCGCCCGTCCATGTTCAACCCGTCATTCACCTCTTCGAACTCCCATTCGGCCAGAAACCTCACGAGCACCCAACACGCCATCACCTCGGCCATTTTCTTCCCCAGGCACGAGCGCGGGCCGCCGTTGAAGACCGGGAACTCGCCAACTGGACGAGTATTTCCGGTAAAGTGCAGGTTGTTGCTGGCTTTGTCTTTCTCGAGCCACCGCGATGGGTTGAAGGTGTGGGCGTCGTCGCCGAATGTGCTGGCCGAGCGGTTCAACGCCCAGATGCACCAGACGACGATGGCACCCGTGGGCAGAGAGGTGCCGTCCGGGAGAGTGACGGGTTGCGTTGTCTGTTTGATCTCGAATGGCACGGGCGGATACAGCCGAAGGGCCTCGTAGAATGTAGCTGTGGTGAATGGGAGGGAGGTGGGCTGGAGTTGCGCGATATTGATACCGACGGACTTGTCGTTGGATTTGAAGACCGTGTCAATCTCGTCTCTGACGCGTCGTAAGGATTCGGGATGTCGCAGGAGGGCGTATAGGGTCCAGGTCAAGCTCTGGGCTGTCGTGTCGCGGCCGGCGGAAAGGAAGTTCAAGGCCGCATCGGCCACAATCGTGGGCTCTCCTAGAGCCTCGATTAGTGAGTCAATCAGGGTTCCAAATCCGAGCCCGTTGCCGTCTGCAATGGGATCTCTCCTTTGTGTCCTGAGCTTGTCCTCCTCCTCATTGGTGTTGGTCACGAGGCTTTCAAAGGCATCCCGAGCGCGCCGTTTTCGAGCCTCAGTCACGATCTGCTTGCCGAAGCGTCTCACCTCGACGAGTGAGGCGCGGAAAGATGAGCCCGTAAACATCTCAGTGATGCGGTACAGAGGGTTTTGAAAACGCAGGCCGATCTGGGACGAGGCATGGTCGAACGCTTTGCTGAATGGCGACGAAGCATCGATTTCCATCTGGACCTAGTTGAGTACGTCTCTCGAGCCGGAAGAGCAAGGTCCAATCTTACATCGTAGGCCATGTGCCCGACGACCGTGGTGGTGAGATCATGAAACACCTTCTGCATGTCGACGACGGACCGGTCCTGGGCGGCTTGCGAAAGTCCTTCCCTTGTGGATTCTTCGTAGACCTCTGGCAGAACATCATCGATCATGACCTCAAGGTTTGTGCCGCTGAAGAACTTCAGCCCGGCTTTCCGTTGGGCGCGCCATAGTTCGCCTGTCGCGTTGATGATACCGTAGCCTGGGCCAAAGGTCAGCAAGGGGAGGAAAAGACACATTGTGCTGTGCAAGCAGGAACGATGTGAGAGGGGCCTACCAAAAAGATCCCACGACCGAGCCCTGAAGAATTCTCCCTTCGTGATGGATGCTTCATTCTTGAGCACATACTCGAGCACCTCGGGACTGTTGATGACCACGCCAGGCGGCAGAGAAGGAACGGAGATCTCGAACGTCTCGTCGCCGAAGAGTCTCTGGCACTTTACAAACCAGTCGAAGAGAACGTGCCGAGGTTTGAGGAATTGGATCGCATTGCCGAGAACGGGAAGAGAATCAGGGGGACGTCTAGGCGATGTGCGTTAGAAGATACACACTGGCGCTACATTGGCCAGCTGCGGCGGAACATGCTTGCCTGAGTCGTTGGCCGTGGCGATGGATTCTGGCCTTCTTCACGAGAGCCCCGTAGACAACGAGGATCCCAAGCAGAAGGGCACCGAACGTAGTGAGCCAGATCATGCTGTGATTCGTCGGCAGCGGTCGGCCGCAACCGGTGGCAGTGGCCCTCACGCCATCCCCAGAGATCTTTATCCAGATGCCGGTGGCAAGATGGTGAGGCTCTAGTCCGCTGCAGGGCGTGACGTGGATGGGTGGCTGACTGTAGGAAAAGCTACGAGGTACGAGGCGATGTGGGATGATGGCGAGAGCACGACGACGGCCACTCGGAACTGCTCAGTTCCTGACATGATGACTATTTCCTGCCAACATCCAGATCGTGATTAGGTCGATGCACTGGCTGTCATTGTTCCACCGTCACTGGCGGCGATAATCTCCCTGCGCCATGATTCGTGGGTTCCTTCCATGGACGACCTCCGACGCCGACGCGCAGCGCACACGATCACTCGGCAACATTTGTTCCTGTTCCCATCTTCTACCACAGTAGATCTTTTGCCGCCCACTGCCTTCACCACCACCACCACCACCAACACCACATCCTGGGTCGCAAGGTTGCCCGTCGACACCTCACGCACCTTCGTTACTGTCGCTCATTACACGTCGCTCCAAGCTACCCTCTTTAGACGGTCTGTTTCACTTGCGTCTCACACCATGCGATAGTATCCCAACGTCATCATCCTAGAATCTGTTGGGGTCCGCATTCCACGCCGGTTCCCGAGCTCAAGCTTCGCCAGCAATGTCGCCCTCCGCGATTCACGCCAAGGTCACTCCGCCATACCAGAGGCCGAACCTGTATATCCATGGCATTGGGGTCGAATATCCTCCTTACGAAATCAAGCCCGAACATGTGGAAACTCTCGCACGGCGATTCTATCCCAGCACCCCTGCGTAAGCTGCGACCTGTTCTTTCCAGCTTACAACGTCCCTGACCCGAATCTCTAGGCTCGAGAAGGTCCTAAAGATCAACGAATACACGGGGATTGACACGCGCTCCGCCATAGGAACTATAGACCATCCGATTGCGAACGCGCCCGACCCGCCAACGATCGCCGAGCTCTGCGATCTCTTCTTGGACCACGGCGTCAAATTGTCCATCGAGGCGTGTCGCAAAGCGATCAAGCAATGGGGCGGTGACCTATCCGAAATCACTCATGTTGTTGCCACGACCTGCACAAACTCGGCAAATCCTGGCTACGACCATTATGTCATCAAGGGCCTCGGTCTGAACCAGAGCGTAGAGAAGGTCCTTCTGCATGGAGTAGGGTGTTCCGGCGGGTTGGGCGCATTGCGCACGGCGGCAAACATCGCTCTCGGCTCCAGCTTCCGTCGAAAGCCTGCGCGGATATTGGTCTTTGCGTGCGAGATTTCCAGCACTCTTGTGCGGTCCGAGCTGGAATCGATCCACAAGGATCAGGAAATCAGGATAGGTGTCGCACTGTTTAGCGATTGTGCATCGGCGGTGGTGCTGGGTAATGGATTCAGTGATCGATTCGACGAAGAGCCGATACTGGAGCTGCTGGGTTGGGACCACAGAATCATCGAGGATACCGAGAAAGATCTGGGATTTGACGTCGACCCTGTTGGTAAGTGAGAAACCGCCATCGGTGAGATCTAGCAGCTAATCTCGACCCCAGGCTGGAAGGTTGTGTTGACTCAAAGAGTTCCTAAATTGGCGTCAGCTGCAGTTCCCCCCATGTTCGAAGATCTGGTCGGATCAATACCAGAGCTGGTCGACCAAGGAAAGTTCAAAGCCTCAGAATACGACTGGGCCCTGCACCCAGGCGGTTCCACGGTGATATCTGGGGTCGAAAGAGCCATGAAACTGAGACCCGAGCTTCTCCGGGCGAGCTATGAGATCTACATCACGCACGGCAACAGTTCCAGTGCAACCATGTTCAGTGTGATGAACAGGTTGTTGGAAGGCGAGACCACCGAGCACATCGTCGGTTGTGCCTTTGGCCCCGGAATTGCGGTGGAGATGATGATGTTCAAGAGAACCAGTCAGATCTCTGATCCTGGAACAGCCAGTCCCACCGAGACTCTGGTCGCCGAAGACGTCGACTGAGCTCGAAGGAGTTTGGATTGATGGACGACTCTTAGCCAGACAGTCCACAGTACAGAGCGCCCCATGCGTGATGGAGTAACGTAGCGCAACACAGCACATGTACCAATAAGTAAAGGGCTGCTTCGGAAACAAACGTCGGTTCCCGCATGCGTGACTGTCTAGTCAACCTCTCAATCGACCTCAACGAGGGGGCGATGTGATAGATTGCCAAAGCGCCAGCCACTTTGCCAGACGTCTCGTCCACGGGACGACGGAGGAACACCGTCGCCACCAGGACCGAGGCGAAGAGAAGCACGGCGTATTGCCGTATCACGGGGTGTGCATGTGGCGTGTAGGTTCCCAGCTGGCGAGAAGGAAACAGATAAAACGAGAGACAGGCCGGGATCTCGATGACGATATGAATTAAGAAGCCCAGGTGGCATGCAAGAAAGCTGTGGTAGTACATCCCGTCTCCTGCCATTGCTCTCCGGCAACGACAACTGAAAGGCAAAGGAGACAGATGCTGTGTCACAGTTACAGTTACAGTAATTACCATAGCCGTGTCAACTGTCAACAGCATCCCGCTTAGCCAAGGCTGATCGCTCTTCCGCCCAATTCCCGGCGTGAAAAGCCACCGAAGCCACGAGCTGGATGACGTCTCCAATTGTGGAAACTAAACTGGAAACAACCGCGACTCGAGCCAACATGGATATATGCTTTCGGGAGGCTGTCAGAGGCATTGGCAATGTGCAGACACGTTATATCTGTAACTAGCCCACTGCCTGACAGTGGAGTGGACTGCCCGGGCAGCCGCTTGCGAGGTGTCCTTCTTGTCCGTCATGGCAGACAGTGAGACCGTATGGCTTCGTAGGAGGCATTTCTTCGAGGTCAACGACCAGCCGTGGTGAGTGTCGCGGAGCACACGTTGCATCACGAACCAGTACACTGACTGGGCCAGGTTCCCACAGACGCTCAGAGAAAAGGTGCAAGACTACCTGACGCTGGGCTGGATCAACAAGTTCCCCTTCATTCAGCCCGTGTCACCCGCAGCCCTTGTCTCCCGTATCCTGTCCACCGTTCTAGGACCTCGAACCACCGAATATGTCTACGTGGACTTCGCCTCCGGAGCAGGCGGCCCGACACCATACATCGAGAACCATTTGAACAGCGAGCTGCGCGCCTCAGGCAAGGAGGAGGTCAAGTTTGTTCTGACAGACATCAGTCCCCACGTTGGTGCGTGGGAAACGGCGAGGAAGAACAGCAAGAACATCAGCTATATCCCTCAGAGCGTGGACGCTACGAATGCCCCTGCTGCAGAGACGCTTCTCAAGGGGCTGCCTGAAGTCAAGGGCAAGAAGGTCATGCGACTCTTTAGCCTGGCTTTTCATCACTTCGACGACGACCTCGCGGCAAAGGTTCTGGAGAACACGATCGAGACTTCCGATGGCTTCTGGTAAGCATACAATCTCCGGTTGTGGTTGTTGGACAGCGGGCTGACGCAGCGGGACAGCATCTTCGAACTCCAATCGCGTCACTTCACCTCCTTCATCCTCGTCAGTCTTCTCTGGCCGCTCGCCATGCTCATAACGCCGTACTATTTTTGGCACTCACCGGGACACTTGTTCTTCACTTATCTGGTACCTATCGTCCCGTTTATCTGGGTGTACGACGGCTACATCTCCTGCCTGAGGACGAGGACCCCAAACGAGGTCGAGGCACTGCTCCGCCGACATGTATCAGGCGAGAAGCTTGCGAAGTGGAAGTTCCAGAGCGGTAGGGAATGTTTTATTTGGCCCATAGGTTACCTCAACTGGATCATATGCCAGAAGGGGGAATGAAATTCGAGCTTGCATTGCTGCGGAGTTCCAATGTCAGGGTCCTGCCAGATGAAGGAGGGACTGTGTCCATTGTTTGCGATCCGCCTATCCAACAAGGGCCACGGCCGCCGAAATTGGGAATGTGCTGCATTACTGCCAGGATGTTTGATTGATTCCAACTCGCGGCTACCAACAATCCCATCGCTCCCAGCCACTGAGACGCCATTCCTCTCTGGTGCTATAACCTCTGCATCCCCCTTGACCGAACCCACCAAGCGCTTGCTGCGTCTTAACTCCTGCATCCTCACGGCCAACCTCGCCGGATGGCACCCGGCAGTCGAGATCTAGCCGAGGCCAAGAATTGGCGCAGCCCGTAATCGTCCTGCTCAAATTCGGTGTTGGGGGAGCTGGATAGGTCCCTGGGTTCAACCGGTCTACAGCAGGCTCTGGAGGTTGTTAAATCCTTGCGAATTAGCAGCGAGAGTGCGGAAAGCGTCGTCCTTGCAAGCTCATACCTGTGAAAGAGCCGTGGCCATTGTAATCTAGACGTCTCTACCTAGCAGATAGTTTGGTAGGTATATGTTGCGGAGTGCGTGGTCCTTCTTTAAGCTGCTCCGATTCAAATGGATTCCGGGTTGTGGTTACCGAACACTTCTCATAAGAAATGGTTACCTCTGAAGCACTTTGCCTTTTTTCGAAGCCGCCTGGTCAGGATGGTCAGCGGAGTGTGAAGCCATCCATGGTCAGGCCCTTGGCCGGCCAGGTCAACCTCACAAACATCTGCCACAACAAGTCGAATCGGTTCTGTCGGCGCTAAGTCACGGAGTCGACAGCCTACAGTAGCCATGTTTCAACCAATCGATTCGAGCCACAGTACATGGCCTTAAACCATCCCTTCACGCCTCAAGTTTGGGTAGACGTGCCCTGCCCCGTCGTGGGTCATCTAGGCGCCTTGAACAACTCGGCCTACAAGGCACGTATCCGCTACATAAATTTGCCATGGCAGCGTCGCCGCACGATCTGTCAATCTCTGGATCCCTCAATATGCTCGCCCTCAACACCATCGGCGACCTGGGGCACTCTGTCGGCTATGGAGTTCATCGGAGCGGCGGCCTCTATCGCCACTTTGGTCGAGGTGGTCAAAGTAGCAGTCGAGCTTCAACAACGCCTGCAAGAAGCGCCCTCGGAAATCGACAGGACGCTCCGCCACGTACAACTCGTTGCTCTCCAATTGCGCACACTCATGGAGATGGAGAGGAGCATGATCGAGTCAGACGATGAATTGGAAAGATCCTGTGCTGCCATGCTGCGACAATGCCATCATGGCATGGCCGCTCTTCGGGCCTCCCTTGGCTCGACGGTGGGCGCCAAACACGGCAAGCGACTGCGTTGGGCGCTGCTTGGACGAGCGAGGAGCAAGGAGCTCACGATGGAACTGGCCTGCCTTGACAGCTCGCTGAGTGTGGTACTGAACATTCTACAGTGGTAAGGGTTTTCCCCAGCCGCAGCGAAAGGTAGCCCCTTATATGTATGTATGCTAACTCGTAGCAGTCGGCGGCTCGACGTGCTCTGTAACACAGTGAGCAGATTCAAGCACGAATTGTCCATGAGCGCCTTTCCCACACGCCCCGCCAGGCAGTCTCACAAGTTCTGTGTCCCCTGTCGCCAGCGATGCCCGGATCAGGGCGCAAAGACGGTCGAATCAGTGCCTCGGCGCAAATCAACAAGGCTAAGGCAATGGAAGTGCCTCCACCCGGAACTGGCTCGCTTGACCATGAAAGCTGCCTATTCATGTGACTCGAGCGGGAAGACGTCGTCCCTGTTGCTGAGGCTGGACGTGATTTCGCGTTTCGGGGTACAATTCGAGTTCTCGGGCTGGATCCCCGGTTTCCGCATCGACAGAGTCATGCTCGATTTCAAATACGTCGTGCCTGAGGATGACCCTTTCATGGTAGCTTGTGCGGCCGGCGACGTCGACCTCGTCCGCGAACTTTTGCTGAAGTATCCCGCCAGTCCACACTACCGAGATAGTTGGGAGCAATCACCGCTGGGTGTCGCCATTGCAGCTGGTCATGGTCACATCTGCAAACTCCTGATCGACAACGGTGCCAAAGTAGACTCGACCTTTGGCATGTATCACACGTCGACACTTTCATGTGCGCTGCGACACAGGAATTTGGAAATCACCCGGCTGTTGATCGCGGAAGGCGCACAGTTCGACCATACCAACGCGTGGGGCTGGTCGCCGTTTTTCTATCTCTGGTCGGACACCGTGCGGCAAGAGCAGGCTTCGGCCCTCATAGACCTCCTGCGAAGTCAGAGCGAGGTGGAATGGCAAAGCCTGCACCGTGGCGTCGTCGACGACGCCGGGTGGACGGTCCTCGCGCGGTGCGCCGTCTTCGGCACCCCAGCAGATATGCTCACCCTGATCAGGTACGGGGTCGATCCGACCGAGGGACCCCCCGCCTCAGGCTGGACGGCCTTGCATTTCGTCGTCCAACACGGCGTGGAAGAGGCATTCTTCTCGCTGTTCCCGTGGTTTCGCGACCACGGGGACGTCGATCTCCCGGACTTTGCAGGCTGGACTCTACTCCACCTTGCCGTGGAGAATGGGAATCCTAATATCATCCGCCATTTGTTGCGGAATGGGGCGGACTGGCGGGCGCGGACACTGCCGTCGTACAACAAGGACATTCCCGAGTCATTACGCGGGATTTCTGCCTCGACCGTCCAGATCGCGGCATCATGCGGCGATCAGAGATATGTCGACTTCCTTGACATCCTTGACGAGCTGGGCGTACTTGACGATGAGGCAGGAGATGCATCGGGTGACGAAGACGTCTGGTCTGACGCCTTGGTGGACCAAGCTTGATGACGAGGACCTTGCATTCTGCAGAGACGGGACGGGATATACTGTACTCTGGCAGCCCTCTTTCCACAAGACGAATGCCCGGATTGCGGGATGTTTCTCCCCACGAGGTGGCTCAGCTGCGCTCCAAACGAGAGAGCCGCATCATTCGCCCTATCTGCTGTGGTTGTGCCTAGAGAGCCAGAGTAGAAGGTAGTCCAGGTAGGATAGTGACCGGCTCAAACAGTATGAAATTTTGTGGAAGACTACTAGGCGTTTTGGAAACACATGCGTCGAACAAGACGGCATAGATACCGGCGCAGATTCTACCGCACGCACGCACGCAACGCTGAAGATTTGGACGTTAGAGGCCGTTCCAATATTGACTGGCTAGGTCTTGAACACGGGCTGAACGGAGTGGAAGTGCCAGATGCACAGCATCGTGCAAAACGTGCTTGTCACTATGTTCAAGGCCAAGGAAGGTATTTTGCACGTAGATTAAGTCATACTTCGTCGACATCCTCGCCAGCCACACTCTCATACCTCATGTCGCCTCCGCCTCTCACTCTGCCGGTCCTCAACCTCAACGGCACCTCGTACATGTGCGCGTAATCCACCACTTCTCCACCAAGGAAGCCCTCGCCGTTCCTCCTCCGCCCGAATACTGGGGCAGGATCGCACCAGAAATCCTTGCAGTTGCCGACTATGCCGCGTGAGAAGGGGTTTCGCGACTGCATGTGCCCATGGCTTGCGTCGCTGGCCGTGACCAAGAAGGCGTCCAGCCCGAGGATCTTCTTCCAGCGCGTGCAGAACCCGTCAGGCCGGCGTGGCGGCGGATGCAGTCTCGTGCTCGCGGCCGCGGAATCGTTCAAAGATGTAGCCGCGGCGGAGGCGCCCTGTGTGATGGGGTGGTTGTGCGTAGGGAGTAAAGGGCGGGCGTGGTCGTAGACCTTATCATGCCGCTTCATGTTCTCGTATGTGGTTTGATTCTTGGTGATCTGGATGGTCTGCACGACGATGAGCATGGTAACCCAGACGAGTTGCAGGGTGGCCCAGAATGCGAGGGCCACGGTCCAGGGGTCGCGCAGCACGAAGGTGCACAGACTGGGGGAGAGGATGTGACATTGCGACAGGGCATCGTCGCTTGGTGGAGGCAACAGTTCGAGGTATGAGAGCACAAGCCGGATGTATAGTACGATTCCTACGGCCATGCTGAGGATGTAGATGTAGAAATGGCGGATGTTGTTGTTCCCTACGCAGTTGTGGATCCAGGGACAGTGATGGTCGTGTTTCGCCACGCACCGGTTGCACCGTCGACAATGCTTTGCTCGTAGTGGTTTGCGAATCATGCATTGGATGCAGAAGTTGTCTTCGTCGAATTTCCAGAGCGAGAAGAGTTCGTCGATTGTGGCGCGCTGTTGGTTGCGTGACGCGAGCTTGGGGATCCAGCCTGGGTCCTCGAGCATGGAGAGGAAGTAGAAGTACGTGGTCGCCGAGTAGGCGGTTAGGAAGGCGACGGAGGTGAACGGGTTGGTGGAGAATACAAGCGGGAGGATGAACATGATGAAGCTGGCTCCGACCCAGAAGAGCGTGCCGGCGAAGACACCAGCTAAGTAGGGCGTTTTGTGGATTTGGCGGAATTCGAGAGGCCCGATCATACAGATTTGTTGTGCGAGGTATTGCATGCCTAGGCAGACTGCTAGGAAGATGGGGACTCCGATGTATATGCTGAGGTGGCTTATAATGTACAGGCCGACGATTATTATCAGAAAGGGGTACAAGAAGAAGAATTTGGCCATTTTCGAGCGGTCGCGCACGATCGTGTGGAGGTTCATTGGGAGGGTCTTGATGTTGCCGGAGGCGTCGTAGCCATGGTCAGCTAATGCGCGGTGGTATGCTCGCTTCGTGTTCATCTCTTCGGCGCAGACGTTGGGTGTCTTGCCTTCGTTGGTCTTTGCGAATCTATCGGCGCCGTACTCAATCAGTTTGTCGAGGCAAGCTTTTGAGCCCTTGACCAACGCCCAATGTAAAGGTGTGTAGCCATTGTCGTCCGTAGCATTGACGCTGGCGCCCCATTTGAGCAGAAGGTCCACGCATGCTGGCCAGCCTTTGTAACCTGCCCACATCAAGCTGGTGTGGCCCTGAGGGTCTGGGATGTCCACCGGGATATTCTGTTGCAGCAGGAGGATTAGGAGCAGGGCATTTCCATCGATGGTAGCCAAATGCAGAATGTTGTAGCCCTGCCCATCGGTCAAGAGAGGATCTGCGCCGTTCTGTAGCAGCAGGTTGACAATGTAGTAGTGACATCTCTGTGATGCCCACATGACGGCTGTCGCATTTGATTCTCCTCCTTTTGCATTGACGTCCGCGCCTTGCTCGACCAGGTACTTGCACACGGCATATTGATTGTTAATGGCAGCCCAATGCAACGGACTGATGCCCTCTTCATCTCTGTAGTTGGCGCTGTGTTTGCCCGACTGGATCATCTTCTGGATGTGCTCAAGCGCGCCTATCCGGGCACACTGCATGATATCCTCCTCCAAAGGGAGGTTGGGCTCGGCTTGCCCATTCTGAACCGGGGCCAATTCGACATCTTCCGAAGTCACCTTCGGGGATGCCGCGTTGGCCTTTGACGACGGTGGATGAGAGAGTTTGTTCGGGGTAGGAGAGGACATGGCGGGTTCGTATGGGAAGGTACTCTCAAGATGGCAGTTGCTACCGTATCAGCCTTCCTATCTCTTCCATGTCCAACGAGACACTGCGACGAGTGAGTCTGAATTTTCCCTTTTTGAAAAGTGTCTCCTGAATCCCTTTCGCTTCCCTGCACCAGGTGAGGCATCACTCAGCCTCGGACGCCTCGTATTCATTTCCCCGGTCCAACACGTGACCTATGCCAAGAGTCCTCGGCAGAGATTCCTTATCGGCTCGCGAGTTCCGGGAGGAATTGGATTGAAGCTCCCCTTACTACTGCTGTCGCCAACCTCGACTTCATATCGAAATCTCCTCTCCACTCCCTCGATTTCATTTCATCCCTCCTTTTGCTTCTCGGAAGTCCTCCATTTCAGCTTCTCGAGTAGGCAACATGATGTCGAGGAACGTCTTGCGCCAATCTGGCCGCATTGCCGGTGCTTTGTCTGCTTCGAGCAGAATAGCTGCTGTAAGCTCAAATCCTTTTCGGCACTGTAGCAAAGCTTCGATCACGCCTGCACCACGCTCAATGAGCTCTCCTACTCTCCCTCCAAGCTCAAGACCAGCGCATGAAGCTTGTCGGATGCATCTGGGTCGACTTTGAAGCTAATCAAAATCTTTGCAGTCCCGTGTCGTCACCCCTGCACCATTCAATGCCGCCTCAAAACAAGTGCGATCATACGCTGCTGATGCCAAAGCCTCCCCCACCGAAGTTTCGTCCATCCTTGAGCAGAGAATCCGTGGTGTGCAAGAGGAGGCAGGTCTAGCTGAGACTGGCCGCGTCTTGTCCGTCGGTGATGGTATTGCCCGTGTCCATGGCATGAGCAATGTCCAAGCCGAAGAGCTGGTCGAGTTTGCCTCTGGCGTCAAGGGAATGTGCATGAACTTGGAAGCCGGGCAGGTCGGTGTGGTGCTTTTCGGTTCTGATCGTCTTGTCAAAGAAGGTGAAACTGTCAAGCGAACTGGCCAGATTGTGAGATGAGCTGTACTTGTGAGGTAAAGTACAGCGGCTGACGATATCAGGTCGATGTTCCTGTCGGCGAGGCCATGCTTGGTCGTGTTGTTGATGCCCTTGGTCAACCCATTGATGGCAAAGGCCCAATTAAGACCACCGAGAGACGTCGTGCCCAGCTCAAAGCCCCCGGTATCCTTCCTCGACGATCTGTCAACCAGCCGGTCCAAACTGGCCTGAAATCCATCGACGCCATGGTGCCAATTGGTCGTGGCCAGCGTGAATTGATCATCGGCGATCGACAAACCGGAAAGACCGCCGTCGCCCTGGATGCCATGTTGAACCAAAAGAGATGGAACAACGGCAATGACGAGACGAAGAAGCTCTACTGCGTCTACGTTGCCGTTGGCCAAAAGCGATCCACGGTCGCGCAGCTCGTCAAGACCCTGGAGGAGAACGACGCCATGAAGTACAGCATTGTCGTCGCTGCCACCGCTTCTGAGGCCGCTCCTCTGCAGTACATCGCTCCTTTCACCGGGGTAAGTCCTTTTTATCTTTTCTTCTTCCACCAGCGTAGTGGCGAGTAGATCTTCCCTCCTGGACCTACCTGGACCTTCTTTCAGGTCACCTGCTGCCCTCGAAGTACACAAAATGTCTCGGGTCCACCGCAAGAAAGAGGCCCTTGTCCCTGCAGCTGTGGACGACATCCACGAGGACGTCGACACCGACGCTGTCGATTCCAATTGCACCGATGATGCCATCGTTAATCGACACCGGTCATTGTCGTGGTGGAGCATCTCTTCAGCCACTATCTGATCCTCAACGAGTAACTCGTTCACCATACATCATCACCTTCAGCACTTTTTCAGCATCTGTCCGAGGAATACGTCCTGGCCACTATCTTCTGGACTCCGTGAATTCTTGTACTGCATCTCGTCGTCTTTACTACCCTTTACTACTTTTTGTTCAGCTTGATCGACCTTTACTGACTCTTATCTTCAAGACTGCCATTGGTGAATGGTTCCGCGACAACGGCAAGCATGCGCTCATAACTTTTGACGACCTTACAAAACAGGCTGTGGCGTACCGCCAGATGTCTCTGCTGCTCCGTCGTCCTCCTGGGCGTGAAGCTTACCCTGGTGACGTCTTCTACCTCCACTCTCGACTTTTGGAACGTGCGGCCAAGATGAACGACAAGCACGGCGGTGGCTCCTTGACCGCTCTTCCCGTCATTGAAACCCAGGGTGGTGATGTGTCTGCCTACATTCCTACCAACGTCATTTCAATCACTGATGGCCAGATCTTCTTGGAAGCCGAATTGTTCTACAAGGGTGTCCGACCTGCCATCAACGTCGGTCTCTCCGTGTCTCGTGTCGGCTCCGCTGCTCAGCTTAAAGCCATGAAACAAGTCGCTGGTTCCCTGAAGCTCTTCTTGGCCCAGTACCGAGAAGTTGCCGCCTTCTCCCAGTTCGGTTCCGATCTCGATGCTGCCACCAAGCAAACCCTCAGCCGTGGTGAACGTCTCACTGAACTCTTGAAACAGAAGCAATATAGCCCTATGGGTGTCAACGAAATGGTTCCTCTCATCTACGCCGGTGTCAACGGTCACTTGGATAGCGTCCCCGTGGGCAAGATCCTCCAGTGGGAAGCTGACTTCCTCGCACACCTGAAGAGCGATCAATCAGAACTGCTGGCCAAGATTGACAAGGAAGGCCAGCTGAGCAAGGATCTCGAGGCACAACTGAAGGAGGTTGTCCAAAACTTCACCAAGAGCTTCTCATAGGTACGTGTGGTTCCCACAACGTAACAGCAGCAAGACTAAGCTGTAACAGATGCGATTGAGGAAGTGTTGCTTGTACAATGTTCTGGCTCGGTCAGAAAAGGACGACGCCGCTCGAGTTGAGGCACGAACAGGACACGTTGCAAATTGATTGCAGCGGTCGGTCAAAAGAGTGTGTCTCATTGTAATTAGATACATATCAGTCCTCGAATCGATTCCTTTTGTTCTTCAATCAGAATGCGCCGCTTGTCTTTCGCTCAACTTCCAAACTACAGTCACAAGCTGATAAAGTAGGCGACAATTAGTCGCCACAAGATCGGGTCGACGTGAGAGCTGTAACGGATCTGAAACAGCATTGTATCGTCTGTGAGGAAGGTCGCACTTTCCAGCAACCATAAGAGGGTGCCAACACAGTGAGTGGCCAAAACAAGCGGGAGACCCTTGAATCCAGCACTCAAGACGACCTGAGACAATCCTCCCGAGGACAGTTCGGATGTCATCGGTCAAAGGCGACGAGCCAGTTGTTCGCATCTTTCCAACTCGCTGATTACATACTGATAAAAGCTGGTCTGTAGCTGCTCCGTGTTAAGGTCAGTGCCATGTGCAAAATCACATTCAATGCACCTCTCCACGACTTTGGCGAATTTAGTGCCCAGCGTTGCAGAGACACAGGAAAGCAATGGTTTTGCCGTGAAGAAGTCCTTCGAATCAGCCGTCAAGTCGGCTCCCAGATTCTGGTCTATCGAACAGACGAAATGGCTGCTGAAATGCAAGCTCGAACAGTACCTTGCCGAGATTGAATAGGGCTTGATATCGAATGTGCGGCAGAAGTTTTACAGCCCGCTGTTCGACGACGCCATCCTGGCCTCGGGTCGAGACGGTGGCATATGATTCGTGTGCAGAGTTGTCCATATGAGTAGGACCTGTGCGTTTGTCTTCACCAGCATCTGAGATCAGGCCGTCGTCGTTTGACCACGAAACGCTCAACCAGAACGTCTCCTGGAATTGGAGTAGGCCGGACACAGTACGAAGTACAGATCCCAGAAAGCATTGCTGATTATCCCCAGACATACGTGGTTACAAGCTTGAAACCCTATCTTTGCACTCCTTAGGACTATAAAGATTGTTTGACAATGTTTCCCTCGCGGGAAACCATGGGCGGAACATGAGTTTAGCATCCACTGTGCCGGCAAAGTCGTACGCTTGTTATGTCTGCTCAGGGATGTTTGGGAGCCAGTACCTACCTAGGTAGGCATTCGTGGATGACCGACAGGCCAATCACGTTACTTCTCTACCGAATCAGATAGATCGAGGCCAACGAAGCACGACTCACTAGATGAGAGTACCTCATGTACTTTGCTGTCATGTCGAAGGCATATCTCGACTTGACACCATAGGAGGATAGGAATGACGGTGAAGAAATCGGCAGTGATAACGACTGTGCTCAGTTCACAGCTGGGGACAATGGCGAGTAGTATTCTGTGCAAGTGGCATCGGCAGTATTCCAGACTATTGTGCTTCCTCCGTCTGGGTGTCCTAGGGGTAAGAATGGTGCAGAGGCTACCTGTCGTGCAAGGCTACCACCTACAGCCTTGCCACGATGCAAGAGATACCAGTCCAGAAGAGACGAACGGGCTGGGAGTTACGAGCCATGGTCATATACAAGAAAAGGATCGGTCCTTGTATCTGGGCATTCATTGAGCGGATACTAAGGTCACAGCAGTCGAAAAATTGAGCCATGATACCGTATTGACTTGTGTGAGACTTTTACCCCCAATCTCGACCCGCTCGCTTCAGGCTCGTATAGGGTCGGACGTTGGTCTCACTTGAGAGAAGTTCTATTCTTCCCCCGTTGTCTACCTACCTCGTACCTCCCCACCCATCGCCAATTGTGGTTCACAGAAACTGCTCCGTTTGCGCCTCCAGTGTGTTCACACCAGATGCTCGGAATAGGAGAGCGGCTCTCCTGTGTACTGCGTGACTGCGTCGCTCGAGGCCATGAGTGATATCTGGCACCGACCTCGGCCCATCACGGTGCCCCTCTACCACGCCGTCACCACCATGACACCATAGGCAGGCCTCACAAGTAATTGGCTCGGCTCCACGTTCATGCCCGTGTGCCATCTCCACAAAGCGGCTTTTGCTCCCGCCTCGGTAGGTGCGAGAGAACGCAATCAGCAGCGCAGCAGTCAGTGCTGGGGAGTTTTGGATTTGCCGAAACGGCCACATCTCATGATGCAAAAGATAGCAAAAGACAGCATGTATTAATAATGCGTTGCCTGGTGGAGAAATTTCATCCCATGTACCACATGTAGTACCTGATGTATGTGATCTATGTCTATCAATCCATGTGTTGTCTCTAAGATATCTCAGCGCCTGGCCACATCGTCGAGGACAGTCCCGTTGCAATACATTCGCGTCACGCTTCCCCGACGTCCACAATTGAACAAATTTATCACCACCACTGCCGCCCCTCCTTCTCTTTCGTCTGCTCATCCTCGACCCGTAGCAGCCAAGATGAAGTCCGCACATGTCTACAAAAAGGGCGACTCCCAGCTCGACGTCCAGATCAAGGACATACCGATCCCCAAGCCCAACGCCGACCAGGTGCTCATCAAGGTGATCGTCTCCGGCACTAACCCCAAGGACTGGAAGTATCCGATCCGGGTGCCGGGCTCGACGGGCCTCAACACCGGGGACGACATTGCCGGGTACGTCGAGGCCGTGGGCTCCGACGTCACCGAGTTCAAGGTCGGCGACCGCGTGGGTGCGTTCCATGAGATGCGCACCGACCACGGCTCCTTCGCCGAGTATGCGATCGCGCCGGCCAAGACGACGTTCCATCTGCCCAAGACGACGTCCTTTGAGGAGGCGGCCACGATCCCCCTGGCGGCCATGACCGCCGCCGTGGGGCTGTATTGTCGCCTGGGCCTGCCGGAGCCGTGGGTCGGGGGCGTTTCGCAGGCGCGCAAGGACGCCCTCGCGGGCGGAGTGGTCGTGTATGGCGCGGCCAGCGCGGTCGGGGCCTTCGCCGTCAAGCTGCTCGTCCGGAGTAAGATTCACCCGATCATCGCGGTCGCCGGGCGGGGGATCCCCTTTGTGCAGGGCCTGCTGGACAAGTCCAAGGGCGATGTGGTCGTCGATTACCGCAAAGGGGATGAGCACGTCGTCGAGGCCCTGCGCGCAGCCGTCCCCGCGGGCCAGAAACTGATGTATGCCTTCGACGCGGTCAGCGAGAAGGGCAGCTACCAGAATGTCTGCAAGGTGCTCGACCCGAGGGGCCACATCAGCCTGGTGCTGCCCGGGAAGAAGTACGAGGCGATCCCGGACTCGATCAACCAGACGCTCACGACCGTGGGGTCCGTGCACGGCGTGCCGGATGATTTGAGCGATTTTGGGTACGCGTGGTTCCGACTGTTCGCCCTGGGGCTCAAGGAGGGCTGGTTCAGCGGGCATCCCTATGAGGTCGTGCCGGGGGGTTTGAATGGCGTTCAGACTGGCCTGGAGAATCTCCAGCATGGGAGGGCTAGTGCCGTGAAGTATGTGTACCGCATTGAGGAGACCGAGGGCCTCGAGCGGAGTAAGATATGAATCGAGTCGGTGCTGTGGCCGACTGACAGTAGCAATTGAGGGGATGTCGCTGGTCTGGGTTCGGTGAGGGAGCTCCGGTGGAATCTCTGCGCATGGACCTGTCTATGTCACCTTAGTTAGGTCGGCTTGTATCCCGCGCTGCGTATGGAGGAAAATCATGATTCAGCCTCGATACAATGTCTCGATGCCGCTATCAAGTAGGTCTGCATCGTTTCCTCTCGGCGACGAAGCGGCATCGATCACATGCTGTATGTGGAAGGGAGAGTCGTCTCTTCTTTGCCAGGATGCAGAGCGAAACTCTCATCAACGGAGCCTGCCGTTTTACCCAAGTCCTACCTTCGGCGCAGATGCGCGCATTGTCTGCGTTCAAAATGACAGTACGTCCGATGTAGATTTTCACAAACCCGCAATTGGGGTGTCGGTGTCGACACGCCGTTTGGCGTTTGGCATTAACATACTCCTGACAGATCTCAAGTTCGGGTAGCTTTCTCTCGAGGGCTCGTCACTGAGAACCAGGTGAGTCGATTCGGCGACGTAACGAGACATAGTGATCACGACCATTTACAGGCTAAGTCGCTTGTGCGCGAAAATTCAGCAGAGGAGACTGGACCACCTCATTGCTTGCAAAGGCGTCAGGCTGTGGACAGCCCACAACCCCCGACCTTTCACACCAGTGTCACAATCGCGGTCAACATTCGGAGAAGCTTGACTGTCATATCTTTTCCTACTCAGTCTCTGAGTGGCCCGGCGAATTTTCTTGCTTGCGTTGGCACTACAGTTAATAGTGCCATGCCAATGATCGGCATAGAACTCAATGGGCGTGTGACCTTTCGTCTCGTCCTCGGCATTCTGTATCTTGTGTCCGACGCGGTTGACCGGGGTTCGTGACAAACCGGAATCGTGTCCATCTCTTGAGATTGCGCCATGTGCTTACTTTGATACACTGTAGCTCCAACGGCAAAGTGAGCTGCGGCCTGAAGGAAGTGTGAATGTTCGAAAAGATGTTCGCTGATCATCAGCAGGGATATTGCAAGGTGGGTGGGGACGTGCTGGTGGAACGCTCCGATGAAAGGTCCAATGCTCTTCGAAACTGTCATGATGAATATTCTCTTAGATGACCGCCTTTTCCGCTGAGCCGGTACATTGAGTTCCTATCTGGTCACTGAACTCGTTCCGCGGGAATGGATGAGTTCACCGAATCTAACACGAGGTACCTAGGTGAGGCAGGAAAGTGAGCGCAAGCCAAGCCGACAGAAAGGGGAAGCCGTCAGGGATGCACCCTGATCGGAGTTAACCATTGTAGGATCTTCGTCCCTTCTGCTCCTCATAGGATCTTGGGTTGTCACTGAAAAGCTTACATTGTACCCAGAGTACGAGTACAGTACGAGGTAGTCGGGGAAGGTTGAGCGGATAGCGCTGAATGCGGACCAAACAGTCAGACGACAGGGAACGATAAGTCAAGCATGGATGATTTGCTTATGGGGAAACTCTTTGGTCAACCCACCTCCGCAATTCGCTGAACAATTTACTTGAGGGGCCAAATCGAGGTGCCTGCGGCGAAAATATGGTGGATTCGTGCAGCTGTCAGCAAGCCCACGCAGGCAGGAGTGATTCCACGGAGGACAAGGAACACTAAAATGTAACAAGACCTTCCTCATCAAGCTCTTGATCCATGATCGACGCATAGCGCAAGGTTAGGGCAGAATGCGGTCGTCGAGAGGGGTAGGACAAGATTGCAGCAGCACATCATAATGAGGCAAGCCTTTTCAGCGAGTCGGCAGCTATCGGCAACCCCAAGTGGCATTTCTGGGAGGCTCTCGGTCTGGGCAATTTGCGTGCATCGGCTGCAGCTAAAGAATGCTTAGGGGCGCCTTTATTCCTAGCCGGTGATTAGTGCTCGACTCTGCGCTCTCCACGTAGGCCTCCAAACAGCCAGCAGGGTTGCTTAGCTGGGCAAGCGGCCCCAAAGGCCTACCCAGTAGGCAGGCACAAGCGGGCAGACTCTCTGCAAAGTTTTATGTTTCAGGTTTGTGCCTAACTCAATGGGCGAATGACAGCAGGCTCAGTCATGGACGTGCAGGAAGCACCGGCTGACCGACACCGGGTACGAACTTTGAAAGGCGATAAACGACATACACCGGTGTTGACTCACTCCAATGTGCTGGGCTCAAGCTTGTGTCTTTATGCAGCTAACGGAAAGGATGAGTCGACTGTTGTAGTTCAGGAAGAGCTGGGCAGGACTCGGACTTGCGCTGGGTCGGGTTTCTGTGCGAATGGGCTTTCGAAGCCGCGAGATCGAAAACCCACATCTGGTCGATTTCTGCACGCCCGCAGCCCCTCTCTGATTGTAGTAACTAGTCGCTCGCCCTCATAGAGATCGGTCTCCGATTGCCTCGTGTCAGTGGAAGCCTCTCAAGTCAGACGAACCGTGGGCTGCCGCCGGGAGGACGTATGATGGCAGTCCTTCCAGGGTGGATGGACTCTTGGTCAGATGTAATTCAACTACATGTGAATCGTGAAGAAAGGCTGAAGATGATGACGATGGGCGATCGTAGGTTGCAGCAAGCCATTTTGCGGGCGGCACTAAGGACCTTCTGGGTTGGCCTTCTTTGGTTGTAAACTGGCAGGATGCCTGCCCAGCAAATCCTAACCACCTAACGCACGCTGTCAAGTGGGTGGGTGGTGCAGCGAACTGCACATCCAGATTCTGACTTGGCCCAAGGTCGTGTAATTTGAGCTTTTCACTTTCGTTTCCATTTCTTCCCTCTCGCATTTTCCGGTCGTGGCCATTATCGCTACAACCACATCCGCCAACCATCTACCGACATATACATCCGTGGGCCTCGTCCTGCGCGCACACCATTTTCCCGCCCGTTTCCCCTTTCGCCTTTCGAGGCCGATCCGAACGTTGATCCCTCCAGTTGGCTTGCTGACCCCAAGAGAGTCACCAAGCCGACTGGAACGGAGCCCGTCGCCTGTTCTCCAGACCTTCATGCCGCGACACCCGGCGGCGAAGAAGCACCAGCATAACAACCGCCATGAGAACGGTCTTGTAGGCCCCGGCAAACGTGTCACCAAGCAAAAGTCGAATGGTCACCTCAATGGCACCGCAAAGGGTCCTGTCCCCTCCGAGCCTGTTCCCCAGCCCAGTCCGAGCGAGAATTCCGTGAGTGCGGCCGGCAGCGAACGTGGATCGGCAGCAGCCTCGGATACGCAACAAGATTCCTCGAAACCCGCGCTCAACCTTCAACCCGTTGTTGGCGATCCGGATTCAAGCGCGGCGAAAGAGAAAGATATCAAGTTGGACGCGAATGGATCTTCCATGCTACATCAACGACGAGGCGACATGGTGGTTTCCAAATCAAAGGCTCAAGACATCAGCGTCCTCCATCTGGCCTCGACAATCTTGCGGTCCCGCCCCGCTACCGACACCGTCTCCCTGCTGATTGTCCTGCTGGCTCTCCCCTCGGTAATCTTGACCATCGTTCAGGCCCTGTTCGCGTCCTTGACCCTGATGCCAGGAGGTGGTGCTGGTACCCCGACGTCGTTGCTGTCTTTGCTCGATATTTTCCAGGGATCGGCAGGAGTTCCGAACTTCAGCACTATAGGTATCGTGGACACGATTATCTTTGGACTATGGATCTGCTTGTGGGGCTGGGCACAGAATTTTGCGCTCGACTTGGCCCAGATACAAATCGCCATCACTCTAGGCAATGGTAGCTCGGGTAAAAACAGCAGGGTCAACACGTTCTGCGTCGCGGGCGTGCTTCTGTTGCATCTGGCTCGCAGCCGGGATGTGCGCCGCTTTCTCTACTCGAACCTGGTCCCGGTCGACCTGCTTTCTCAGACCGGGCTATCGGAATACCTGAAATATCTTCCCACAGATCACGATTTTGGGGACAGTCCTGGGCCGCCATCATATATCCGAAGTCTTTTTGCAATACATATCATCGCTCAGGGTGGAATGGCGAGTTTTCGTCGCTACATTTCTTCATACTCCACAGGGCCCGCCAAGTCAAAACGAATAGATACGGAAGCCTCTGCGGGCTCCATATCAGACGCTTCAGCTCTAGACGGCTCAACTCCTGCGGGAGTGTCATCCTCGGTCGACTACCAACCGCCTCCCACACCTGGTTTCAAGGATGGCAAGGATAATAAAAGCATAAGTGCGAAGAAACGCAGGCGCCAGGCGAACCACGTCAGAAGCAAACAACCGTTCTGGGCGGCGCTTGCTAGCACCAAAGTCCATGTGCTTAGGGAGGTCGAGCACAACAAAGCACTACCAACCGTTGCAAAACAGGAAGGCAGCCCTTTCGAAGCAACCCACCACGACCTGGTGTCAATCACCAATGTAGAACCCTCGTCCATCATGTTTGAAGCAACCTACACCTACGAATCTGCACAGCCACACGATTCCTCACCGAAAGCAGATTGCCGGCCATTCTACGTTCGCATCAATGGTGCAAAATGGCACGCAGTATCTCTAGACCCGCCTGTAACGCCCTCCAAGCCCGACGGAACTGCTCGTTGGACTGGAACAATATCAGGGCTAGCGCCCAACTGCACCTATACCTGCACTTTCATCGGCTGCACCGGAGATGAGGACTTTGCCTCCATCATGGTCAAGACCCCAATGATCTCGGACAAGGATCTACCTCCTTCGATGGCGCCCGTGTCAGGCCGGCAACCGACTGCGCCTTCCTCACCCACGACCACCTTGAAAAACTCCATCGCGACAGGCGAAGCTAAATTAAGTGAAGCCCGTAATCGCCTCACCAAGGTGAAGCGCCAACACAGAAGCACACAAGCCAAGGTTGAGAAGGAAGTGGAGAGCTTCACCGCTCGTCTCAAGATCGCCAGCGATGACAGCAAGCAGAGGCAGAAGTTGTGGCAAGCTGAACGGACCAGGCAGCAAACTGAGGACGCCAACTTGGAGCTCGGCGCTGCTCTTGAAAATCTAGTTTCCACGCCCGAGGATGATCATGACGACTACGCTGCCGCTAAGGCTACGCACGACGAGCAGCAGAAGCTCCTTTCGGAATCAAACGAAGCTCTGGCAAAAGCTCGTGCAGCAGCCAATGACGATACAACTTGTGTCAACCAGGAATTGAGCACGATCGTCGCGCGGAAAGAACGCCTCTCTGGCCGCAACTCCAAGCTGACCGAGCAACACGACCGAATCACCCATGCCAACGTTGAGGGTCTCAATGAGAAGGAAAGAAAAGCTGCTGAATCACTTGCCAGAAGCGCTGAGCAGCAGAAGCGCGAATCCGAATTGAACCAAGAGATTCTCAACCTGGAGCGGGAGGTAAGAGGTGCAAAGATGCGATGGGAAAGCAACGCTCGCGAGCTGGATATCCTTGAAAAGCAGGAAATGGCGCACAGGCAGATGATGCTCAGCAACAGCGGCCCTCTGACGCCAGAAGGAGAACTGCCAGGCACCCGCAGCCTGCCGCAGCACGCCCGTCCATATGCATTCGGCAGCTTCCAAGCATTTCCCAACAGTCCAGTCATCCCCGAAGTCCAGGGTTCTCCCTTTGCGGCATACGCCAAGACTCTTCCCACTGTTGATCAACGCCGACCAAGATCCAACACCAACCACTCAGCCGGTGGAATTAGTAATTTCTCTGCTGATTTTGAGGATGCGGACCCTATTCCTCCTATGCCAACCACGGCGGAGTATGACATGGCCGGTCGAAAAGGCAGCGGCAGTAGCAGAGGCAAGAACAACGGCAGCCCAGCTGGGATCATTGGTGGTACGTTGCGCAGTCCGCAAAGAGGCAGCTACAGCCCAGGCCACGTCCCGGGTTCGACTACGTGGTAGTGATCGAGGTTCAGGTTGCGAAAATGCAAGAGTGGAGGCCATGCGGGTATTCCGTGGACAGCTGGTATCCCTGATCCAGGTAGCAGGTCTGAGGTAGCTTCGAAGAAGAGCTTCTTGGTCGTGCACGAGTAGACTTCCATCCCGGTCGGCCTTCGTCAGTTCTAGTACGCTGAAAACCTCGTGTCGTGAGAGATAATTGAGTCAAACAGCATCCCATCGTATGCCGAGCCAGGAGAGCCCGTTGAACACGACGGAGCTGGTGCAGTCACCGAGTGTGAAGCGCGTCGGCTGTAACACGCAGCAGAAGCATTTAATTAAGCCCACTTGCCCGTCACGCACTCATCGATGAGTCGAAAGATAGCACGTGACTTGTCTGCCCAAATTTAGTTACATTTCACTTGACTCTCACCATTACCGCTGTCAGTCATATTACACCGAGTACTATATGTGCGGTCCATTGCGGCTTTGGCGCACGTCCTCACTAATTCCCCGAAATCTTGTACTCGCGGCGCCCCAACCTGTCCGTCCCAGCTATTGCATTAGATCCTGTGCCACGATGGCGAAAGAGAAGAAGAGCAAGAACAAGGAAACGCTCAAGAACCCCAAAGGCACACGCGACTGGTTCGGCGATGATGTCGTCCTCCTGAAGGCTATTCGGCGCCAAATCGAGACCGTGTTCGAGAAGTATCGTGCGCAGGAGTTGGATACGCCGGTCTTCGAGTTACAAGAGGTGTTAAAGGGCAAATATGGCGAAGACTCGAAATTGATCTACGACCTGCAGGATCAGGGCGGGGAGCTGCTTTCATTACGCTATGATATGACCGTGCCGTTCGCCAGATGGCTAGCTATGAACCCAGACATCGAGACTTCGAAGCGGTACGCGATTGGCAAGGTCTACAGGAGAGATCAACCGGCCATATCCAAGGGGCGCATGCGGGAGTTTTGGCAATGCGATATCGACTTTGCTGGCGAGACCGCACCCATGTTCAACGACAGCGAGATTATCTCCTGCGTGGTCAAGATTTTTGAGGCATTGGAGTGGACCGGATACACCATCAAACTTAATGACCGGAGAATCCTGGACGGGCTCTTTGAAGTAAGCGGTGTTCCGGAGGACAAGTTGAGGACAATATCCAGCGCGGTCGACAAACTGGATAAAATGCCGTGGGAGGAGGTCAAGAAGGAAATGGTAGAGCAGAAAGGTCTGGACGAGTCCGTCGCGGACAAGATCCAGACGTACGTCACGAGGAAGGGCGGCAAAGAACTACTCGCGGAACTGCAGAGGGACGAGGCTCTCATGAACAATCCGAAGGCGAAGAAAGGGATTGAAGAGATGGAACTGCTGATGCGGTATTTACAGAGATGGAAGGCTCTGGACAAAATCTCTTTCGACCTCTCATTAGCACGCGGTCTCGACTATTACACGGGGGTCATCTATGAAGTTGTCACGGAGGGGTCTGCCGGTGTAAAAGCACCTGCTCCCGCCACAGTCGAAGATTCTACACCCCCCATGCCTCCCGTTGCTTCGACTGAATCAGCCTCGACTGACGCTCCGGTAACCTCGAACGGCAGCGCGAACGGCGTTCCCAGGAGAGCAAAGGAGAAGAAGAAAGTCTCTGAAGACGAAGACAGGTCCGATGATCCTACGGTTGGTGTCGGCTCCGTTGCGGCTGGCGGTCGCTACGACAACCTCGTCGAACGCTTTAGGCCCGGTGCCAACATGCCTTGTGTCGGCGTGAGCTTCGGCATTGATAGAATAATTGCCATTACCAAGGCCAGAATTGCGAAGGGCGAGCGCTTCAGCTACATCAAGCCCAACAGAACCGATGCTTATATCATGGCATTCGGCGGTTCCGGCTTCAGCGGTATGTTCGAGGAGCGTATCGACATTTTGGCTGCTTTGAGGGAGGCAGGTCTTCGAGCAGAGACGTTCTCCAAGCAAAAGGCCAAATTACAGAAGCAATTTCAGCTCGCAGACCGCGCCGCGGCGCCCGTTGCGGTCATTTTAGGTGAGGACGAGCAGGCACGGGGAGAGGTCAAGGTGAAGCAGATGGGCCTTCCCGACGGTCACCCGGAAAAGGACGGTGTCCTTGTGAAAACAGAGGAGCTCGTCGCCAAAGTGCAAGCGGTGTTGGCACGGCTTGACCAGTAGCAACGTGGCTACTGTGTAGAGGCCACGAGGGGCGCACGCGATATGAGAATGGCTGGACAGTTGCACGGTGGATACTGCGACGCTGCGTCGCGGCGGGAATGCGAGGCTGTAGACTAGCGCATCTAGAACGTGGTAAGGCTGGCCAATGAGTTCCCCGCCTTGTGGTCTCGCCGCTCTCCTTCGCCAAGCGCCCGGCCATGAAACAGCCCCTGTCTCAACAAACGGCTTCTGCTACACTCCCACCTCAACCTGACACGGTACAGCCACTGAATGGCTGACTCCCGAGACTTGGCTGAAGATCCAAACGTCGCATGATGTGTTTGAGAAAAGGCTTCGCCCAATGGCGACCGTGCGGTCAGCGGATGCAAGCACTTCGGCTGACCTCGCCGTCGATTTCGCCAACTCACTCCGTAGCATTCGTCGTCTGAAGCCGCTGTCCGGAAGTCCATCGCGCCGAAAGCAGCACTTCCCCTTCAATCTGGCGGGTTGTCGCTTCTCCCCTGGTCTTTGCAGGTTCAAAATGTCCATTTAGAGGCTCGAGTTTCGCAGTTCTTCTCTCTCACCTCCACCTCCATCTCCATCTCTCCTTCTCCCAACAAGTCGTTCGTTCTTGTGTTGCTGGTCCAGCATCTAATTGCCTTTCCTTTCGCCATTCCTTTTTGAACAGAAAAGCATTATATACTCAGACGCGATGCCGGCAGTCCGTTCCTTCTTTGCTCTTTCCATCCTGGCCGCTTGCCTGGCGCAAGTATGTCGACATCTGCGACCCCCCAAGTCTTGTGTTGCACCTTGGCTAACCTTGGCATCAGGCTTCCGCTGGCGGTGATGGTGGCTCTGGCGGATTTGGCGGTGGAGGCCAGTACGGTGGTGGCCAAGGTGGTGGCTCTTGGGACGGTCAGGGTCAGGGTCGTGGAGACGGCTCTTGGGGTGGTGACAACCAGTACACCAAGAGCGAGTGGCAAGCTCCACCAACTACCCAAGTCGCTGCCCAGACCTGCCCGCCTCAGACTTGCCCACCTCCGGCCACCGAGACCAAGATCGAGACTGTGAGTTCTGAATCGGGTCTACCATCGGGCGCGACTGACGTGAGTGATTAGACAACTGTTACCGCGGTGTCGCCCTGCACAGGAAGCACTGTGACCGCTTATGTCACTCAGTGGCAGAACGCTCCGCCTGGGTGCTGGTGTGGTCCTCCTCCCACCGGCCTCCCCGCCTGGAACTGGGGGTCGGGAGCGGGAGGAGCGGTCGCTGCACCGGCATTCACTGCCAGCGTCTCCATCACACCCGGTCTCTCCTCCATCCCGGCTGCGGAAGCCGTCAAGACTGGTGTGACCGTTGCTGGTCCTGCTGGGCCTCCACCAGCCGCCACGGCCACTGTTTCTCCCGGCGGCTTCTTTGGAGAGTCAAGTGAGTTTTGGAATCGGGTCCCAGGAGAAAAGCTTTGCGCTAATGGTTGCTTGCTTAGGTGCTTCGGCCGCAACGTCATCTGGTACGGAAACTTCTAGCTCTAGCAGCATCGTCTCATCTAACGAAGCCCAGCCTACTAAATCAGACGTGGCTTCTCCACCCAAAGCTTCGACGAGTACGACGACGACAACAAAGAGCTCGTCGTCATCAGCTCCATCGAGCACCACCACGGTACCAGCCGCAGCCTTATCTTCTACAACCACTTCATCTTCTTCCGCAAGTGCCTCTTCGGCAAGTGCGGAAGCCGCCTCAAGCCCTGCTGGAGACGGTAACGGGATTCCCTTCGGCGCATTCAATACCATCGATCCAGCCACTCTCACACTCAAGAACGCCTACACCTTGGGTATCGGGAGGAGAGCCCCAGCGCCGACACTGTTATCATAGACGAAAATCCAAATCCATGCAACATCTACAGACGACATAGTTTTATACCCCTGTTGGAAATGAGGCGAAGCGATGGATGAGTCCACCTACTCTCGGAACAAGAGTAGCCTATTTTTTTATTTCTTGTATAGCGCAGCTCGAACCCGACCAGGTTCTTGAGCTTACCAGCTCTTGTTGTTGGCCACCCTTAGCGAGTGTTACGCTTTGATAGAAAAATGCAACGCAGAGGCATCCTGGGCGCGGGCTGTATCAGCACCGACGTCGTCGGGCCCTGCCTTACCACCGTGACCATTTCCAGCTCCTGCTTCCAATTTCGCCCTTTTCGCTCTTCTCTTAATTTCACGCTTGGAGAGTGGTTTGTCTTCCGACATTCCTTGATCTTTTTGAGGCGCGGAAGCCGCCAGAGAGGTTGCCGATGCTTTTCGCTTCGTGGCGGTGGTGATGACCTCCTTCACCTTCTCAGTGACTTTTCCTTTCTCGGTTGCTTGGCCACCGCCATCGATAACGTCTATGATTCCTCTGAAGCTTGTCCGCTTCATGGCTGCTAGCCTCACAACTTTCTCGGCTTCCTCGCAGAGCGCTTCCTTTCCTCTCTCTTGACCCAGGCCCCATATCTGCGCAAGATTAATCACGTCATGTGGTCCCCTCACACTCAGCGCGTTCCTCGCCTCACTGCTCAAGATAATCCCTCTCCCTCTCGTGGCTCTGATGAGCTGAGTTGCTCCACTGATCAGGTTCCTCCTCGCCTCACTGTTCCCGGAAGCTTGTATGGCGGGGGCATAGCATATCTCGAAACGAATGCCACGCTGCAAAGCCGACGAAACAGTCTTGAATTTCACGTTATAGGTCAGGCGTTGAGACAGATCGAGAGAGATCAGATCACACTCGAGCGACGTGCAGCAGAGTTGGAGCGTCTTTTCGGTGGTGGGACGCAAGGCGAGGAGATTGTAGGCTGGGGAGAACTGTGTGAGGCGGTGATTCTGGGTTGCGTCGGAGATGGTCAGCGTGAGCCGTGTGAGGACTGTCGTGACGCTCTTGGGGATTGTAAAGGCTGAGATGGGGATTTCTTGAGGTTGAGGTGGGAGCTTTCCCGTCACGGTCAGCGAGACAGCGACGACCGAATAGCCCAGCTCGGCATGGAAAGCCAGCGTGTGCGAGAGGTCTGCGTGGTTGGTTGTATAGGCCAGGTTCAGATCATGGAATGGCATCGTGTCGGTGGGGGACGCAACTTTGCGTCAGACCGGTGTCAGGGACGGTCAGCATGATGGAGCTCAGGTATACAGTGAAGGAATCTGAGTGGGCACCAGCATCAATAGCGGTGTTCATGTACTGCGTCGACCACAACTGCTGGTGAGTTGGAGTGTCGATGTGGATTCTCGGCTTCACGGGGCCTCGGAAATTAAATCCGGGGGTTTTGGATCCCCACGCAGATCGCAAAGGCTCCCACACCACATCGCCATCTTGCATCTGCCCTGCTGGGCGCAACCGCATACCATCTCGACACCTCTTCCAATCTCCATTGTTCCCTTCCCTCGATATTGATTGCCTGCCAGCCTGACGGAATAACCATCAGCGAACGCGCTCTTACCGTCGTCGCGATATCCAGCCTTTCTCCCCACTCCCTGCACCCACAATCGCATGATAGATCACCATCCCACCTCGATCAGACTGCCGCAACCGCAGCCATGGCGCGAGTCTACGCCGATGTCAACGCCAACATGCCGCGGTCATACTGGGACTACGACTCCGTTGCCATATCGTGGGGTGTTCTCGAAAACTACGAAATCGTCCGAAAGATCGGTGAGGCCAGCTATCACACAAGCGACGAGGTGGAGTGCGGCTACTGACGAGCCTACAGGCAGAGGAAAGTACTCTGAAGTCTTCGAAGGCATCAACATTGTCAACTACCAGAAATGCGTCATCAAGGTCCTGAAACCCGTCAAGAAGAAGAAGATAAAGCGTGAAATCAAGATCTTACAGAATCTTTCCGGAGGTCCGAATATTGTGGCCCTGCTGGATGTGGTGCGGGACAGCCAGAGCAAGACTCCGTCGCTGATTTTCGAGAACGTCGACAACACCGACTTCAGGACCCTGTACCCACGGTTCGTTGACTACGATGTGCGCTACTATATCTTCGAGCTGCTCAAGGCCCTGGATTTCTGCCATTCCAAGGGCATCATGCATCGAGACGTCAAGCCGCATAACGTTATGATCGACCATGCGAAAAGAAAGGTACGCACGAGCGTTGACGGGGCAAGATGATTGTTTCTGGTATTGACTTCATTGGCAGCTTCGACTGATCGACTGGGGTCTCGCCGAATTCTACCATTCAGGCACAGAATACAACGTCCGCGTCGCGTCCCGCTACTTCAAGGGCCCCGAGCTCCTGGTCGATTATCAGGAGTACGACTACTCTCTCGACATGTGGTCCTTGGGCGCCATGTTCGCCTCGATGATCTTCCGCAAAGAGCCCTTCTTCCACGGCAATTCCAACTCGGATCAACTGGTGAAGATCGCCAAAGTGCTCGGCACGGACGATTTGTTCGAATACCTTGATCGCTATGACATTGAGCTGGACGCGCAGTACGACGACATACTAAGCCGGTTTCCGAAGAAACCATGGCAGAGCTTTGTCAATGCCGATAACCAGCGCTTCGTGAGTCCCGAGGCTATTGACTTTCTCGATAAGTTGTTGCGATATGACCATCAGGTGTGTTTCTGTGACATCCTTTGTTGCTGCCGGAAGTGTGAGCTAACTAGAGCCATAGGAACGTCTTACTGCTCAAGAAGCCATGGCCCATCCTTACTTCGCACCTGTGAGGACGCAAGCAGCTCAGCAGCAGAATTCGCAGAACCACGTTTCTTGAATGTCGTCAAGATCTCGAAACACAGATATCGGCCGCCTATCAGGGTTACGTGAACCAAGCAAGATGAATGAATGCCGCAAGGGCAAAGCCAGGCCCCAAAGTCGGATCGGACCCTGACACTGGACCGAGATTCAAGCCCACCAGTGACGCCATTCCATCTTGGTGGTTCTTCGACATGGGATAACGAAGTGTAATGACGGGTCGTTGAGCGGCCGTGACGAGGATATGGTGGCATGCTATCAATTTAGGATGTACGAACGCTGCGATGTCCAGCGTGCGACGGCGTGGACACGGGAAGAGGAACCGCCATCCACTCGACTCAATCTGACATATTCACCTGTTTGTTCCCTCGTTTTCTTGCTCTGCTACAGCATCCTGCGGCGGAAATGAAATCATAATGGGAGACTGTTGGCGCTATGGCTGGTATGGTGAATTCATTGCTCCTGCACACCTCACACTGCTGCTGCTGCTGCCGCCGCCGCCTTCTGTCGCCGAGATGTCTTCTTTCTTCGTGTGGACGGTCACCCCTGGCAGTGGAACGAACTAGATGGTACTTACTCTACAGAATCGCTTACTCAGTGTGTCCCCTCTTAAATAGACATGATTTTCCCGTCTCAGCTTACTGCTACCTAGTCATCTAAATGCTAAAGTCTGGGCGGGAAGTAGGCCCGGGATGGTGGACGATGGGTACGGTGAAGCACATGTCTCAACATGCGTCCATTGTACCATATTCCATGATCAAAGTTGGCCAAAGTTGAAGCCGCCATGATAGGTCGACAGCGACGCACGACGGATTCGGGGCCGGCAGCCTGAATCGATATTGTTCCAACACGATTGCCAATTTGGGGGCCGCCGTCTTATGCTGGCCAAAAGATGACATGTATTAGCTTCGGAGACTCCAAGTGCGGCTGCTGACCCTACGTTATTCCTGTATGTCTGTGATGGCCCCATCAGCGCAGAGACCCAGAGGATACGTACCCAGTATTCTGATCAGAGGTCATTCACACGCCCTGGCGTACCTTGCGCCAGAGAAGGCTGCTTGTCCCCTGGATTGTCAAGCACGTGGAGGTGCATTGAGATCCCCCTTGAAGCAGGCCAAGGATCAGGTGGCGCCAAGTCAGCATTTACGAGATCTCACGCTTGCCTTTCATGCTGCGGTATGTCTCGTCACGCCTGAATCCAGGTAGTGACCTCGCTCAATGCAGGGCGATACGAGCCGTGCCCGATCAGACCCACCTCCTGAACTGGTCAATCTCAAGTAGCTTGTTCCTTCGAAGCGGAGGCTCAGCGTCGGTGTACCTTGGTGTCGAGCAATAAATCGTGTCGACGTCCAGTTGAAGGAGCCTGGCTGGTCAAATCTATCGTGTGTTTACCGCTTACGAGGGTCTTTTTACCAGTCTGATAACGCAAGGTATTCCGTTCGCTGGTGAACACCGACCTGGCTGAACAATGGCGGCGCCTGCGGATGACTTCAAGAGCCTTCTCGCACTCCGAGATTCAATCGACGCCTCGATTGACGCCTATGTGTCGCTGACGCCCGAAGAGAGAGCGAAGAAGCCCAAAGTGGACCAAGCACGCCAGCAGATATGGAAAGCGGCCACCAAACTTGCCAGCGAGACCGTCGTTCCACCACAGCAGGCGACCTCGATCGCTTTCCAGGTGAGCATGAAGACTGTTAGACCGGAAGAGGCTCTGACGGGTGCATTCTGTCCAGCCGTGGCTGAATGCGGTCGTCCGCACGGCGCTGGAGCTAGATCTGTTTAACCATCTGGGAGCCTCGACGACAGCGACTGAGCTGTCCCAGAAAACTGGAGCGGATGAGACGTTGATAGGTGCGAGCATCTCTCGAGTGACGATGAGCTTTCCCTTCGAGCGGTACCACTGATCCAACTATCCAGCACGCCTCATGCGGGTCTTCACGGGATTCAACATCGTCGCTGAGCTTGGGGAGCTGACCTATGCTCACACACCTGTCTCGCAAGCACTGACCACGCCCGCCATTGCTGACCTCAACAAGCACATGTGAGTTTCTGATGCCGCCGTCAATGGGGTCTTGCTACTAACGGATGTTACTCCTCAGCTTTGACAGCAGCTGGGAGTGCATCGGAAAGATGCCAGCCTACCTGAAGTCTCTCGAGTACAAGAACCCGGACCAGCCTGAAAACACCCTTTCGCATTACGCCACCGGGACAGATTTCTTCGCTTACCTACGCAACGACCCAGCACGGCTGGTCCGCTTCAACTCGGCCATGAAAGGTGCCGGCGGAATCCTTGCAAGTCCAATCCCGCCTCCTCTGCTCGAAGCCGCGGGAGCAGCTGCGGGCCAGGACGGCGTGGTTATGGTCGACGTCGGTGGGGGTATCGGCCAAGTCACGGAGAAAGCGATGGAAGCACATCCGGCCATCAAGGGACGCTTTCTCGTGCAGGATCTAGGCAAGATCATTGACGAGGCGAAGGCAAAGAAGCCAGCATTTGAGGTCATGGACTATGACTTCTTCACGGAGCAGCCCGTGAAAGGTACGTGTTCCCCCGGTTCGTCCCGATGGAGTGAGGCATGCACGCTCTACCCTTTCAGTTTCTCAGAGTCTAACGTCGCGTCGCCCTGCGCACTATTAGGAGCCGGCATATACTTTATGCGCCGCGTCCTCCACGATTTCCCTGACAGCAAGTGCCGCGAAATCCTCAAGAACCAGATCTCCGCCATGACACCCGGCACGTCGAGGCTCTTGGTCTGCGAGACTGTCCTCCCCGCCACAGGATGCAGTGGCTTCGAGAGCCTGGCTGATATTAGTCGCACCACGTTCTCTTCCATGCAACGAACGGAGAAGCAGTGGAGGGCATTGCTGGAGAGTGTTGGACTCAAAGTGGTCAAGGTCTGGAGTGCTGTGGCCGGCCCGTTTGGCGTCATCGAGAGCGTCCTTGCGTGAGGAAAATGCAGTCGAGTGTGGGCCTGCACGGGTGGACTCGACGTACTAGGTGTCTCTGGTACACCTGCATGTATGGGTTCCCGGGGGCTTATGATATGAAGACGCATGGCCGTGAAGCATTCTACCCCGGATGTATACGAAAAGTTCCCTGTCCGTGGAATTTCTCGTTCCCAGTGACTTCATACACCTTCGAGTCGGCATTTCTGTCCAGATACAACGGTGAATACTTCCATGGCCACAGACAGTGCGCCGTAGCAGGCTGTCTCGGATTTCTCATATCATGGAGGAGTCTGCATTTACTGTGTAGCTGTCGTACCTTGTGTCAGGTTAGAGGGGCCATTTCGTAGACTTGCTGAATTCACATGGTAGGTAGAAGCACACGTTGGCGGAGGCAGCACGTCGTCTCCTGGGAAGGCTTGATTCATGTCGGCCGTTACTCGTACGAGAATGCTCCTATCACCCCCAGCACAAGATCATGACCAACGTCTGGAAACGGAAGCGACTTCACCACGGCTCGTTACAGCCGCGTACTGTACTTGGCCTGGACATCTCCAGACGACGCACGGACGAGACCCAACCATACTCAACCTGCCTTGGGAGATCACTATCTTCCTTGGCATCATTGACGCTGTGATTTTGAAACCTCGCACATATCGACATTCCACCCCATTTTCACGATGGCGCAAATTGCGAGTCAAATCATGGCACCGTCGAGTATCTTCCTCATAGCTGACCATTAAAACGATCCCACCGAGACTACCATCGCGTAGAGGGTCCCTCGCAATGCAGGGCCGTGGAATCTCATTTGGGACCGAACACAGGAGAGCACCTGTTTGCGATCTGAGGATGCTCACGGGATACACGGGCGCTCTTCTTGGGGCACCAAAAATCAGGCAAACGAGCATACATGCAGCTCGTCAAGACGTCTGCATTCCAATATCTGCTGTCATGGGTCATGGACAGGTTGTCGTTCAGCTCGAAGGACTAGGACTGCCTGATAATCCGCAAGGGTTCATCACAAGATCCGCCAGATCATCGATTCGGAGGGATTCCACCGGCTGCTTGACGAGTACTTCCCTGACCACGTGGACGAGAAAGACTGCGAAGATATGCATTGCCGCCAACTGTTATGGCGTGCAAGTCCTTGCGGCGTCAGATTGCACAGTTGGGATCACTGTCAGAGGAGTGTACTTGATCAGAAGTTCGGGATACCTTCCTTGTCCGTGTCACCAGTAATTCTCCGCCGTAGTTCCGCTCATGAAGCCTGCAAGCGTTGTGATACCAATACACCCCTCGTGCCATTAAACTGCCCTCCTGCTGTATCCTACGTACACCTTCTCCCTAAATTTTTGAGCAACATCGTCCGGCGACAACCCCGCCGAAAGGCAGTCGAGCAAAATACTTATCAGGCCTCTGCTTCGGTGCCCTCCTGCTTGGAGACGGCTTTCTCGTTTCAACATGGCGCTCAATGCCGCCTCACACAATACAAGTATGGACGTTGCCCGGTCTTACCATGCTCTATGGGCTGCGCTAACATCGTCTTGAAGCTGGCGAGCCGACTGGCTCTCCGTCAGGCCCTCCACCTCCGGTATCCTCAGATATCACGTCCGCCGCAAAAGGTTCAGCGGCCAAGGACGCCATGGGCCAAAATGTTCCGGGAACGGATCTTCAGAACAATGACAAAGGCCAGACCGTAATGGGTGAAGCAGGCAAGGAGAAAACTGCTAAAGAAAGTACGCAAGATGACACTGAAGGACCGCATTGATACACGACTTCCCCTCGCACTCGTATTGGAGGGTATGACTAGAGATGACTCACTTGAAGACGAGTACCGGACCGCCAGATCATCAGTGGTGTATGACTGGGAAAGAATTTCAGAAGACCGAGCAAGATCTCATAGTCGACCTTTCACTCCTCAATAGACTTCCATACACTCGTTGTCCGCACGACATCATTTCCGGTTGCACTTGAAGAATTCCTATCTGACCACCATGCCTTCTGCAGTTGAGAAAGAGCGCAAAAAAGCCGAAAAGCTGGCCAAATTTCAGGAGAAACAGTCCAAGAAACAAACCGCACCCGCTGCTGTGCCCGACACCTCCAAACCTGCTGCAAAGAAGGAGAAGGTCAAGAAGGCTGTTGCTGCAGACGCCTACCAGCCCCAACAGATTGAGAATGGCCGCTACGAATGGTGGGAGAGCAAAGGCTTCTTCAAGCCCCAATTCACCAAGGACGGAAAGATCAAGCCCGAGGGCAAATTCGTCATCCCCATTCCTCCTCCGAACGTGACGGGATCGCTACACATGGGACATGCACTCACAAACGCCCTGCAGGATACCATGATCCGACATGCCAGAATGAAAGGCAAGACCACGGCATGGGTTCCTGGTTGTGACCATGCCGGCATCGCCACGCAGAGCGTGGTGGAGAGGATGGTGTACAAGACTGAGGGCAAGACTCGGCATCAGCTGGGAAGAGAAGCACTCCTCGACCGGATCTGGAGCTGGAAGCAGAAATATCACAGCAACATCACGGAGCAGCTCAAGCGACTGGGTGGTTCAATGGACTGGAGTCGCGAGGCCTTCACCATGGACGACACGCGGTCCCTTGCAGTGCGAAAAACTTTCATTGACCTGTTCGAGGAAGGCATCATCTACAGAGCTGATCGGTTGGTGAATTGGTGCTCTGCGCTAAGCACCTCGCTGTCTAATTTGGAAGTGGACAATAAGGAGCTGAAAGGCCGCACCAAGCTCAAAGTGCCCGGTTACGACAAGATGATCGAATTCGGTGTCCTCACCTATTTCAAGTATCCGATCGAGAAAGGAGACGATTCGCACAAATCGTCCACTTCACCTGACCGCTTCAAAGGCTACGAATTCATCGAGATTGCTACCACCCGTCCGGAGACCATGCTTGGTGATACAGCTATCGCCGTGCATCCTGAAGATAAGAGATACAGGCATCTCGTTGGAAAGCTGGCCATCCACCCTTTCATCCCAAACCGCAAGATTCTGATCATCGCTGACGAAGAGGTGGAGATGGACTTCGGTACTGGAGCAGTGAAGATCACTCCAGCTCACGACCCCAACGATTTTACCAAGGGCAAAAAGCACAATCTAGAATTCATCAACATTCTCAATGACGATGGTACGCTGAATGCCAACGCTGGCCCTTTCGCAGGTCAGAAACGCTTTGATGCTCGCTATGGCATTATCAATGCGCTGAAAGAGCTCGATCTATATACGAAACAGGAAGACAACGCCATGGTGATCCCCATGTGCCAGAGAAGTAAAGACGTGATCGAGCCAGTTCTCAAGCCACAGTGGTGGATGAAAATGACGGACATGGCCAAAGCCGCAGACGAAGCCGTGCTTGATGGACGCATTATGATCAAGCCCGAGTCAGAATCAAAACGATTCCATTTCTGGATGCAGAACATCCAAGATTGGTGCATTTCTCGACAGCTTTGGTGGGGCCACCGAGCACCGGCCTATTTCGTCGAGCTGGAGGACAAGTCCAGTAACGACGCTGACAGCACATATTGGGTGGCTGCCTACAACGAAGACGAGGCTCGCGCCAAGGCGGAGAAGAAATTCCCCGGCAAGACGTTCACTCTGAAATGGGACGAAGATGTCCTCGACACATGGTTCTCGTCAGGGCTGTGGCCGTGGTCGACGCTAGGGTGGCCGAAGGAAACCTCAGACATGCGAGAACTGTATCCGACCTCTATGCTGGAGACAGGGTGGGACATTCTCTTTTTCTGGGTGGCGAGGATGGTCATGCTCGGCCTGAAGATGACCGGTGATGTGCCTTTCACAGAGGTCTACTGCCATTCCCTGATCCGCGACTCTGAGGGCAGGAAAATGTCCAAATCACTGGGCAACGTCATCGATCCTTTGGACATCATCCGAGGTATCACGTTGGAGGGTCTCCATCAGACCCTGTATGGCGGGAACCTCGACCCTTCCGAAATTGAGAAAGCCAAGGCATATCAAAAGTCTGCCTTCCCCAAAGGCGTCGAGGAGTGTGGTGCTGATGCTCTTCGATTCACCCTTGTGAACTACACGACTGGCGGAGGCGATATTGCCTTCGACGTCCGAGAAATCGAAGCAAAGCGACGATTCTGCAACAAGATCTACCAGGCGACGAACTTCGCCCTCGGCAGGCTTGGTGGCGACTTCAGCCCAGATGCTACTTTGACGGACAGCGAGCCCAAGTCGCTGGCAGAGAAGTGGATCCTTCACAGATTAAACCAGGCGACAAAAGCGGTGAACGAAGCCATTGAAGATCGCGAGTTCTCGGTGGCTGCAGGCACGCTGTATCAGTACTGGTTCACTCAGCTGTGCGACACATTTATTGAAAATTCAAAATACATTCTGACACCCGAGGCGCCGGAGGATGAGAGAAAGTCGGCACAGCAGACTCTGTATACTGCACTTGAGGGCGGATTGTTGCTGATGCACCCTATCATGCCCTTCATCACCGAAGCCCTATGGCAGAAGCTCCCACGAAGAAAGGGCGATACGACGGAGAGTATCATGATTGCCAAGTACCCTGAATTCAAGCAGGAGCTGGACGCACCGGGAGAAGCTGAGAAGTACGAGTTCATCATGGACATCTCTTCTGGTGCCCGAAGCTTGCTTGCGCAGTACGGCTTCAAGGAACCTGGTGATCTCATCATCCAAACATACGCCGAGTCGGCCTTCAAAACTGCCTCGGAGGAGAAGACGTCGATTAAGTCGCTGAGTGGTAAATACGCCGGGGAAATCGAGGTCCTTCCACCGGCTGCCGACGCCCTCCCACCCGCAGGCTGCGCTTTGCAAAGCATCAATGCCGACGCTGCTGTGTACCTGAAGATCGTGGGCCGTATTGACGTCGCAGAGGAACTGAAAAAGCGGGAGAAGAGCATCGAGGACGCTAGGGCTCGGGCCGACAAGAGCAAGAAGATCATGAGAGGGGCAGGGTGGGAAAAGGCGAACCCAGAGACCAAGAAGAAGGAGCAA